AGGAAGGAAGGAAGGAAGGAAGGAAGGAAGGAAGGAGGGAGGGCAGGAAGGAAGGAAGGAAGGAAGGGAGGAAGGAAGGAAGGAAGGAAGGAAGGAAGCAATCTGAGGCCCCTTAACTAACTTAAAGTTGCTAAGTTTCTTGAAGCTCCTAAACTTCATTGAAGTCTCTAGGCGTTTTGAGGCCCCTAAACGTCCTTGAAGTCTCTAATAAGTGTTTTGAGGCCCATAAACTCACGTAAAGCTTCTAAGTTCCCTGATGCCCCTAGTCTCTAAGCGTTTTGAGGCCCCTAAACTCCCTTAAAGTCTCGAAGTGTTTTCACGCCCCTGAACCCTCTTAAAGTTTCTCGGTTTCTTGAGGCCCCTAAACTCCCTTAACGTCTCTGAGCAATCTGAGGCCCTTAAACTCACCTAAAGTTTCTAAGTTTCTCGAGGCCCCTAAACTCCCGTAAAGTTTCCAAGCGTTTTGAGGGGAGGGCCTATTTTTTGGTTTTTTTTGTCGATTTTCTTGGTTTGTCCTAAGAAAACCACCATTCCCTCTATATTTTTTAAAGGATTTGATGCATTTTCGTGGTTTTTCGTACGAAAAGCCGTAATTCCCTCTGTATTTTCATAGGAAAGCGTTATTTCTTGTAGGTTTTAGAAGGAAAGAAGGAAAGAAAGACAGGAAGAAAGGAAGGAAGGAAGGAAGGAAGAAGGACCAAAGGAAGGAAGGCAGAAAGGAAGGAAGGAGGGAAGGAAGGAAAGAAGGAAGGAAGGAAGCCTAAACCCTAAACCCTAAACCCTAAACCCTAAACCCTGAACCCTGAACCCTAAACCCTGAACCCTAAACCCTAAATAAACCCTAAACCCTAAACCCGAAACCCTAAACCCTAAATCCTAAACCCGAAACCCTAAACCCTAAACCCTATACCCCTAAACCCTAAACCCTAAACCCTAAACCCTGAACCCTAAACCCTAAACCCTAAACCCTAAACCCTAAACCCTAAACCCTAAACCCTAAACCCTAAACCCTAAACCCTAAACCCTAAACCCTAAACCCTAAACCCTAAACCCTAAACCCTAACCAAGCGTGCTTCAAAGCCCAAGAAACTAGTTGAAAAAACATTGTGTTTGCAAGTGGGGGGGGGGGCTGCGCCCCCCCAAACCCCCCCGCCTCTTTTTTTTGAGCCGTGCAGAGCGTGACCCCCCCCACGCTTCTTTTAAGCCGCACCAAGCGTGCTTCAAAGCCCAAGAAACTAGTTGAAAAACATCGTGTGAGCATTGTGTTTGCAAATGGGGGGGAGCTGCCCCCCCCTGTTTTTTTTAAGCCGTGCAGAGCGTGCTTCAAAGCCCAAGAAACTTGTTGACACCCATCATGTGAGCAGGGTGTTTGCAAATGGGGCTGGGGCTGCGCCCCCCCCAACCCCCCCCGCTTTTTTTAAGCCGTACCAAGCGTGCTTCAAAGCCCAAGAAACTAGTTGAAAAGCATCGCGTGAGCATTGTGTTTGCAAATGGGGGGGGCTGCGCCCCCCCCAACCACCCCCGCTTTCTTTTTTGAGCCGTGCAGAGCGTGCTTCAAAGCCCAAGAAACTTGTTGACACCCATCATGTGAGCAGGGTGTTTGCAAATGGGGGGGGGGGGCTGCGCCCCCCCCACCCCCCCCAGCCCCCCCCCCCCCCCCCCCCCAACCCCCCCCCAACCAACCCCCCCCCCCCCCCCCCCCCGCTTTTTTAACGCCGTAACCAAGCGTGACTTAAAACCCTAAACCCGAAACCTAAAAACACTAACCCTAAACCAAACCCTAAACCCTAAACCCTAACTCTAAACCCTAAACCTAAACCTAAACCCGAAACCCTAAACCTAACCCTTAAAACCTAAACCACAAATCCAAACCCTAAACCCTAACCGAAACCGAAACCCTAAACCCTAAACCCTAAACCCTAAACCCTAAACCCTAAACCCTAAACCCTAAACCCTAAACCCTAAACCCTAAACCCTAAACCCTAAACCCTAACCAAGCGTGCTTCAAAGCCCAAGAAACTAGTTGAAAAAACATTGTGTTTGCAAGTGGGGGGGGGGGCTGCGCCCCCCCAAACCCCCCCGCCTCTTTTTTTTGAGCCGTGCAGAGCGTGACCCCCCCACGCTTCTTTTAAGCTGCACCAAGCGTGCTTCAAAGCCCAAGAAACTAGTTGAAAAACATCGTGTGAGCATTGTGTTTGCAAATGGGGGGGGGGGCTGCCCCCCCCCCCAACCCCCCCGCTTTTTTTAAGCCGTGCAGAGCGTGCTTCAAAGCCCAAGAAACTTGTTGACACCCATCATGTGAGCAGGGTGTTGCAAATGGGGCTGGGGCTGCGCCCCCCCCAACCCCCCCCCGCTTTTTTTAAGCCGTACCAAGCGTGCTTCAAAGCCCAAGAAACTAGTTGAAAAACATCGTGTGAGCATTGTGTTTGCAAATGGGGGGGGCTGCGCCCCCCCCAACCCCCCCGCTTTTTTTTAAGCCGTGCAGAGCGTGCTTCAAAGCCCAAGAAACTTGTTGACACCCATCATGTGAGCATGGTGTTTGCAAATGGGGGGGGGCTGCGCCCCCCCCCCAACCCCCCCGCTTCTTTTAAGCCGTACCAAGCGTGCTTCAAAGCCCAAGAAACTAGTTGAAAAACATCGTGTGAGCATTGTGTTTGCAAATGGGGGGGGGGCCCCCCCCCCCCCCCCCAACCCCCCCGCTTTTTTTAAGCCGTGCAGAGCGTGCTTCAAAGCCCAAGAAACTTGTTGACGCCCATCATGTGAACAGGGTGTTTGCAAATGGGGGGGGGGGGGCTGCGCCCCCCCGCTTTTTTTAAGCCGTACCAAGCGTGCTTCAAACCCTAAACCCTAAACCCTAAACCCTAAACCCTAAACCCTAAACCCTAAACCCTAAACCCTAAACCCCAAACCCTAAATAAACCCTAAACCCTAAACCCTAAACCCTAAACCCTAAACCCTAAACCCTAAACCCTAAACCCTAAACCCTAAACCCTAAACCCTAACACCTAACCCCTAAACCCTAAACCCTAAACCCTAAACCCTAAACCCTAAACCCTAAACCCTAAACCCTAAACCCTAAACCCTAAACCCTAAACCCTAAACCCTAAACCCTAAACCCTAAACCCTAAACCCTAAACCCTAACCAGGCGTGCTTCAAAGCCCAAGAAACTAGTTGAAAAAAACATTGTGTTTGCAAGTGGGGTGGGGGGCTGCGCCCCCCCAAACCCCCCCGCCTCTTTTTTTTGAGCCGTGCAGAGCGTGACCCCCCCACGCTTCTGTTAAGCCGCACCAAGCGTGCTTCAAAGCCCAAGAAACTAGTTGAAAAACATCGTGTGAGCATTGTGTTTGCAAATGGGGGGGGGGGGGCTGCCCCCCCCCCAACCCCCCCGCTTTTTTTAAGCCGTGCAGAGCGTGCTTCAAAGCCCAAGAAACTTGTTGACGCCCATCATGTGAGCAGGGTGTTTGCAAATGGGGGGGGGGGGGGCTGCGCCCCCCCAAACCCCCCCCGCTTTTTTTAGCCGACCAAAGCGTGGTTTTTCAAAGCCAAGAACTAGTTGGAAAACATCGTGTGAGCATTGTGTTTGCGAATGGGGGGGGCTGCGCCCCCCCCCCCCCAACCCCACCGCTTTTTATAAGCCGTGCAGAAAGGAGTGTCTGTTTTGCCGCCCAAGACATATATACACATATATATATATATACACACATGCACACTAAACTATACATATCTTTGCGTCGAATGCGGTATCGTCCAAGAGAGGCAAAACCTCTTGTAGACTACCAAGGATTTTTTTTTGATTAGGAAAAAGTTTTTTTTTGATTTCCGCTTCTCGAATAAATTCATTCTAGATCTCTTATAAATACCCAAAGAAAGTTTTTTTTTGATTGGAAAAAAGTTTTTCTTGATCTTTGGAAAGTTTTTTTTTAGATTGGTCGGGAAAAGTTTTTTTTGATTGGAAACAAGTTTTTTTTTGATGGGTTTTCCGTCAGAAGCTGTCTCCAGTAGCTGCCTCCATGGGTCCTCACTGTCGCAAACTATGCTCATGCGTCGGACGCTTTATCGGGCTATAAGGGCGATAATTCCAGGTGAGGGTACCCAATTCCAGGTGAGGGTATCCTGGATTTCTTAAAGTTGAGGCACCCATTTTTCCAGGAATACGGCCTCAGACTTAGAGGACACATTAATTTCTTAGCAAGTTTCTGCCATATGTCTTAAATCCTGTATTGCAGGGCTGAAGCAAGCCAAGACTGAATTAAGACACTCTTCGTACTACCGAGCCGCCATGACATGACGTCTCAAGGTTAAGAGTTTGAGCGACTGAGTGTTTGGGTATGGCCATGTATGGCCTCCGAGGGTGAGAGTCTGAGTGTCCAAGTGAACGGGTCTGGTTTGAGTGGCTCCGACGGTGTGGCGTTGTGACTGAGGGTCTGGTTTGCAAAATGCGGGCAGCTCTGCGCGCTCACGTCACCGCTGAAGCATCACTAATTCGTACTCATTGGGTCTTCTACACTGTGTCATACTACCTCCGTATACTGCGAATTCAGCAGCTGGTCAAGCAGCATTTGTCAAGTGACGGTCCTTGAAAAAGACCTACAGGACAGGCCCATGACAGCACAGCCTTCCCTAATTGCTGCGGCTTGCAAGGTCCAGCCTTTGCGTCGCTGCAGCTGTAATGCTGGGCGCCAGGCGCAGGAGACTCATGCGCCGTGCTAGTATGGACCTGAGCCATACTGCCATGTAATGGCTGCAGCTTCAAAAGGCGCTTCTGTGTCCTCGATGGTGTAACTGCAAGGTTCAGATGGTCCGCCTGCGACGGGCGCGGGCGGCATTATCCAGGTCCCACAAGACCTATACCAGTTGTTGGGCGTGAATGCAGACGCCGATGCCGATGCTAATCTTTGTCAGGGTGCAATGCATCTTGCGACCTGAGAACCATGGCATCAGTTCTTGCACTAAAGTTACTAAAGCTGAGGACAGAATAAAGAAGGCGTACTATGACAAAATGAAGATTTGCCACCCAGATGTAGCAGGTGACGATGGCCGGGGGCACAGCTGCGCTGGCATATGGATGATCTGCGACGTGCAGTGCAGACATTGTGCAAGAGCTATCAGGTGAGGAAGTCTGCATTCTGCTCAATGATGCCTACGATGTATTGTCAAACGAGGAGGAGAAGAAGGCGTGACGTAGGTAGACAAGCACTCGAAGCCATATTCGGCTGATGTTTTTTCCCCCCCAGTTGCGGCTCCAGAATTGCAGGCCTATGACATCGAGTTGGTGCAGCGGAATGGTTCGAAGGAGCCAGTCCGCATCTTTGAGCATCCTGAGCAGATAGTGTGAAGTTCTGGGGGTGGCAGTGGCTTTGTATTGCCCCGCCCAGGTCTTTGTTGATGATGACCTTTCCCCAACTTGGGAGCCTTGCATGCGACATGCAGAATCATTCAGATGCAGTGAGCTATTGCCCTCGGTCAGACAAATGTAAATCCTAAGGATTGGACTTCCAAAGCTGGCAATAAGAAAGAGCGCCTTGCAACAAAGAGGTTAGTGAGACAGTCTCAGTGTCCTATAGGGCAGAGGCTGGCAGAGGTATGAAAGTTCACAGGAACCCATATGTCCACGTTGCGAATCCCCGAGAGCCCGAGGAAGCCGGTTTACAACGGTCGACCTTTGTCGCGGTCGCTTTACCACAAGGTGGAAGACAAGGGCCCCAAACATGACGAGGAAAAGTTTGCCGAATCCTCAGCGAGCAACGGCTGCTGGGGCTGCTGGGGCTGCTCGGGCTGCTAGGGCTGCTAGGGCTGCTAGCCTTTCGATGCGTTCGTTGTTCTCAGGTTTTCGTTGATGAGTGGACCTGCATTGCGTGCCGCAACTGTATGGACCTGAGTATTGAGAACGCAGACATGCTTCGATGAAGCATGCATCTACCCTCCTGGCCGATCTTGAGAAGCCAAGGCTGTGACGTTGCCCCAAAGACGTTTTGTATCGATGCAGATGCTGGACGTGCACGGGCACGGGCCTGATGTCAAGAAGTGCAAGGCGGCATCTTGTGTGTAGATGAGCTGCCTGGCCCCAAGAAAGTTCTCAGGTTTTTGCGCAGTGGGGTAATGGAGAAGAGCTCCTGGACTATGCTGTGCCCTGGCAATCCAGGCCCTACTGCATTCCTCACCTTGTCAACTCCAAGGTGCAGTCCTGCCCAGTGGACTGCATCTACTGGGTCAGTCGAGAGGAGTTGCAAGCTCTCGAGTACGTCACCCGCGACCGCCGCCCCAATGCACTCAGAGTATCTCAGAGTGCTCACTTCCGCTTCTGAGCTTTTGCTCCTGTGCTGCACCTTGCTGAACTTTCTCCTACTTCCTCGGGCATGCCAGGGATGTTTGAGAATGGCAATCAGCCTCCCTGTTCCATGGCTGCTCGTCAAGGGACCGGAGGAGGACCCGGATCTGTAGCAGCATGGGGGATCCTTTTTGCTGATGAAGTTCAAGTGGCCATGGCCAGGAACGGACGACCCCTTTCGCATGGCGACGGGCTTCATGGCCAAGCGGGCAGAAGAGAAACGCCGTCAGGAGGCTCTAGGCGAAGGCTCGCGCATCTCCCTTGCTTTCTGATTCCCGATATGTCGTGATCCCATCTTGAGAGCTCCCAAGAATCGACGAGGCTCAGAAAATTTCGGTGCCATGCAAGAAAGGCAGGGTAGCTTAGGGTGCGGCGACAATCGAGGGATAAACGAGGACATGATGCTGTTGTTCAGGATCCGCGAGCTCTTTAGCCGTCTCAGTGAGAGGCTGCGACGAGCTGGTTGGGGTTGATTGAGATCAGCGTGTCAGGACTACGCCTGGCAGCTTGAGTAGTCGTGTTGGTCGCTCGGTGCTCCATCTCTTTCCATATCTTGCCTGTACATCGGTTGGGGCCCGGAGGCTTCAAAATGAAGCCTTTCTGGCTTGCAGGGACATGTCATTTTCCACTGCTGCTGTCGTTGTGAGGCTGCGAGCCATAGAGCCTCCAGAGCTCTGGTCAAGCTTCCTAGCTTTTCGTGCACGTTGTGAGCTTTGTCCATTTTCCTTCGGCTGGACAAAGAATTCGTGAATCTCAATGCAGGTGCCCTCTGCCTCTCAAGGAAGCTCGAGAATACAGTTTCAGTCGCTGGAGATAGGCAGAGGCAGCCGGGACCTTCCTTCATGTCCGCTTGCAGCAGGCCCAAAATCACTTGAGTTCGAACTGGATTTTTAACGGGCTTGTTCGGGCCCATGTCCAAGACTGTACAGGCTGATATTTCCGTGACTCCGTCACATGCGAACTTGGACCGGCCTGCTGTACATTTGCACCATACAGCCCATTCTCTCGATTGCTCACCAAGACAGGGATGGCCAGACTGACTTCAGTTATACATGTTATACGAATGGGGCCGAGTATCTGTTATCCGTAGTGAGCTACTCCACAGGTGGTCCCGCACGAAGTTCAGAACCATTCCTGAGTGAGATATGTCTGACCTGTCTTCCATTTTTCCGAAAGTCTTTAACAGGTCCGCTGCCTGCAATGCCAGAGACCGGAGTTGCGCCATGCATGGTTGGCCCAAGCGTGGCCCGGCCCAGACTAAGACCCGCGATTCCCCAGCAGACAAAAGAGTGTTGCAACGCGCGCCGCTTTCGGCAGATGGAAGAAGCACTGGACGGCGCTGGACAGCGCTTCTACTGAGTTACCCAAGGGGCTGCAACAATCGCCACCCCTCTTCGTATCATTTTCTCATGGAAAGCGCGCTTGGGGGACTCGGTGGAGGACTTGCTGATACTTGTTGCTGGGCAGGCAAAACCACCAGAGCGGTGCCGCGGCAGAAGGTGCAGCTGGCGAGCGTCTTTTTTCTTCATATTTCGGTACGTTCTTGAGCCGTTTGAGCCGCTTTTGAGCCGCCTGAGCCGCTTGAGATCACCTTTGTGTGTCTCTTGATGGGCCTCTTTCGTCCTCAAGCTATGACAGGCTTTTGAGATGCCCAGGAGTGAGACTTTGAAGGGTTGGAGAGCGGTTGTCTCCAGTGTAAGTGCCTTGAAATCTTATTTCAGGGGATTTGCCCTGCAAGCCATGGCTGAGAGGGAGTCGAGATCTCGATCCAGGCCCAGAGAACAATTAGAGCCCTGGGAGTTTCGAGGCTGTGTGAGCCGATGTCCTGCCGAGCTGCAAATCATAAAGCTTGAAAGCTCCGCATCTCTTGTGCATGGTCGCGGAATGTCTGGGAGGTCGCGTGATGGCAGATCCGAATCTCACGACCGAATTGGGCGCCAGGTGAAGCTTGGACATGTTTCCGCCTTTGGGTTTGGTCATCTTCTGTTGCTATGACGCGCAACAGAACCAGACTGCCAGACTTGAGAACATAAGGATATACGTCCCACAAGAGATGACAGGCTGCGTGCAGAAGGGGGAACCACTCACTGAGATCTTCCAGTCTTCAGCCTTGAAGCGTTGCAGAGTGCATTGTCAGGTGTGTTGATTGGTCGCGGCGGTGAAAGCATCAATGCGCTGTGCAGAGACACGGGTGCGCGGATCGAAGTTGCCCGGGAGGATGCACAGAGTTCCGATGCTTGGTGAAAGTCCATGGGAGCTGGAGCTTAGAGGGGATGTTGAGGCCCTCAAGAAGCTTCATTCCCCTAGCTCATGGCTCCATGACGTATGATTTCAATTGATTCCCCAAGTATTTTCCAGATGTCAGAGGCTTGGAGCTCCAAGAACTGCGGAGGGTTACTTCACCAAGCGGGGTCTATTTCATCGAGAGGAAAGAAACTAGCAAAACTAGGATGAAACGCTTGAATTGTTGCCAACCTCTGCATCTTTGCGTTTGCATCTTCCATGGGTGGGATTTTGGATTGCAATCTGTTCATCTCCAGGATCGGGCCGTGACCATTACAGGATCCCAAGAAGCGGTGGACAGGGCAATCCGGGCTGTGAAAAACATCGTGGACGGCGAAAAGAGATCACCGGAGCAGCGCAAGGTGATGCAGGTCTCCGGCGCGTTCGTCGGCTGCTTTGCTGCATCTTCCGTTCTCATGCAGTGGGGCATGGTTTGAGCTGTGGCGTTCTGGGAGTTGGCAGGCATGATCATCGGCAGAGGCGGTGAGAATGTGAAGTCGATGTCCCGCGAAAGTGGAGCCAAGATAGAGGTTTCCAGAGACGATGGCGATCGCGATGCAGAAGCGCGCTTACTCGTTGGCAGTATGTTAGCACAGCAGTTTTGTGTGCCGTGCCCTGTGTTGGACTGTTTCTTGTTGCCCGCAGAGGACAGAAATGTGACAATCACCGGAACGGCTGAGTCCATAGAGAAAGCCATGAAGCTCATTGAGGATGTGATTGGCAATCGAGCTGGGGGGCTCGATGACAGGACAGATGCATGTTGCTCGATTTGCCCGAACCACTAGTTCAGGGAAGGCAGTGGGCTGTTGGGACAGGCCGTCAAGTGCTTTGTGATCTTTGTGTAAGAGTGATGGTAGGGCTGGCTGGCAGGAGTGATGCAGAGTCCTTGCCAGAGCCGCCGCCGGGCTTTGAAGCAAGCCAGCACGAGGAATGGCTCTTCAATGCCAAGACACAGGAGTTCTTCAATAAGACGACGGGTGCCCTTGCGTGGCTTAATGCCAGCACGGGCCTTTTCTGCCCAATCAGCACCTCGGCACTAGGCACACTTAACGGAGGTGTTTTTGCAGATCGTGCTCTAGTCACGCGTTCATTACGTGGCTTTTTGCGCTGCCTAGGAGAAGGTGTCCGACATGGAGATCTCCAGTTGATTTCTGGCACAGCAGTTGGCATTGCAAACTCTGAGGCCAAGGATGCCCCCAAGACAGTGGTCATTCCAGACCTCCATCGGGTAGCACAGGCCCTGAAAGCACCTTTCGACCACGTGGACATGCCGGCCTCCATGATCGCTGTGTTTGCTTCTCCAGCCGACGGTGTCCCGGGCGTACCTGTGGACCAAGCGGCCCGGACGTTTCACGAGAAGCTTGTGCGGCGGATTGCGTCGTGGCGGAGTGCTTGGTTAGATCAGGCTTGGTTTGGTGCGCTGACAGGTGCTATGATGGATGTTGCTGGCGAGAGGGGAGTTTTACCGGTGGTTGCTGCGGCACTGCTCATCGGACGAAAAGTTGTAGCCACTTCTGCGCCAGGGGCCCGTGTGTGTTTGATGGCCGGAGCTGCATCTGATGCCTGCACAGCGGTGGCACCTATGGAGATGGATGGATTTGTGTGCTGCTTCCAGCAACTCCCACCACAAAGTCCAGATGTGGCAGACACGGCAGACACCTTGTGCATCCCCGTTGCCCTCCTCGCGGGCCTTTCGCCTTTATCGACTCTGGATGACGGCGTGACTTGCACTGCGGTGAGCCGGCATCTCGACCGTCAGGGTGCGTGGCCCAATGTGGCCCACTCCAGGCTTCAAGCTGTTGCGGCGCAATGCGGCGCAGTTGCTCCCTGGGCACTTGGTGAGTCATGGTGCGAGCTCAGGTCCTTGTTTCAGAACCGGCCACGCGCGGCAGCCGTGGCCCTGCTCCGTGCTGCGCGCCAGGCCCCCCCAAAGTGAATAGTCTCCCAAGTATCCTCGCGTCTTGTCTCCATAGTTTCATCTCACTTTCTCCAGCTCTGAGGCGGGTGCTTCTGGGTCACTTGCTTCAGCCACCGCACGCCTGGGCTTTGCAAAGCTGCCAGAGGCATCGATCAGTTCGTGTATCCATTGGCAGGTGGTCTTGTAACATCTTGTGTTGAAAAACCCGACCCCCTGGCAAGGTCACTCTGCCAGAGAATCCGGAGATGGCAAAAAGGCTCTCAGGGATCGGATCAGACTTTGTCTTTGTCATTTCGATGTGCCAGGAAGTAGTAGACTCTAGACCGCGTTGTAAATTGTCAGAAACCAAGTGCAGGCCCCGTTCATTCCCTATCTCTCCTCTCACGCAGGACAAGCTGAAGCAAAGCAAGGTGCGTGTGCGCCAGATACTCCTTCGTTTCTGGTCAGGCACCTCAGCGACTTTAGAGCTGGGCCAGGGGAGCCCATGCGCAAGACAGTGCCGTTGCGGTATTGCACCGAGGCAAAGGTGCTCAGCCCACCAATCCCATCACAAGGAAGCCTGTCACGCGGAAGGTGGAGGAAGCCGAGATGCAGATGCTGGTGCCTTGCCCAGACAGACGTAAGCAGTCCACGTCATCCCACATCAACGCAGCCTTCAGAGATTTGAAAACGTGCGTTTGAGTTCATCCCGGCAGGAGGTGTTAGACAAGCTGCTTGCAGAAAACTGTGCCAACTTCGCCTTCGTCTGCAAGCAAGTGTCTGAATGTGGCTCTGCCATGCGTGGGGGCGCGGACAATGGTGACCTGGGCTGGCTGGACGGGGATGCACTAATTTAGTCACTAGTCACTATTTCTGTAGCAAGCTAGCCGACAATCACACATGCCGTTGAGCTCGGCCAAATGGTCTCGGGCAGGACCAGGCAAAAGTGGCAGCGCTGGCGAAGGCAAAGGGCCAACCTGGTGGACCAAAGTCTGTCCGGGGCCGCAGTCGCAGAAACGGTTTTGCAGGTTTTAAAAATTCCTCCCCGGAGGCTGAACGTTGTCTGATCACTGCTCTCGAATGTCGACTCACGCTTAGGTTGTCCAGTCCAGTGTACCTGTGGCAGTCGTCAAGGCGGCCTTCGAATTGGAGAAGGACAGCTTTACACATCTGCTCGAGAGATGATGCCTGAAAGGGTTGAGATGCAAGATCAGTCTGGCTTATGCTCTAGTCTGGGGCCCATGTCTGTCCTCAGGGTGAGCTCAGTGATTTCGCTCCCTGGCTTCATCATGCCCTGTTGTCCGTGCGGATTCTGCCAGTCTTTGCGACTTTGAGCTGTTCTAAATTTAAGCTGTTGGAAGCCCAGGTGGTTTCCGAACTTGGTGTTCACTTGGTGCAGCGGACCGGCTGAATCCATCGCCTGGTTCAAACTTCTCGCCCTCGGTTCCCAACGGCTTCCGAATTGGCTGGAACGTCTGCGCGCCCGAGCAAGCAGCGAGTGACAGCGAGAAAGTGCCTGAATCGCGACACTTATTGACATTTATTGACGCCAGTCTCACACGTGTCTGACATGTGCTTGGCACGTGCCGCAGAACGTGAGCAGCAGCAGGGGCCCGGTCGCAGTCGGAGAACAACCTAGACGTGGAGATGATGAGCAGCACGCGGTCGCAAAATCTCCCAGCAATGGTTCCCTGCTCTGTGCATTTCTGCATGATAAAAGTTCACTTGATGAAGCGGTTTTTGTTGCTGTCTGCAGGTGCAGCCTGACAAAGGCTCCGCAGGAGCACAGGGCGGCTGGTTCGAATCCTCTCGGGACATCCCTGGAAAGTGGGCAGCTGACTCAGCTCAGCCTAGTTCGGAGACTTCGGGGACAACCACAGACCCGGTGTTGTGTTTCTGCACGTGTCCGTGTCTTCAACGAAAGCTGGCTACTCCAATATCAGGATGCTACAGTTGCAAGTGCCAAAAGTAATGGCCTTGACCGGGCCGGGGGAGGCCGGGGCCCGGGAACCGCCTTCTGATGTCAAGCAGACGGGTGCCGCCGTGCCTGTTTTCGTGGCTCGGACTTACGGCTGGAGCCCGCGGGCACATGCCCCGAGCGCACCGAGCTTAAGGGAGTTGGTTGACACATAGATCATACAAGCTGGCTCTTTAACGGAATTTTTCGCTTTTGCTTTGCAATCTTGTCAGTCATCGAATCACATTTGGGAGGGAGAGGGGGCGAGGGAGGTCCTGAACTGTTTCCCTCCCTCCGCATCTCAAGATTCCGCCCCCTTCGCCGAGATGTCTAATCTCCGTAGCTTCTTTGGGCTCAGCTTGCACTAGCTGAGGTTAGCGCAATCACCGAAGCCAAGAAAGCAACAGCCCCCTACAAGTAGCTCGAGAAGAGAGGGAGAGAGGGAGAGGGGGAGAGGGGGAGAGGGGGCGAGAAGGAGAGAGGCGGGGAGAGGAGCGAGGAGAAGGGGGAGGGAGAGGGGAAAGAGGGGAAAGAGGGGAGAGGGGAGGTGGAGAGGGGAGACGGGAGAGGGGAGACGGGAGAGGGGAGACGGGAGAGAGGAGAGGGGAGAGAGGAGAGGGGAGGGGAGAGGGGAGAGGCTAGGGCGAGGGAGAGGGAGGGGCAGAGGCAGAGACAGAGGGAGAGGGAGGGAGAGGGAGAGGGTGAGGGCGAGGGGTGAGGGCGAGGGAAATGTAGTGCTTCCAATGCCTTGTAAGGTGTTTCTGAAGGAGGTCACCTTCAAGCACACAATCCCCAAGATGGACCGCTGCACGTTGTAGGAGGTTTCGGGCTTGGGATAGATCACATGGCGTGCTCTGTGCAGGATCACCTGATCTGCTTTCTTCCTGGTGCATTGGCACTCGACGTGTTTCACCACGCGGCGCGTCGTTTCAATGGCACCGCCGTGCAACCGCATCAGCTGGATCGAGACCGTGCCATGGAGCTTACCCTGGCCCACAAGTTGCTCGAAAGAATGTTAAGGACAGCAGGCATGTATAGGCGCATGGAGTGCATGGGTCCTGTTCCACTCACCAAGAGTTGTGGGCCCAGGTTGATGCAGTCGTGCGGCTCGTACGCGATTGGTGGGAATGTACTTTGGGCTTAGGCGGCCACAGGTGGCCTGTTAACATCGTACTTCTAGAATTTGAGGCGTGCAGATGTACTTTCGCACCGTGACCGACTTAGCTCCCGAGATCACTCGCTTCAACGGACATGGCCTGGAGGACTGTAGAGAATGTGCTTTCATATGACCATCTGCGAAGCATGGCGTATTCAGCGGCAAAGGTTTCACTATGATGAATGGTGTTCGTCTTTGCGCTGCCCTAGTTTTCAATCTGCTGTCATATCCGTATCGTCGTCACGTCTTTGTGTCTGCTCCTCTCTGGGCCTGCCATGCTTGTGAGTGATCGAGATGGCAGTCGTGACAGTTAAGAATCTTGATGTCGGATTCTGTCGCGAGCTGCGTGTTCCCAAACTGCCCGAAGGATGACCACGGCTCCATGCACAACATCCTCAGGCCAGAAACTGCGGCTTGACTGGGTCAAATTTCCCCAAGTTGGGGGCTCATTTGTTGCTGGCTTCTTGAAAGGTCGAGAGCCTCTTCGTTTTGTGGCGGACGACGAAACTCCAAGTTTATCGAAATTGGGGACAGCGGATTCTCTCTGCCTTCTATCGCCTCAAGACAAGCTACGGCTTCGCCAGCCTGCACAATGTCAATCAGCCATCCTCCAAGCGGGATGACATGCCTTCCTTCTTCCTGGCCGAGACCCTGAAGTGCTTCGAAGCACATTCAGCACTTTGAGATCCCACCAGCCTGCTTGACAGAAGTTGAGGTACCTTTTCTTGCTGTTTTCTTCAGATGCGGTCCTTCCCCTGGATCGCTTCGTTCTCAGCACAGAGGCAACCTGCAGAGCAGCACAAACATTCGAGTGATATCTGGGCACCACAAAATGGCAGGCCCATCCGGTGCCGATGATGAAAGCAATGTCCTCCCTGGGCGTGGAGTGGCCTTGTCCAGCGACAGGTGTGCACCAGCCACTTGGGCAGCACTGTCCTAGCCGATACTAAATACAGATGGGCTTTGAAGATGCCAGCGCGTGCTATGCTCGTCATGTACACAGTCGCACCTGCATGGCACAAGTGCGACATGATATCAGGTCAACTCCGCTTCCGGCCGAACAGACGCAGGAGCTGCTTGAGGCTTTTCGAATGCTGGCCGAGTCTTTGCCTAGCCGCAAGGACAAAATCGAAGTTGTGCCTATTGCGCTTCCCTTGAAGGTGCTAGAGTTCAGTCTGTTGACGCTTTGGTCATGTGCAATGAAGGCTCTGTACAGCCGTTTCACATGACCGAGTCATCAAGTCAAGCACAGAGGCGCACAGAACATGCATGACTGCGCAGGAGCGAAGCAGAAGCATCATCTAAAGCTATTGACACTGTGCCAGTCGCGATTGCAGACTAGTTTAGCCGTGTAGAATTGCATCTTGACATCCTGACGACACCTTATCGCGATGGCCCTCCATGCTTGCAGCATGGCTTAGCGCACTACATTCAGCAGCTGCAGGTTTGTCACCACCATTCTCTCTGTTTTTGGCCGCTCTTGTGGAACAAAACAGCTCTTGGGCACTTGAGCAGAGGACCCGTGGCAGCCCTCCAGCGGCTCTCGGCTGAGGCCAGAAACATTGCGGTGAGTCAGCGACTCGTCGGGAGTGTGCCGTGACTTGGCTGAGGCGGCCGCAAGCCCTGTTGTGGGTTCGAAGGGCCATGCCCCCATTCCACGAGCGAGGTTCTGGGATGCTGCTCGAAGGTCTATCAATGTCTTTCAGAGGCTTTTGCCGGCTTTTGCCCTGTTGAAGGTGGCATGGGGTCTCAGAAGTGGGTGCGCTGCAGGACAATGCCAAAACCTGTTGCCCTGTTGCCATGCCAGCATGAAGACGGGAGGCATGTTCCGTTGCTTTCAGGCTGAAACAGTGTTCTTGGACCTCCATCTTTGCTTCAATTCATCTGTAGATCTCGCTGCGATCGAGTACCGATCTTGGACCGATGGCCATGGCCGGACGTTGGGCAACATGCTGTGCTCCACATCTCTGGATCGTCCCAGGTTTTACGCCGAGGATGTCGTCCCTTTGCGCAATGGAGACTTTGGATGGTACGCTTGCCTCGGTTCTGTGCTGCATGTGCACCTTGAGTTCTTAAGCCTGTTGTGAAGAGAAGTCCCAGCATCAGCCAACAAATGTAAACAGTTCCTGTCAGGCGCATTGTCCACCCCATCCCAAGCAGCTCAAGCTCGGCAACGCAGTGGCCAGGCACTCAAACTTAGTCTCAGGTCGTTCCCGCGACCAGATGCAAAGCTTTAGCATGCTTTGGCGTAGGGTTGCAAGCAAGGGGATGTGTTCACGTGCAGGTTTCGACTTGGAGATGCCAGCGGCCCTGGTGACATGAGGGATTGTCGAGTTGTGGTCCAAGTCGTCGGGTGTGCTAGGCTTTGCCGGCATTTTCGACTGAACACCCTTCGGTAGAGCAGCTGCCATCGTGGCGGGCTCAGGCAGGTCGTCCTTGCCGACCTTTTCCTCTTGTCTTGTTTGCTACCAGGGCACCTCAAAACATAGGAGAGTAGGCCAAAAGCATGGGTGCACTCAAAGGGGCAGTTCGTTTTGCGGTATGATGTGGAGAGACCACGTCTAGAAGTGGTCGCGGTGCCTTCCTCCAGTCATCTCAGTCATCTGTTACCATGCGTCCAGGCCGGGAGCCTATCGAGCCGTGCTGGAACCGCCGCTGAGGCAGCCTGCGCCCCTTGTGCAGACTGATATTGGGATGTACCCCCGTTTTTTCTAGCAGTCCTTCATAGGGATTATAGTACCCCCCGATTAGAATCCCTATGAAGGACTGTTAGTATAAGGGGGAACATCCCAAGACTGAATGGTGGAGGTCACCCAGCCTGCGCCCTGCGAGTTGCTGTCGCATGCTGTAGCAAGCATGCTGGTCTGCTTGGGTCTTGTGTGCTCGGCACCGCCAGCCTCGACTCTCATGGAGACTGATGTAGACCGATCTGTTCTGTCATGGAAGCTTCTCCTTGAAATGGGCTGAAGAGCCGCTGAAGCAAGAAGCAAGAACATGAGGGTGCAGCCCCTGCTCTTCGTGCTGCGTGCTTCGCTGTGCCAGCTGGCTCTTTCAGGTGGGGCGCAAAAAATCTGTTGCAAGTTAACCGCGCAATCTGATCCGCAGTGTACCGCGGTGATCTGCAGGGCCACTAGACCACTTTGGCGCACCTGGGCGTGCCTGGCCGTTGCTTCCTTGCAGGAATCTGCTTGTTCTTCGCTTGTGCCTTGCTTGTCATTGCTTGTGTTCGTATGCCAGCTGCGCCAGTTTACTTCAGACCCAATGTGGAGGACGTATGCCTCTCACTTGCCAGCACATATGGGAACCTTGTCTATGCTTAGTCGCCGTGTAGCCGATGCGGTAATGTTCTTCCACCCAGGTCAGGCTGGTTTGCTGGGTTCCTTGCGCACTCGAGTCCAGATCTGGAACGATACGAACAGCACCTGTGCTGGTGCCATCGCGCGGCTGCCCGTCTGCTCTGCATCTGGGAAGAGTTGATTTCAGCAGCGCGTTCCCTAACGTGTTTTCCAACTAAAATGTGCGGGATTCACGAGATCAATGGAAGCAGCAGCTTGACAGTGCAACGAGGACAAATCCAACATGCCAGAGTGAGCATGGTGCAGTTGTAAAGGTTTCGCAAAGCACACGTTCATCCAAATCAGGTGGCAGAAGAACATGTGACCACAATCGCGTTATTGGAAGACATGACCCTCGCCGTCGCAACTTACACGCCTGCAATAGGCTCATATGAAGCCACCGGCTATGTTTACATTTTTTCAGCGACCACGCTCGGTATGGCGAGTGGCTATGATGTCCTGCTGCAGACAGAAGCAGAGGTTTTGTCCATACTTCGCTTGCCCATGGGTGCCACTCTTCTCGGCGGGACTATCTTTCACCAGAATAGACCATCCAGTGGCATAATTGAAGTCTTCTCGCCGGAAGAGTTCCAAAAAGGCGGTCGTACAAGGCATGCGATTAGGACAAGTCCGTCCATCGCTCGTCTTGCTTTGGTTGATGCAGATATACTGGCGGCATCGGCGTCGCTCCAAGGCACGATCCTCTTCTACGAAATCGCTCAAATAGTTTCTCGTGGGTCAGATGAGTCAGTAGGGCCAACGCCTGCAAAGCCTGCAACACCCATCGCGCAACTGGACCTGGACTTTGCAATCCAAGAATTCGCCGCTCGGTGGTAAAGTTGAGGTCGGGGTGCCTACGAATCCTACGTGCTACGAGAAGTCGGGGGGGGGGAAGGTGGGCGGGCCCGGCTTGAGGTCACTGTGGATGGCCGCTTGGTGGTTGCAACAGAACCAGAACTTCAGATCTTTTTGCTCAGTGACGTGCTGGAGCAAAAGTCGGAAGAGCCGCTGAAGCTGAAGGTGCGGGACAAGGACGCTGGGTCCGAGCTGCCGTACTTTTCATATCTTATCATTGTGGGTCGGGGTCGTGTGTATAGGGACAACACTTCGACGCCCCGTGAAATGTGCAGCCTCGACTCGGCCTCGATTGCAGGGGTACGTCTCGCTCGTCGCTCTGCCTGGTGGCCTTGGCTTTGCAGCTGGTGCCACGATGCAAAGTGCAAAATGATGCGAAGCTCATGCGCAGCCGATGCCAGATACTTCTTGTGGCCTTTTCGTTTGCCGTGCTGAGGCCGCATGGACGCGAGAATAGAGGTATTCCGGCCATCGTCTCGGATTCCTACGCAAGTCATGCAAACCCTTGAGATTCTGAATGGGAGTGTGCTGGGAGATGGATGCTGGCCTTTACCAAGGATGAACGAAGTTGTCAGAGGAGGCTCTTGTCTTGCATGCTTGGATTCTAGCACGTGAGTTTGTCCAGCCTTTCGGTCGCCTCGAAACTTGCCATTGCCAGGAACTACGCCGCGCAAGGAGCTCTCAACAAACGGCTTGCCTTACCCAGTTCTGGTCCTAGCGGACAAGGGGCTGGCAGCCGTCACATCTTCCAACACTGTCGACATATTCGATGCGAAGGCGGGTGAGATGGCCCAGTGACTTCATGTCGCGATATTGACCCTCGGATGTTGCCGATCTTGCATCCCTTGGCAGGTTCTGGAAAATCTGGCTTACGTGGTTCGGCCTGTGCGAACACTCCCGCTGGATACGCCTGGGGTAAGCATTGCAAACTTGCCTGGCAGAGGCAGCCATCTGATACATGCGCACGACTGCTGGAAGAGTCCTGGGGTTCTCATTGCTGGGGCAGCCGAGGAAGCATTGTTGGAGTTTGCCGCGCTTGCCCCCACACTCGCCCCAAACTTGCGCCACACCCCTCCATGGAATTCTCCCTCCACCTGCCTCTTCCCGGGTTGCTACAAGTTGCAACAGCAGTTGTCCTGCCGGAAATGGGGCAAGTGTGGGGCGAAATCAGTTAGCTCTCCCCGGCACTCATGCCCACTTGGTCTTGACATCAAACTGACCAGCAACTGTGGGATCGATGTGGATAGATCAGGGGAGGTGCTCCCAAGATGAAAAAAACCCACGGCCTTTGGTTTGCCTTGAGTGCCTGCATGCCTGACAGGCCTTGTCGTGGCATCAATGAGACATGTGTCCATCTTCAGTGGTGAAGGCTGGTTTGGCGAGCATGGCCAGAGACACTGAAGCCTACATGACTGAGTGTGCAGGTGGCTGCTGTAGTGACGCAGTTGAACTTGTTGCAGGCACTTCCTCAGCAAAAAAGGCAGCGGAGGACTTGTTCGTGGACCGAACCATAAGCTTTTTCAAGGAAGTCGAGAGCGACATAATCCTCGTCGGAGAGTTTAACGGTGACTCGGCTGATCCAGATGTTCGAACTTACTCTTTGCCAATTCTTCGTTCATTATGCGGTTTGCAACCCTAATTTCATCTGGATATAGCAGATGGGGAGTCATCACTGCGCCCGAATATTGATGGCAGATTCAGGTCCGGTGGTCGTTTTCTCCGCATCTGGCATTGTGCCGCAGTACTCATCCGGCTCTTGGTTTCATCGTGCACACCTGTTTTTCACTGCACGTCGGCAAGTTGCGACCGCATCATCAGCTGAAGTGCTTCCGGGCGGATTGCTGGCCATCGGCTGCTGGCCACGCGATATCTATATTTTCAATCTGTCGAGCTTTCGGCGACAGCTGTCGCCGCCATTCGTGGAGCCCGTGGACATTCTGGCAACCAAAGGCTCCAAACCCTCCAAACCCATATCATTGCAAATAGCATGGTGGCAGCGATGAAGCTGAAGCTGAGACATGCTGCATGGTGACCCAAAAATCCCCCCCTCCCCTCACCTTTGCCTTTCGACGCTCGCCTCAGAAAAGGAAGAGCTCGAACCATAGAAGGAACACATCGAACTGCTCAGGCTGCGGCTGTTTTGTGTGTGTGTGTGTGAACAGCAGTGCATGTGCAACAACAACCCATATAAATTCAATAAGTTCGCCCGTTGTGAGTCGACAAACAGTCAGACAGTTGATTCTGAAACCCAAGTTTTGACGTGAGTGAGTCGAAATCCAAACACCTCAACCTATCTCATCCACCCACAACCAGAACATACATGAACATACCAGGACCAGAGCTGCAAGATCCCCATCCAGCAAAGTGCTGTGCTATCCTGGCCTCTTGCTTATGACCGCATTCCAGTACAGACGCCCACCAGCTCCCTGGGCTTATTGGGGCCCCTTGGGGGCCCTGGGTGAGGAAGGGGGTGGAAAAAGATTGACAATGCGCATGATGCCTCTTGGCAAGGCACCCGACCCATGCCCGCAAAGTCATAGAAGAATCGTGAGCTGAAATCCAGAGAACCTCTTCTCCACGGCATGCTGCATCCATCTTGACTTCTAGTCTGTAGTGATTGCAGAAGAGGGCGGGTGCCATGCAAGCAAAATAGCAGGTCACGTTGCGGCCATGGCCTCATCAAGAAAGTTTCTTTGGGCCGCATCGGATACAAGTTTAGTGGTCATCGACCTGACGGCAGATGTGGATTTCGAGACGATCGCAATGCCAGGCTTGCTCTGAAGAGCTGCTCAGCAGACTTGCTTGATCGTCGCGCCTGCCAGGTGTGGTTTTATCTCTGGCAACTCTTTCGGAAGTGGAGGTGGTGGCTGGCCTTAGCATTGCATTGGAGGAGGCCTTAGTTGTCCGGCCTTTGTGTGGCAATGAAGTGGTGGCGTCCTGGCTGCGAGTTTGCCTGCGCCCGCGCATGCCCGCGCCCAAGGCAGTCGCCGTGTTGACTCGTTCCCGTGCCCATGCTGGTCGGATGCCTCACTCCGTCTCCTGGGCTCTCATTGACGTTGCTGGTCCGGTCCATGCTCTGCTTGTGGTGGACGGCCTCCTGCTGGCTAATGCCTCAGTGCGGATTGATGGTAAGGGTTTGCAAAGCTGCTGTGTGCCATTTCGCGCCAGTTATGATTCATGATATGTTGTGAGCGTCGGCTGGCGACAGCTGAGGCGGCAACTGCTCCTCGGCCCGAAGTGCCCAAGAAACTCTCCCAAGAAACAAGCTCGATCCGAGGAATTGAGCACTTTGCACATCTTCTCAGTCGACGGTGCCCGCTTCCGCGAGCTCGCGGTGCTAAGAGTGCGAGTTTTGCAGCCCCAAGTGCCTTCAACCAGCTACTTGGAATTCGTAGTCGTAGGTCTCGGACATGTGCTGTCTGTGTACCATGCTGTTGCGTTCAAGCCATGTTTTTTTTAAAATGTCGGCATAGAAAACACGCCTCGATGCTGGCTCGAAAGTGTCAGGCTTGGCGGTGGTCGATGATCGAACTCTCCTGGCCGGACAAGCGCCTCGTTCTTGTCCACGTCAGAGTCTGCCATACCAGTCGAATCCAGTCATATGAGAATGCGGATTCGGCGATCTCAGGACCTCTTCCGAGCAGACGACGCGCGGTCCCTGTGCAGCCCAGGCTTCTTCTCCACCAGCGGCCAGTACCTATGTCAGCCGTGCCCGGATGGCTGGACTTCGGACCTGGGGTCGGGAAGTTGTGTCTATGCCGAGCTCTCAATCTTTGTGATGACCTTGATTCCCGTTTCCGTGACTTTGATTCTTACTGGTGCCATCCTGTCTCCATTGACTGGGCAGCTTTACGTCTGCATGTCTCGGCGCGCCACCGATGGCGACGCCTCGGCGTCACCGAGATCCAGGCAGCGCCACCGGGCACATCACTTGAAGTTACCTCATTTGTGTGCAGTTCTGCGGCTTGCCGGCGGGTCCGTACCTCCTCGTGCTCACTTCGCATTCGTCGTTTTGCTTCTTGCCCCTTAAGTCACGCATTCGTTTCCCTTATTCATTCGGCACAATCGCAATGCTGAACTGCTGCGGCTGCGAGCATGGGGTGCAGTCTGTGCAGGGGAACTACGCTGCAGTCGACGCTGCTGTGGACCTCTGCGTCCGAGGGAATCCGGCGAGCTTCACGCCACCTGATAGTGAGGGACGACCGAATACGCCGATGGCTTTGGTCCTACGTGGCCACTGCGCACGTACCCTTGGTTGCGGGGCTTGCCTCGGCCACGCAGCAAGGTTGGCTGATGGCCGGAGGGGTCCTGCAGCTCGGAATGTTTCAGGTTTGTTCTGCTTGGGTCATCGCTTGTTGTGCATGCAGACTTTATCACACGTCGTCTGGCGAGAGAGAGGCTGGCAGTGTTGTTCATCCTGCGAGAACGAGAAGTCTTGTACACGGACCTTTCTGGAGTCTCGGCTGGTCATGTGTTTTTTTCGTTGCTTTTGCGCGGCTCAGCTTTCGTAGATGATGGGGGCGTTTTGGCACCTATGCACATGATCCAGTGACCAGTGATCAATGGTGCCTACAACATCTTAGAACCATTCTGCCATTGTAGACCCAAAACGTGTGAGGCCATGTGAGCCCCGAAGTCGAAAATAGCGACGGCAGTTTGGCATTTCGCGAGCCCACAAGAAGTCCAACAGTTGCGACAGGGTCGCATCTCGCGAGTCATGACATCCCAAAGCGACGACAGTTTCGCCGTTCGCGAGCCTGGACGTGCAAAAGCGATGGCCGTTTCGAGCATAGCGAGCGTGGCCACGCCCGCGCCAAGGCGAAAGCGCGATTTTCGTTCAAAATGCGAGAAAAGCCCACGGGCCGTCGTGGCTCCGCGCGTGCAGCGCGCCCACATCGACCTAGCCCCTCTTACTCTGCACGTGAAGTCATGCTTGCTGGCAGGTGAGTTGACGGCCCGACACTGGGCTTGCCTCAGCCTCCGCTTTCTGGCCATGGCGAATATCATCGCGGGCTTCTCCTGCTTATTCTTTCGTCCGGAAGTGATGCTTGCCCATGTCTCCTGGCATGTGTTGCAATGGCGATTGTTCGACAATTTGTCTCGGAAGCTGTCAGCTCGCGTCTGCAAGCGCAAGCTGCAGCTCTGCACTGACGTTAACTCAGGCCATCCCTCTGGCCAGCGTGGCTGTAATGAGCAGTAATTGTGCTCTTGCACCTTGTGCAGCATACAGTTGTCTTAATTGGGCAGCAGTGCGACACAAGCGAGTGCTTATGCAAGCGCGTGTGCGTGTGTGAGTGACGGTGGGCAGTGTGAGTAGTGCAGTGCATTTCCTGCATGGGCACAGGCTGACCAGATACACACGTTCCTCCGGACGATGTATGTGGCAAGTGCCGGAGAGCTGTCCGCGGCACCAACTGCCAACACTGCCGGTGTGCGCGTACTCAACATGGGTGCATCTTGCATTCATCTGAAGCTTGGCAAACATCTGGTTGCTCCATGCTCGAACTCAAGGCGAACGTTGTAGTTTCAGCAAAAGGCAAGGCCAGGCCCGAAATGGATGCCAGTATGGTGGAGCAGAAAAGATGCGATGAGGTCTGCTGCCGGGGTGGCTAGCTTGACCCTGGCACAGCATGGAGGACATCAGGTCATGCTCCTTGGCGCATTGGAGGGGTGGGAGGGGGAAGTGGCTGCGAATCAGAGCCTGCGCATCCCAACGTCGCAAATCCGAAGCCGCCGCATCATCCGTTTCCCGGTTTCCTAATCAGCCCTGTCCTGGATTCCGAAATCGCCATTTGCGAGTTGCCAGTTTCCCATCCTAGTTTCTGATTCAGCATGGTTCCGCCGCCTGGTTTCGGATTTTTCCGTCGGACCTTGGTGGGGCATATGAACCTACATTAGCTGGTGCGGCTTGTAATCTGCTTGTCTGCAGGTCCTCCACGCAACGGACGCACAGTGCGAGGGATCTTTAATATGCCTTGCATCTGGTATTCTTCGAAAGTTGCCACAGGTGTCATGCATGTACCGAGATTATGCGGGAACAAGGGGTGTCCTCAAATTCGGTTGCCAGCTAGAGCCTGGAAGGCTCGGAGCCTGACTTTTGCCTCCAAAGACTGTACATGTTTGAGCTAGTGTGGTACACTGCTGTGCGGATTACAACTTTGCTTGTTTGTTGGGGTTCGCGGGGTTGGAACATGCGAAGTTCAAAGAACAAGTTCAAAGAACTGGAGTACTCACTGGAGAGCCACCACTGACTGAGTGCGTCACAATAACAAAGCCCTCGTGTTATCGTCCAAGAGACAGAGCATGCAGCATGCAGATCATGCGAGCGCCTGAGTGCTCTGCTGAATGCTGTCGTTATACACCCGCAAGCTTGGGATCAGCATTGGGCTCCTCTTCTCATGATGTTTCTTTTTGGGTTTGCTTCTGGTTACTGGTTCCATCAGGCTGCCTGCTTTTACTGTGACGCGCTACCTCACGCTCATACCGAGGACCCTGTTCGGACGGTCTGATACTTCCGCAGGATCTCTGCCGGTGTCTGGGTTGGTTTTCGCTTGCTCGGCATCGTTTGCGCCTCGACCAAAAAAGGGTTCCTTGGTACCAACACCAGAGCACCAGCATTGTAAGACATTGCGAGATTGTAAGGCAGGAGTTGCGCTTGCAGCACGTGCATGCGACCAGACTGAGATGATGGCCTCGACACTTGGTTGCAGGCGCATCTCATTGTTACATCCACACTCAAACGACAGCTGCGTCAGGAATGCCACTACCTGGGCAAGTGATGAATGCGTCATTCCGTCTCGTATCCCTGCATGCTGCTGTTGTCGGCAGCTGCTCTTGAGACTGTCGGTTGCTGTGAAGACTTGGGTTCACAAGCACTGGCTCCTGTGTGCGAGTTCGCTCTATGCAGCTCAGCTGCAGACCGTGAATCTCCTTCCGATGACCCCATGAGCCTGATATCGAAAGAATCTAGAATGATCTCGAGGCATGATTCGGTTCTTGAGCTTGGTGGTCTTGAAACAATGACTCGTAGTGATTCAGATGCATCAAAAGGGATGGTTCCATCTCAGGACACTTACACGTTCTATGGCCGGCTGAGGGAATCACAATTAACATCGCAGCGTCCGTACTTTGCTGCCATCTTGCTGATTGCCGCAGTGTCCCGTCTGCCACTCTGAGCCCAATCCTTCGCAGTCGGAACCGCGTTCAGCATCGCAGCCTGCCGTGAAACGGTGCAAGGTGACCTCTGCTGTCAATCTCGCCGCCCTCCTCTTCGACAGGTGCCGCGTAAAGCTGCCGGAGCTAGGGGACCGCAATTTACGCCTCAGCACGCTCTCTAAGTGTTTGCTGGTGTTCATGAAGCTGCGGGCAGCTCGGCCTAAATGAGCTTGGAGCTTTCAGAGGCGCTCCCATCATGCAAGCTTCATGCAAGTTTCATGCAGCTTCAAGGTTCTGCAACTGCCCGTGATCGTCACGACCCAGATGGATACCTCCTGGCTTGACGGATCCTTGTCGGAGCTTCCATCATCTGTGCCCTGGAAAGCACAGAGTGAGGGGAGGCAAAGAGAGGCACGAGAGGAGGCACCAGAAGGCCCAGAAAGGCACCAATGAGAGAGACCTGGAAGGTGATCCCTGTTTGGATTTGTGCCGAGCCTCTCTCATGCCCCTTGTGGTGCACATCTCATCTTGGGGGCAACTGCTCTTACGACATCCCTCCCGTCTACAAAGGCTGTTTCTGTTTCTTGGCCGCGCTTAAACTTCATGACTTCATGACTCCGGCTTGGCGGGGGATGTGTGGGACAGTCTCCCAATGCCTCCCAGGCAGGCATCGAGTAGCTGGGATCCCTGACTGGAGGGGCAGCCGCTCGGCCTATCCTGTAATGGCCGCAGTCGAACCGGTGGCAAAACATGGCCCACGGCCTAAATGCTTTAGGCAGAGGCCCGCCAGCAGGCTGGCTTAATTCTCAATGAGGTCTTCTTGCGCAAGTGCCTGAAGTCCAAAAAGAAGCAAAGTCTTAAATAAAGAACTCTAAGTCCAACTGAGCTCCAGGACTGAAGGTGCTCGGAAACTGCGCGATCTCAATTGTGGTCATGACGCTTCTGTCTGCGTCCAAGATGCGTGGAAGGGGCATCTTCGACTTTCCCGAGTTCTCGTCCAGGGCGGTGGCCTGTGTCACAATCCTTCCTTCCTTTTTCTTTGTCCCTCGGCTGCAGATGCTGGACGCTGGGAGTTGTCCAGTGCGACGTGATACGACAAGTGACAAGTTAAGCTGGCACATTGACCCCAACAACAGGCGGTGAACGCAATGTACCTGTCCTTCCCCGACCTGGCCCAGCAGCACCTGGACTCTGCGCAGGATTTTGCGATCCTGAGTGTCCCAACGCTCATCTACGCTTTCATGGCCAATGAGATGGCCAGGCAGGAAAGGGAGGGAGTTGAAGCTGTCACAGGAACTTCCGCGGCCATGTTCCCAATGTTCCCGCCCAGAGGCACGTGGAGACGGCCAGCAAGCGACGATGCCTGAAGGCGGGTAGTGTGCTGGAATTGGCGGGTCGGAGAGTCGTTTCGGCACAGCCAAACTTGGAGCACGTGGTTGGCACAAGCCTGCTGGGTGCTGAAGACTCACTGGGCCCGGTCCAACTCTCGAGCCACCTTCAGCTGGAGAGGCCCACCTACGTTTGGTGTCAGCCACCGCCACGGCATGCATCAGTCTATTCTCCCTCTGGGTTCCGTGCGCTGGCTCCCTGGGCCCACTTCGCGACCTTGCTGGCAATCTACTTGGCGCGGCGCAGCCTGAGACATGCGATAATCTTCGTCAACGCAGCATTGCTCATCGCCATGGGTTTGAGCAGTGGTTGGCTTTGTTTGACCTTGAAGCAAGGCCTCCCTTCTCCATCGACACCTGCTGAAAGGGACACTTGCCGACTGGACCAAGACATGCCCGACAGAGCAACCCTCGAGCTTCAGGACGCAGCAAGTTGGCTTGAGACTCCCGCTCGCAGTGAGCAAAGTGAGCATTGTGATGGAGATCAAGGATGCGGCATGAACCAAGATACGAGCCCGTAGACTCGCGCAGCGCCCCCATGAGGCCTTCAAGGAGGCCTTCAGAGACGACACGAAGGACGTGCACCGCGGACGCTTGGTGGTTGGATGGCAGCAGCCTGCCAGCGATCCAAGGGGCATCTTCGAGCCAGAAAAGAATCTTCGATGGCCAGCGCAAATGCCAGCCAAGCTGCTGTGCATATGGAGACAATGTGAGATGAGGATCGGCAAGCCGAAGATGTTCATTTGTCCTTGGGTGGAGGGAGAGTTTCGAGGCTTCGATGTAGCCGGGGCGACGAATTCCAAGGAGACACCCGTGTAGCATAGGAGTCGCAGAGGACGGGCACTTGGAGCGACGAGGACCCAAAAGCAGCATCTGACAGGGAAGTCCACTTTGCCATGAAAGGACGTGCGAGAACCGTGCGAGAACAGGTCTCCAGCCGGGGACTACGCTGCCCAAAGCTGGCCGGGCAGCCCAACTCTGGCGGGACTGGACATGACGCCTTTTTCCGTGGGCAGATCAGCGACTGCACAATGCGGCACAAGCCAAAAAAAAGAAAGGAGCTGCTGCCGTGGCCAAGGATGCATGGTCGCAGATTGATTTGAATTTTGTGCCTGGGAGGCTGGGCTACGCCGACTGCCTCGGATGGTCATCGCGTGGAGGTTGCCGCTGAGAGAATTTGAGCGGGCCAGTGGTGAGGGGTGGTTGGTGCTGAGCATTGCGGAGGTTCTGAGCCTCTACCCTATGACGAATCAAGCTCCGCGCAGGCATGTCAGCTTGCCCTGGTCTTCAGGAGATTCTTTGAGTTGTGCGGGCCCTTGCCAGGTGTTTCGGCTCAGACAGCAGCGGCAAGATGCAAGAGTGATGCAAGGTAGCTGGAGCTGGAGCCCTTCGCCATGGCGCCAAAGGGGAAGATGCTCGCCAAAGCAAAGGCAAAGCCTGAGGCTACGCCAAGGCCATGGCCACCCAAAGTCCCCATGGGTCCCATCGAGGACGTGCTGCCACTCATCGCTGATGATGACGAGTCCCTGGACACCTTGATACTTCCGCCCCCTGGCTTACTCGATGGAGTTGATCTGCACTTCGGCCCCGAGGAGATGGAGTATGTCTGTCAATGCCTCGAGAAAAACACAACCGTAACGCAGCTCAATGCTTCCATGTCCGCGATTGGTGATGCTGGTGCAAAGCACATCGCAGCGCTACTGGACAAAGATGACAAAGGGACGAAGGGGACGATCGCGCGGCTGTCATTGAACGGCTGCGGTATCGGCTCGGAGGGTGCGCGAGCGTTAGCTGACGGGCTGGCCCGGTCTGATGTGATGGTTGTCGAGCTGACGAGCAATCGCATCGATGACGCTGGAGGCAAGGCCCTGTTGGAGGCACTACGGCAGAACAAGAAACTAAGGGAGCTGAAGCTGTCTTTCAACCCAATATCGCAGGAAATCGAGGCTGAGATAGAGAGGGCCCTCCTGCTGCGATGATGTTGGGCCCGTGTGGGAAGAGCAGGCGAAGCCTCCCCAGAGAAATGTGGAAGCGCCCGCCTGCAAAAGTAAGGGCAGGCGCATGCGGTCACGCAGCATGGCATGCGCTTGTCATGAGCTTCTTGGACTCTTGGGCTTTCTCCTGAGGTGGCGTGGGTCCGCAGCTCTGATGGCCTACCAGATGCCGTGGAGCTCTTTGCAGCCCGGCTTCTGCTGGGAATACGTTGTGACGAAGCAGACGAAGAAGAAGGAGAAGAAGAAGAAGAAGTAGACGAAGTAGAAGAAGGAGAAGAATAAGAAGTAGAAGAAGGAGACGGAGAAGAAGAACAACAATTATTTTACTTCGACCCCACCCTCTCTTGGTAGAGATACTCTGCTCCAGCGACACTCTGGGCCGGGGACACTCTAGGGTTGGGCAGTCCAGGAAGACTGGGGTTGGGCACTCCAGGGAGACTCTGGGGCTGGGCACTCCGGGGACACTCTGGGGTTGGGCACTCCAGGAGACTCTGGGGTTGGGCACTCCAGGTGGGCACTCCGGGGACATTCTGGGGTTGGGCTCTCTGGGGGTTGGGCACTCCCGGGAGACTCTGGCTAGACTTGGGCACTCCAGGGACACTTGCACTCCAGGGATGAGCGAGGAGTAGACCGGGCGAGGAGAGTTGAGGTTAAAATCTAACAACCCCACACCGAGGGTGGGGAAGAAGAAGAAGAAGAAGAAGAAGCAGAAGAAGAAGAAGAAGCCATATGAAGCCCCCTCGCCATTTGAGGCATGCTGAGTTTTACCATACTAGGCAGTATTCAGCAAGGTTTGCAAAGACGGACGAGGCTCTCTTTCTTAAGCCGTGCGTTGCAGAGCCGAAATCCATCAACACACCGAACAAACTGCCTTGTGCAGCCCCTGAACCCATCCCCGAAGCCAGCGAGGCCCAGCCAGCCATACCGTTCAACAATCACGCCTGGAGTTTCGAGATTGCGAGCTCCAGAGTTTGGAGATTGAAAGTTCGACTCCAAGTTAGAAGCCCGTTCGGGTTTCAAAGATCGAAAGTTCGGCGGGTTCAAAGTTTGAGTGAGAAGGTTAGCTGGACGCCTGCTCGGGTTTGAAAGTTTCTGGCGGCACAGCTTCCGCCCCGAATTGCCTTGCCTTTGCCCGGTGTTACCTTCCCGGTACTCGAAAGCGTTTAGGGGGAAGGAGGCCCAATCCGGGTCTGCTTGTTCCAGACGCTTCTCGGCAGGAAGCCGAGGCGAACTCTCAAGACTCTCAAACGCATGGCCTTATGGAGCTTTCAATCGGAGGGCCTATTTTTTGGGGTCTTTTTTTTTTTTTTTTGGGGCATTTTTTTTTTTTGGTCGATTTTCTTGGTTTTTCCTAAGAAAACCACCATTCCCTCCATATTTTTAAAGGATTTGATGCATTTTCGTGGTTTTTCGTACGAAAAACAGTAATTTCTCTGTGGTTTCATAGGAAAGCGTTATTTCTGGTAGGTTTTAGAAGGAAAGAAGGAAAGAAAGGAAGGAAGGAAGGATGAAAGAAAGGAAGAAAACAAGCAAGGAAGAAAGGAAGGAAGGAAGAAAGGAGGGAAGGAGGAAAGGAAGGAAGCAAGGAAGGAAGAAAGGAAGGAAGAAGGAAGGAAGCAAGGAAGGAAGAAAGGAAGCGTGCTTCGAAGCCCAAGAAACTAGTTGAAAAACATCGTGTGAGCATTGTGTTTGCAAATGGGGGGGCTGCGCCCCCCCCAACCCCCCCCGCTTTTTTTTAAGCCGTGCTGAGCGTGCTTCAAAGCCCAAGAAACTTGTTGAAAAGCATCGTGTGAGCATTGTGTTTGCAAATGGGGGGGGGCTGCGCCCCCCCCCAACCCCCCCGCTTTTTTTTTAAGCCGTGCAGAGCGCGCTTCAAAGCCCAAGAAACTGTTGAAACCCATCATGTGAGCAGGGTGTTTGCAAATGGGGGGCTGCGGGGCGTACGCAAAGCCCAAGAAACTAGTTGAAAAACATCGTGAGCATTGTGTTTGCAAATGGGGGGGGCTGCGCCCCCGCCAACCCCCCCGCTTTTTATCAGCCGAAGCCCAAGAAACTAGTTGAAACCCATCATGTGAGCAGGGTGTTTGCAGATGGGGGGCACAGCCCCCCCAACCCCCGCTTCTTTTAAGCCGTACCAAGCGTGCTTCAAAGCCCAAGAAACTAGTTGAAAAGCATCGTGTGAGCATTGTGTTTGCAAATGGGGGGGGCTGCGCCCCCCCCAACCCCCCCGCTTTTTGTAAACCGTGCAGAGCGCGCTTCAAAGCCCAAGAAACTTGTTGACACCCATCATGTGAGCAGGGTGTTTGCAAATGGGGGGGGGGCTGCGCCCCTCCCCCAACCCCCCCCGCTTCTTTTAAGCCGTACCAAGCGTGCTTCAAAGCCCAAGAAACTAGTTGAAAAACATCGTGTGAGCATTGCAAATGGGGGGGGCTGCGCCCCCCCCAACCCCCCCGCTTTTTTTCAGCCAAAGCGCAAGAAAGTAGTTGAAACCCATCATGTGAGCAGGGTGTTTGCAAATGGGGGGCACAGCCCCCCCAACCCCCCCGCTTCTTTTAAGCTGTACCAAGCGTGCTTCAAAGCCCCAACCCCCCCGCTTTTTTAAGCCGTGCAGAGCGTGCTTCGAAGCCCGAGAAACTTGTTGACACCCATCATGTGAGCAGGGTGTTTGCAAATGGGGGGGGGGGGGGGCTGCGCCCCCCCGCTTCTTTTAAGCCGTACCAAGCGTGCTTCAAAGCTCGAGAAACTAGTTGAACAAAAAGTATGAATCCGATGAAAATGTAGAGGGAATGATAGAAGCCAAGAAAACGAACCAAATAGGGTTTTCCCTAGGACAAACTAAGGAAAAGCAACGTACGCTTTGACGTTTGACGAAATCCGTCCAAAATGTAATCAGAAGAGGGTTTCCTTAGGAAAAACCAACGAAAACCTCGTTTTTTTTCAAACCGTGCCGAGCGTGCTTCAAAGCCCAAGAAACTTGTTGACACCCGTCATGTGAGCAGGGTGTTTGCAAATGGGGGAGCGGGGCTGTGTTTTCCCCCAACCCCCCCCGCTTCTTTTAAGTCGTACCAAGCTTGCTTCAAAGCCCAAGAAACTAGTTGAAAAGCATCGTGTGAGACCCCCCCCAACCCCCCCGCTCTTTTTTTTTGGAAGCCGCGCAGAGCGTGCTTCAAAGCCCAAGAGGTGTTTGCAAGTGGGGGGGCTGCGCCCCCCCCCCCAACCCCCCCCGCTTCTTTTAAGCCGTACCAAGCGTGCTTCAAAGCCCAAGAAACGAAGGAAATGACAGGATATCTGTCCAAAATGTAAGGAAAATAGGGTTTTCCCCCTAGGAAAAACCAAGGAAAACCTAAGGGAAATTACAGGAAATCCGTCCAAAATGTAAAAAAATAGGTTTTTCCCTATGAAAAACCAACGAAAACCTAAGGGAAATGACAGAAAATCCGTCCAAAATGTAAGGAAAGTAGGGTTTTTCCTAGAGAAAACCAAGAAAATCAAAAAAAAAAAGACCAAAAAAAAAAAAAAACAAAAAAAAAAAAAGACCCAAAAAAAAACTCCACCCGCTCTGCAGATTGGCGGCGAATCTCCGTTCCGAAGCATGTCTTGTCACACTTTGGGTGAGGCGACCTCGCACAGAAAGCAGCAGACCATGCAAACGAGCTTCTCAGCGCCTTCGAAAACCTGAAGGACATGCTGCTGCTTGGCAAGCAAGATGTGAGCATGGTGAGAGGCACAGGTGTCTCTGCAAGGAATGGCCAGGGAGATAGAAGAGATAGAAGAGTTGTTTCAGCCCATGACTCCTGTTGAGAAGCTGGCTCTTGGGGGGAAAGTCAGATCAGGTAGCTTGCCAGCCGCTTCAAAAAAGTTGTCGGTCGCTCCTCTCTTCCCGAGGATGTCTCTGAAGACCACGTTGGAGCACATCGACCCGGCCTTGGACAAGGACGAGGCCTTCGTGGCGACGCTGCAGCGCTTCGAGAGGGCCTTCCGCCGCTCCCGGCGGCTCTTCCTGGAGCCGGACAACTTGGCTTAGTCGAGTCCTTTCTAAGGAGCCTCTTAGAGCACCTCCATACCAAAAAACTACGCATAGGATTTTGCCTTCTTGTAGTGCAACTTATAGTAGAAGCAGCAGGGGGGGAGTAAGTATGTCTTGTCCCCATCCAGCACCAACTCATTCTCACCCGTCTCACTCTCTAGGAAATTCAGAGAGTACCCTGAAACTAGGAGCTCTCCAGAAAGCGTCTCACACCTTTTCGGTCTTTGGAGAGCGGGACAGCAAAAGGGAGAACACGACTCCGCACGCCTGGGGAGGAAGGGCGTCTTTTGGCATGCTGATATATTGGGTGTGTCTTATACTCAGAGAAGGGGGGACATATCTGCGCATGTCTGTCCGGAAGACTCTCTGAAGTGGGTCTCTAGGCAACCGTTTTGAGCGCCGCCGCCTTTTGGGAAGCGTGAAGTGGTTGAAGGCCTTATACAGAATCCTACAAGACTTACAAGGGGAACTACCCCAAAACCAAACTCGAGGCAGATACGAGGCACCGAGCAAGCACCTGGCAAGAGCGCTTCCTCTCCTGGCATGCAGCAGCTCTCCACTGCTCAGCGCAACAGACTGCAGTGCGGAGTCACAATTCAGCAGAAGGGGCCTTATAGGGTGACGCGGTAGTCACATGGCGACCGCAGGAGGCCAGAACATCGGTGGAGGGTCTTTGGGGCTGTCAGGGCTTTCGGGGGGTACACTGGGGGAGACTCTGCGTCTTTGGAGGTGCCAAAGACGCACTCCGTCCGCCTGTGTGGAGCTGAAAACAGTTGTGAGGAATCTCAATCAAAACAGAGCGCGCGCGCACGCGCGCGCACACACACACACACACACACACACCTCTACCTCCCATGTTAAGGCTCCGAAGAGGCGATTGGAGACCTTGCCGGATGAGTGCCTTGGCCGCCTTGACACCAGTGCTGCGAATGAAAGGAGCAATTTGTTGGGGGGGTCACCTAAGGTGGAATCTAGGGGTTTTCGGGGGGAAGTTTCCGGGGGATATCAAACTTTTTGGGGAGCGCGGCTGTTGATGCCCTGCAGGTGCTGGCAACGAGTCTTGGGGAACCTGGAAGCCACCGAGCTGTCAGGAGATGGGTCGCGTTAAACAGAGAGCGAGATGCAGAGATGCAGAGATGCAGAGATGCAGAGATGCAGAGATGCAGAGATGCAGAGACCAAAGGAGCGCCGAGCGAAGAAACAAGAAGCGCACCCCCACCAGGATGCGTCAGCTCTGCCTGCCAGAGGATGTCAAAGCTGCGAGGGCCCCTTTTTGTTTGTGTTTTGCTCATTAGGCTCTTTCTCTCTCATTCGCTCTCTCTCTCTCTCTCCCGCTCTCTCTCTCTCTTTCTCTCTTTCTCTCTCTGTGCCAGTAAATATGGGGGCCCTGCCAAAGTCAGAGTACCAGGTCGGAGCATCCCGAGCTGTGGCAGATGCTGCTGCGCAACGACTTCAGCGTGCCTCGTCTCTGTCTTTCCGTCTTTCCCAGAGTTTCGCGGAGAGCCTGCAGCATTCCACGCAGCTCCGTCAACGGAATGCATCCGAGACATGCGCAGGCATCGTTTACGCACAGAGCGATGCTGCTGACATGGATGGCCAGAGCCTTTGATGCCTTTTCGCTGGCCGTCTCAGGCAGTCTCCCTCGGCTTTATCTCATGACTTCAGAAAGATTCAGAGACTGAAGACGTGAGTCAACTTCTCCAAGGCCATGCATCAACAGTTCCATCCTCGCCAGCTGTACGTTTTCAAGCGCCGCAAGCTTGGCGAACGCAGGGTGGAAACACATGGGGGACCCGCTGGGGACTGGGGACACTTACAAGATCTCAGGTTTCAGGTCTTTTTTGGGAGGCCTGACCCTGGCCAAAGCATTGTCTCCGCGGCAAGCGTGCCTCAGGTCGTGAGCATCTACTGGACTTGGAAATAGCCACAGTCCCAGACCAGTTGTTGCGGTTGTTGTGCTTTGTGTCTGTCATCGGGCTCTCTTGACAGCTCATAGGCCCGAAACGAGCTGCAACAACGTGGGGAGCAGGCGTCGCTTGGGTTTGTCAGCTTGGTCGCCCAGGAATTGAAGGAATTGTGGGAGGATGCCACGGGAACGTGGTCTTCAATTCGTGTGAAGTCTGAAGACCAAGGAGGGGGAAGGGAAAGGGGAATTCCACTCCGACGCTCGGCTGTTCTCTACAGTCTCTTCATATGGGCTTAGAAGTGTGCAAAGGAGAAGCAAGCTCTTACAAGAGCTGACAGGAGACAAGACGTGACTCAAGACCTTGCAAAGGTTTTCTTTCGTTTGAGAGTTTTGAGGGGACAGAGCTTTCGACGTAGCGTGTAGCCTTCGCTTTCGCCACCCGGGCACCTTGGAAGAGGCACGTGAGCAGGAGCGCAAGCAGCGGCGGCTGCCAGAGCCCAAGTCCAGAGAAGTAGCTGCTGAATATTCCTCTGCACACTTGAAGAAGTCATTTCCAAGAAGAAGTCTTCGGATTGTTTTTGCACTTGGCATCCTTGCCATGTCATCCCTTTCTCGTCGTTTTTTCTACATAGCTTGGAACACACCGTGATAAGTCCTGCGCCAGTGACATAGTGTGACGTAAGTGAGACATGGCGACTTGTGGTGACGAAGAGGTTTAAGCTTCAGCAGACGTTCAGTCCTCACAACATGTGTCGATCTCTTTCCGAGTCGTGCCCTGAACTACTTCCTCGTGCGCTTCGGCCACTGCCTCTTCTGCTTGCACGGGTCTCGGAGGGGAGCGTCCGGCGAGTCCTCGGCGAGTCCTCTTCAGTGAGGCTCGTTGAAGACAGCGGCTTTCGTGCGCGAGATGGCGATGTCTTTCTCAGGTCCTTGATTTCCAGTAGCACGCTCTTGTGGCTTCAGCTCTTGGAGGTTCTGCACACGTCCGCCGCCCAGAAAAGGTCGCCGTAAGAGCCATACTTCCCGGAACATCTCCTTCTTATCAGGTCCTTCTACATCATCCTTGCCCCGTTCTTTGTCTTTGAGGTGCAGGGGGAGTCCTTGAATCCTTGGCACTTGGCAAGCTTTTGGGCGTCAGCGCGCCAGGTCTTCGTGCTGATCTCGGCGGCCATCACGTCTGGTTCCGAAGTTTTGGAGTTTCGAGGGCGCTTCTCGAGGGATATTGTCTGCTGCCTTGCTTTCGAAGGTTCACCATCTACCTTCAGCGCAGCAGCACCGGCTGGAGACCGGGCGGCAAGTTGAAAGCAAATCGCACGGCACAGAGGAAATCGGCTGAGAAAGGCCGAAAGGAGGCAAAATGAACTGTGACAAATGAGAAACAGTGAGAAGACGGTAACGAATGAAACAAACACAACATGACGCAAAGGAAGTGAGTGAAATCTGGAAGCGCTGAGACGCGGGTTTAGGGGGGGGCTTCTGGTGCCGGGCTTCTCTCTGTGAGAGGACCTTCTACTGGAATCGCTTGCAGGGCACCGTGAGGTGGCCCTGGCCTCGGAGTGCTTCAGAGAGCGCCTTGTATTTTGTGAGTGGAAGGGGAGAGAGAAGATGGGTCAAAAGTGTTGTTTTCGTGCGGAGGTTCCTTCTCCTCAGCTCGCCTTGCGAATGCCTGATGGTGCCATTTGGGGGTTGGTCCCAAGCGTGGCGCAAGCGTCCCATATTGGTCAGCAGACGCAACCTCATCACCCGTTTGTCTCTATATGTCTCTATGTTCTTGCAGTGGTCCTGCAGCGTTCATCAGTGTTCTCCTGGAGTGTTCTTTAGCCTCGAGCTTGGTCGCCAGGTGCTCATCTTTGGTTCAGCAGTAGCTCCTCGGCCTGTGTTGTGGCGACGTCTCGGGGGTATTCGGGGGTCTCGGAGTGTTGGGGGTATTGTTTGGTCATCTTGGAGAAGCCGTTTAAGTCAGTTTCCCAGCATCCCACCCCCTTCTTGGGAAGGGCTCCGAGCAAGGGCCTCCGTGTGAGGTGCCCCTGACGGCGGCCACTCTTCAGGAGGACCTGAAGCTCCCGTGGTTCAGGGCCCGAGCTGACCGAGCTGAGAGGGCTGGTGCTCCGCCAGTGCTCAGTGCTTTCAGTGCCCTCAAGATCTGACAGTTCTGTTTTAGGCCTTGGTTGAAGTACCTGCCGCCCTTCCTGGCCTTCTGGCTTGCAGCGTTGCGTGGGCCTTGAAGCAGAGCTTCACGGGTTTATCTCACTCCCTCCATTTTCAGTCTCAGTTTCCAAGTTCCAGGACGTGTGGTTTAAGCATCCTGCGACGGCGATCGTGCTCATCCAGCCCAAGACCCAGCGTTGCAGACAGAGCGCCCCGCTGCTGAGCCGCTGAGCGAAGGAAACGGGGCAAACGCTCTCTCCATCTCAGTACCACGTTGACTTATTCTGACTCTTTCTGACCGAATTCGAGGCTGCATTGGCTCCAGCTTGTTCTTGTGGATCCCGCTGGGCCTGTCCGGGGACCCGGGAACTGTTGCGTTTGAAAATGTGAGGGAGCCACAATATCTGAGAAAGCGCCCTACCCCCCCCCCCCCCCCCCCCCCCCCCACAAGTTTATCTTTATTGTCTTCAAAAGAAAAAGGGAGGGCGGTGAAGGGTGCCCTCGAACTGTGGTGAGAGCTGCGCCAGGGGGAACGCTGTGTCTAACGCTTTCTACTAGGAACCCTAGAAGGGGACGGCCGTTGGCAAGGTGACGGGTTGCAATCTGTCACGGTGGCGTGACATGAAGTCTGGTTTGTCGAGTCTTACAGGTGACGAAGAAGTTTGCTCAATGACCGAACCATGGACCCTAACGCACGCATGCCATTCCCTTTTTTCCGCGGGGCACGCTACATCCTTCTTTGTGTGAGCATCTGAGGTTTAGTACCCTCCTCTTCTTGAGGCCGGGGGGGGAAGCTCGAGTTGCAATCTTGCAGTACCATTCAAGCCATTCAAGTTGCTGCATACTTGCTGCATATGTGTTGCAGAAGGCTCTCCGTGTGTCCGCAGCTGCCGCCGGTTGTGATGCTGATGCCGATCATGCTGGTGACGGGTACACTGTAAGCCCCCCGAAAGAGGCCCCGAGAAACCGCGAGAAGGGTTTTTGCTCTAATAAGGATCCTCTTCTCCAGCTTCCTGAGCCTGGCATCCTTCTGGCTTGGATGGAGGGGCAGCCGAGACTGGATGGAGCGTCTCAGCTATAGAAAGCTACATTTAGTACATGGAGTCTGCTCGGATTCTGTTCGGATTCGCTTTTGGAGGACTGCCCAGCTCAATTTGCTAGTGACCTGCAGGTATGCGTCCACGACTCTCGTGGTCATACCGACAGGGTTGAGCTGACCCCCACAACAGCTAGACATGAGCCTGCGCAGTGCAATGTGACCTGGGCCCTGGGCCTAAACCCAAGTTATCAACCCCCAAAAAGCCCTGCCAGGTCATACTGACCGTGTTGCTGCCGCTGCTATCTGTGCAGCTGGCGCTGGTTGGGTGCGCTTGCCGCACCATCTCATACCCTTGAGACTACAGTAGGTGACTGCAGTGACTGCAGCAGCTTGCTTGGGTTCGCACCTGTGATGTGTCAGCGCGTGAGATTTGCGGCCGCTGCTTTTTTTCCAGAGCGTGGGCCATGCAGGTAGGAACAAGTGGTGGCAACTGTGGCAATTGGGATGTTGGCGCAGAGGGAGCCCGTAGCTGTAGGCTCACGCATGTGAATGGAGCGCGACCGGTACAGGTGCCGGCATATCCTAGAATTGCCAAATAACCGGTCAGCTGCTGAAGCCTGCAGAAAAATACCGGGGGGTTCCGGCGCGATGCGTGCCCTCGCGAAGAGCTGATGAATCCTGCCCATGGCGCTCCAGGAGCTCCTCTCCAAGTCTTGCAAATGAAAACTTTGCATGCAAGAGAAGCTACTCTGCTGCGAGCTTTTGCTGCGCGCGGTAAGAAGACTCGGGGAGTCTTGAGGCTATACAGCCCGGAGTTCCCCGAAAGCAGCGGGTGTAAGAGATGTTAAGCGATGGCTGGGCAACGGTTGGGCTGTGCTTTGACCTCGGAGCCTTCAGCGAAGCAAAGTCGAGGGGGTTCCAAGCGGGGTTCCAAGCGGAGGTTGATTGCGTTGCACGGACATGTGTGCTTTCCTGGTAGGAGAATGATGATCGGCAAGAGCCAGACCCTCGATGCCACGCAACGTCGGGGAGTGTGTGCCAGAGAGAGGAGCTTCTTGCCTTGCGAGGCTTGAAAACGATGTGGACTATCCAATCTATCCTCGCAAGGGTCTTACCGGGGGCTTTGCACCATCCTCATAGAAGTAGTGTTGTAGGCTCTGTCTCTCTCTCTCTCTCTCTCTCTCTCTCTCCCTTCAGAAGTTGCAATGTAGGAAGCGTGGCAAAGCCGGCAAGAGTTCATTTTTCCATCAGGCTCGGGGAGGAGGGGCCAGCTGGCCGTGGCCTCGTGTGACTTTCGTGACTTTGCCTTGCTGCTTTCTAACAGAATATCTCTGATCGTCTCTGATTCTCATATCCCGTTCCTCTACAAGAGTTGTAGATTCTGCCTCCTTTGTCTTCGCGTGTGTGCTGGAAACAACAGCACTTTTGAGGGTTCTCCTTGGTCTCAGGACCATTCTCAGACACAGGAGCTGGAGGCTGGGCAGGGCAGGGCAAAGGCCTTGTTTCTGTTATATCAATCGTTCGCAGACGCGAAGGACCTGATGGTGGAGAATCAGCAACTCCAGGAGCGCCTCAAGGCGCGCTCCTTCTTTTCTCGTCTTGAGCTCTTCTGGCTTGCAGATGCTCTCATGATGAGAGAGGTTTTAGAGGCCTCGCGCACAAGAGTGTAGGGTACAGTATTGCGTCTGTGTCAGACACATCACACGCCAAGCTAGGGTGGCCATCGCAAAAGGCTACCTCAGAAGGTGGCATATGCGAATCAAGCCGCGACCACATCTTCAAGCGAAAAGCGAAAAGACAATAACACGTTTCTGCTGAGCACCAGATCTCGTTTAACCCAAATTAACCCCAAATTTTGTTCTGCGAGACCCTGGACGACGAGAACGTTGGACTTCAGCACACGGTGACCCGACAGAAGGAGGAGATCGTGGCGTCAGGGGCTCAGCTCGGAACTCGGAAATGGCCCTCCTCTTCGAAGTGTGCCCTGCCTCGAGGTTGCAGGACCTCAATGACAAGACTGGAAGCAAGTTCGAGGACCGTGAAGCCTCTCCGGTATGGCTGGTAGTGTGCAAGCCATTGCAAGCCGTCAATGTCGACAGACAAAACGGCTTGCGAGGTACCACGAGGTACCTTTGCACTTTGCACGGTGCTCATTTGCAAGCTGTGTCGGCTCGCGATTGGAATCGACCGGAGGAGGAGGGCAAAGACACAAAGACAAGACTCCACGTTTGGAAAGACAAGGCCGCGGAGTGGAGGCAAAAAAGCTGGGGAAGCCTTGGCGGAGCCACGTGGAGGTCAGCTTGCTACAGAAGCAGATGAGAGATGACAAGGCCCCCCTTTTGGCACCTCGCAAGCAGCTCTGCTTGCAGCTCTTTTGTCAGTTTTGTCGGGGCCCCCCTTTGTGAGGCTCTGAGCGACATGCTGTCAAAGGTTCCGAGCTCGGCCGGAGGAATCGGACCGTAGCTAGCTTCCTGCCTCTGAAAGGCCCATGTTAAGTCTTAAGCTGCAACTCTTCTCAAGCCCGACAGAAGCCTGCTAGCAAAACCAAAAATAAGCTTCCTTGCAGATGAGTTGTGCCGAGGAACAGCGGCTCAGGTGCACGCTAGAGAAACGATTGGAGGAGCTTGGGGACCCAAAAAAGGGGAGCTTGGGGTGCGCGTGTTCCCAATTTGACAAAGAGGTCAATGACCTTGTGCCTTGTGACTACGTCACGCTAGCGCGCCTCCTCCTTCAGTTCGGGCAAGCTGTTTTGGCATGGGATGCGTTCGGGGATCACGGTGTAAGGCACCGTAAGGCCACAGAAGTCCCCCAGAGCGGGTTTTTGGAGGGAGGGCCTATTTTTTTGGGTCTTTTTTTTTTTTTTTTTGGTCGATTTTTCTTGGTTTTTCCTAAGAAAACCACCATTCCCTCCATATTTTTAAAGGATTTGATGCATTTTCGTGGTTTTTCGTACGAAAAACAGTAATTTCTCTGTGGTTTCATAGGAAAGCGTTATTTCTGGTAGGTTTTAGAAGGAAAGAAGGAAAGAAAGGAAGGAAGGAAGGATGAAAGAAAGGAAGAAAACAAGGAAGGAAGGAAGGAAGGAAGAAAGGAGGGAAGGAAGAAAGGAAGGAAGCAAGAAAGGAAGAAAGGAAGGAAGAAAGGAAGGAAGCAAGGAAGGCAGAAAGGAAGCGTGCTTCGAAGCCCAAGAAACTAGTTGAAAAACATCGTGTGAGCATTGTGTTTGCAAATGGGGGCGGCTGCGCCCCCCCCAACCCCCCCGCTTTTTTTTAAGCCGTGCTGAGCGTGCTTCAAAGCCCGGGAAACTTGTTGACACCCATCATGTGAGCAGGGTGTTTGCAAATCGGGGGGGTCTGCGCCCCCCCCCCCCCCCCCCCAACCCCCCCCGCTTCTTTTAAGCCGTACCAAGCGTGCTTCAAAGCCCAAGAAACTAGTTGAAAAACATCGTGTGAGCATTGTGTTTGCAAATGGGGGGGGGGGGGGGGCTGCGCCCCCCACTTTTTTTAAAGCCGTGCAGAGCGTGCTTCAAAGCCCAAGAAACTTGTTGACCATGTGAGCAGGGTGTTTGCAATTGGGGGGCGCAGACCCCCCAACCCCCCCCGCTTCTTTTAAACCCTTCAACGCCCAAGAAACTAGTTGAAAAACATCGTGTGAGCATTGTGTTTGCAAATGGGGGGGGCTGCGCCCCCCCCAACCCCCCCGCTTTTTTTTTTTAAGCCGTGCAGAGCGCGCTTCAAAGCCCAAGAAACTTGTTGACACCCATCATGTGAGCAGGGTGTTTGCAAATGGGGGGGGGGCTGCGCCCCCCCCCAACCCCCTCCGCTTCTTTTAAGCCGTACCAAGCGTGCTTCAAAGCCCAAGGGCAGCCCAAGAAACTAGTTGAAAAACATCGTGTGAGCATTGCAAATGGGGGGGGGCTGCGCCCCCCCCAACCCCCCCGCTTTTTTTCAGCCAAAGCGCAAGAAAGTAGTTGAAACCCATCATGTGAGCAGGGTGTTTGCAAATGGGGGGCACAGCCCCCCCAACCCCCCCGCTTCTTTTAAGCTGTACCAAGCGTGCTTCAAAGCCCAAGAAACTAGTTGAAAAACATCGTGTGTGCATTGTGTTTGCAAATGGGGGGGGCTGCGCCCCCCCCAACCCCCCCGCTTTTTTTAAGCCGTGCAGAGCGTGCTTCAAAGCCCAAGAAACTTGTTGACACCCATCATGTGAGCAGGGTGTTTGCAAATGGGGGGGGGGCTGCGCCCCCCCCCAACCCCCCCGCTTCTTTTGAGCCGTACCAAGCGTGCTTCAAAGACCAAGAAACTAGTTGAAAAACATCGTGAGCATTGTGTTTGCAAATGGGGGGGGCTGCGCCCCCCCCCAACCCCCCCGCTTTTTTTAAGCCGTGCAGAGCGCGCTTCAAAGCCCAAGAAACTTGTTGACACCCATCATGTGAGCAGGGTGTTTGCAAATGGGGGGCGCAGACCCCCCAACCCCCCCGCTTCTTTTAAGCCGTTCAAAGCCCAAGAAACTAGTTGAAAAACATCGTGTGAGCATTGTGTTTGCAAATGGGGGGGGCTGCGCCCCCCCCCAACCCCCCCGCTTTTTTTCAGCCGAAGCCCAAGAAACTAGTTGAAACCCATCATGTGAGCAGGGTGTTTGCAGATGGGGGGCACAGCCCCCCCAACCCCCCCCCCCGCTTCTTTTAAGCCGTACCAAGCGTGCTTCAAAGCCCAAGAACTGTAAAAAAATAGGTTTTTCCCTATGAAAAACCAACGAAAACCTAAGGGAAATGACAGGAAATCCGTCCAAAATGTAAGGAAAGTAGGGTTTTTCCTAGAGAAAACCAAGAAAATCGACCAAGGAAAAAAAAAAGGCCCCCCCCCCCCCCCCCAAAAAAAAAAGACCCAAAAAAAAACTCCACCCTTTTTGGAGGATGCCAGCGAGCGGCTGAAGGAAGCCAGAGAGGAGATAGTGCACGAGCCCCAGTGAGCCAGTCATATTGCGCGCAAGCGCACTCGGGGAGCACGTGTGGGGTAAGCATCTTCTCTCATCTGCTTTTCAGGCGGCTGCACGAGGATCTGAGTCGAAGTGAGCAGCAAAAGCAGCAGACCGGGCCTCAGAATGGAAGAGTGGGGCTCAGAGGCTCAGAGGCTCAGCTATGACAGGGAGGAGGTTGAGGGAGAAGAGTGAGGGCTGCCGGGGACAGCCCCGAGGCACGAGAAGGCCTACGCAGATGCGTGTCACGAGATGGAGGCGTGTGTCTTCCTTCTTTTTTTTTTTTTGTCTCGGTCGAAGTGCCTCAGTGACGTGGTGAAGAATCGTTAAACTCTAAGACTCTAAGCAATCAAAGTACATCGCCTCTCAAACAACACACACACACACCACGCAGATCCCCCTTGGCTTCCTCTTTTTCAAGAGAGGAGCTCCGGATCATGAGCGAGGCGGACCGACAGGCCGCTGAGCGACAGGCCGACTCTGTACATCTCTACCCCACCTCCTTCTGAATTTCGCTCCACCTTGGGCTGTTAGGAAAGAGGGGCAAAGGGACCCCCCCTCTGACCCCTTCACGTGCAGGCCCAGGAGCTCAACGATCAGATCATGATGATGACTCCAGGAAGCCTGGCACCTGGGATCACAGCCGCACAGCGGCTCAGACGCAGATGTCCTGGCGCCTGAAGGCTCCTTGGACGGGGCCTTCAGCTTTGACTCGCCTCTGCACAAGAACAGCGTCAGCCTGCCAGCGGGCCAGGCGGCTGCTTGTTGCCTCTGCCTGGCCTTCTCCGCTTCTGCTGGAAGCCAGGACCTGCTGAGCCAGATGCAGATGATTGATGACGAGGCTGAGGAGGAGGCAACTGGACAGTACTGCATTTTTCAAGTCTCTGTTTGAAGTTCTGAGAATGCGCACTAAGCTAGCGCACTTGTCGATGCGGCTGTTCGCAGGGCGAGGCTGCCGAGCCCGAAGCGGAGCAAGGCGCTCAGACTTGTGCCCGACGGTGGCTTCCCCGGGCTGTGGAGACTCTGGAAGCGGGTTTTTTTTCTCCCACCATGTGCGAGATACTCTGTGAGGTTACTCCAGTCCGAGCAGGCCACGAGGTGGCGCGCAGGGGGTCGAAAATTCTCGGGAGCCTCGTGCCAGGCGAAAGCGGTCTGGGAAAGCGAAAAGGAGAGCCTGACGGCAGAGCTTGCTGCGCAGCAGCGTCGGCCTCGCCATTCCTAGGGGCCTAGCAACGACTCTATGCTGTCAGTACTTGCGGATCCAGCAGATGTCCACCAGCGCATGCCCAGGGCAACTGCTGTTTCGCTGGAGAAGGCGCTAACGGAGGAGAGGCGCGGCACCGCCCCACTGCTCTGATGCTTTTTGCGATGCACGTTCCTTGAGGACGTATGTCAGAATATGCCAGAATTGCAAGATGGGGTTGAACTCGTTTGATCTTGGCCTGCGTTTCCGTCCGTTGGCCAGACACCTTCCCCGCACCACATCATAACATCTCATGACATCGCACGGCATGCAGGAGGTGAACTACTGGTTCTTCTCGTGTCGTTCTTCGTTGCTTCCTTCGTTGCTTACTGCACAGTGAAGAATGTGTGTTCGCTTTCAGCCTATTGTGTCCTGCCCACTGCACGTCGGGTAATCCTCTGGAAGTCTCGTGCACCAAAGGAAGTTCTTCATAGTTATTCGCAAATACACAATGGCCTTCCAGAAGTGGAGGGTCTGGGGATGTCTGGGCGTTTGTTTCAGTGGATCTTCTTGCATCCAGCATGGAGTAAGATGGCCATTCTTTGCACATGGGCCAGGCGCCTGACCGAGTCACTCCAGTCCGAGCTTCAGGCAACGAGGTGCCCGAAAAGTGGCGAGAGCTCAGCACTTGTCCGAGTGCCAAAGGGCGCGCCATGCTTAGCGCAGGAGTACCCTGCAGACCGCGGGGGCCGATGCCGAGAAGGCTTGGAAGCCAGTACCCCGAAACCCAGGAAACTCTCCGGAGCCTCGTGCCAGGCGAAAGCGGCCTGGGAAAGCGAAAAGGAGAGCCTGACGGCAGAGCTTGCTGCGCAGCGGCGTCGGCCTCGCCATTCCTAGGGGCCTAGCAACGACTCTATGCTGTCAGTACTTGCGGATCCAGCAGATGTCCACCAGCGCATGCCCAGGGCAACTGCTGTTTCGCTGGAGAAGGCGCTGACGGAGGAGAGGCGCGGCACCGCCCCACTGCTCTGGACTGAAGTTGTGCAGCGGCTGAGGCTTCTTGCGGTGTACGTGCCTTCAGGGCGTGTCAGAAGATGTGAGAGTTGCAAGATGGGGTCGAACGCGTTTAACCTTGTCTTTCGGTCCGGTGGCCAGACTCCTTCCCTGCACCACAGCATAACATCTCATGACATCGCACGGCGTGCAGAAGGTGAGCTACTGGGTTCTCTTCGTGTCTTCCTTCGTTGCTTTCTTCAGCTTATTGTTGCTGTACAAACACAGTGAAGAAAGTCTGCTCCCTTCAGCTTATTGTGTGTGTTCTCCTGCCCACTGCACATCGGGGAATCCTCTGGAAGTCTCGTGCACCAAAGGAAGTTCTTCATAGTTATTCGCAAATACACAATGGCCTTCCAGAAGTGGAGGGTCTGGGGATGTCTGGGCGTTTGTTTCAGTGGATCTTCTTGCATCCAGCATGGAGTAAGATGGCCATTCTTTGCACATGGGCCAGGCGCCTGACCGAGTCACTCCAGTCCGAGCTTCAGGCAACGAGGTGCCCGAAAAGCGGCGAGAGCTCAGCACTTGTCCGAGTGCCAAAGGGCGCGCCATGCTGATCGCAGGAGTACCCTGCAGACCGCGGGGGCCGATGCCGAGAAGGCTTGGAAGCCAGTACCCCGAAACCCAGGAAACTCTCCGGAGCCTCGTGCCAGGCGAAAGCGGCCTGGGAAAGCGAAAAGGAGAGCCTGACGGCAGAGCTTGCTGCGCAGCGGCGTCGGCCTCGCCATTCCTAGGGGCCTAGCAACGACTCTATGCTGTCAGTACTTGCGGATCCAGCAGATGTCCACCAGCGCATGCCCAGGGCAACTGCTGTTTCGCTGGAGAAGGCGCTGACGGAGGAGAGGCGCGGCACCGCCCCACTGCAGAAAACGCAGGCGAAATTTTGTAATGTATTGCAATTGGCCATCTTGTATGTGGTTGTCGTACCCACTTGGTGAGCACCGACAGCTTCGAAAGCTTCTTTCTCCTCAGCCTCTGAGCAGGTTGTCTGCCAACCAAACGCCCGAGAGCGCCACCAATGAGAGCGTAGGCGCGCTTCGCGTTTGGGGGGGGGGGGGGAATCGAGCGGACTCGAGTGGAATCGAGCCGAAGGAGCCGAAGGGTTAATTAGGATAGACGTGATGTTGGCCAACAGAAGTGAGCCCATGTGATCCGAGATTTCAGATGTGAGAGCTGCGTTCCCCAAGTGACAAGAGAGAGAGGAGAGATAGAGAGACCTTCTGAGGGCTTTGCTTTTTGACTCAGAAGATGTCGAGGTTTCTCTCAAGATGAGGTTTGTGCGTTGTGCCGTGGAGCGCCCCTTGGCGTCCCCGAGGCTTCAAGCTGGCCGGCGCATCGCCCACCAAGGCCCCGGTTGTGCAGACACAGCTCTCCTGGCTCTCCTGGCTCTCCTTAGCTCTCCTTAACGGCAGCTCTCCTTAGCTCCCAAGGCCCCAGCCGCGGACTCCGACCGCACCGCAGAGCTGCCCGGGTCCTGGGCGTGGTGCGGCAGAAATCGGCAGAACCTTAGAAGTGTGCATCAGTCTCACACACTGTGTGATTGTTTGTTTGTTTGTTTGTGTGTTTGTTTGTTTGTGTGTGTGTGTGTGTGTCTGTGTCTGTGTCTGTGTCTGTGTCTGTGTCTGTGTCTGTGTCTGTGTCTGTCTGCCTGCGTGTCTTCAGTTGGGTTCAGGTTTGCGTTTCCCCTCTCGCAACGTTCTTGTCGGAGCTTTGTAAAGCACGCGTTCACCCGGTTCACCCCTTTGTCTCCACTAAGGGAAAGTCAAGTCGTCGAGCTGGAGAGCGAGTTGGCCAAAGCCAAAAGGCCCGCCGCACCCCTTCAAACCTTGGGGCTCCCGGGCTGCTGGAGTTCTTCAGCCGTTCTTCAACCGCCCTCCACCCCCCCCCCGGCCCGGAATTTCTTTCTCCTTCACTTCTAGCCAGGAAAGCCAGGAACCCAAGACAAGGAAATCGCGTCTTTCGCGCAGATTCCGGTTGTTGCAAACCCCCCCGGCCAATACTGGAAGCCAGGGCATCTAAGGATGCGACGCGCCCCCGCCACCCCCTCTCCGAGAATGAAAGCAGAAGGTGTGTTATGCGGATGGGACGAATGAGTCGAGATGCCACTTGCCCGTGGAGGCTTCTGCAGCGCTTTCAGGATGAGCGGGAGCAATCCTCTTGGCCGCGCGCTCAGATCGGCCGCCCTTTTCTGGGGCGTTTTTTGGGGGCGCTTCTTGGGGCCGCCGTCTGCTGGCTGCTGAGGTCCAGCATCGTCAACAGCTTTATGTGCGCTACGAATCGCTAATAGCGCCCGCAGCTAGCGCCGCGCAGAGCGCCGCAGCTGGCGCCTCACGAGATCAGCCCCGTGATGCCCGGTGCTCGCAGCAGAGAGGTAGAGTCGGACATGTCATGTGCGCCTCCAGAATGCCCCATATGCCCCCATCACGCTACAGATGCTGCCCCAAGTCTTTTAAAGCCATTTAAAACAGAAGCCACGGTTGGCTCCAAGCCCGGTCGTCTGTTCTGTATTTGGTCCGGCGCTGGTCTCCTTTGCGACGTCCCCGCTCATGTAGTAAGTGCAAGCCGTCAAGATGTCAAGAGTCGCGAGACAGCATTTAAAACTGGCCCCCCCCCCCCCACATTCTTCCGCAAGTATCTTGACTATCTTTTGACCTGTCCTCTCGGGTTGTTCAGCTGTCAAGACTCAGACATGCCTGGCAGCTTGCACTCACGTGAGCTTAGCCCGCCAAAGGCGGCAGGTCAGTGCAAGTCCGGCGAAAGAAATGCCATTGTGGACATGTCATGTCATAGTGCCCCCTGAGTTGACCACATGTATCCAGCTCATGGAAGAAAGGTACCTGAGAGGGTTTCTGCCGGTCAACTGGGCGAGGGGCTCGGACACTGCGCGAGGTTATACCGGCACCTTACGGGGCATGTTACGCTTCAGGGGTGGATTGGAGTTTTGTGGCTGAAGCGTTGGCTGAGCCGTTGTTGCGGGGAGGTTGCGAGAGAAGTCCAAGAACTTGTACACAGGATCCGAGCTGGGACTGAGGTTGCACTGAAGGCCCTGAGGTTTGGGGGCAAAGAGGCAAAGAGGAGATGGCCCCTGGATGGCCCCTCTTAAGACTCGGCTTTTCTTTCGGGGGGTGTTGTGAGTTGCGGAGTTGCTTTGAAGTTGGCTCTTCTTGTGCAGTGAGCCCTCCTTCAGGTCTTTGCTCCCTGGACTATCTGGCTCTCTGGGCTGCTGGGCTTCACATTGTGGCCGAGCTCTCAGTCTCTGCGGTATCGGGCTACTTCTGCTGCCTCTGTGCAGCTGTGCAGTTGTGCAGCTGTGCAGCTGTGCAGCTGCGCCGCTTGCAGCTCCGCGTGCTGGCGCAGCTGCCCAGGCAAAGCTTTCTGCCGCTGAAGCCAGCTGCAGCCCCTTTGGACATACCACGTTACTGGAGGCATCAGGACGGACACAGACATAGACATTGACGGACATGTGGCGTCCACGAGATCTTTGACAGTTTTGTTGCAGGACTTACATTCTGATGCGGAGACGCTGTTACCTCCGCGACTTGGACTGATCATCTTTCCTGTGCGCCGATCCTGCAGGCATTCAGACAGACCGCATGCGCATTCTTGATGCACTGCTTCCATCAAGACTCTCTCACTGCAGCAGAAGCTTCATATAATATCCACGACACTGCCAACGGCGCTAAGGTAGCGGATGATCCTTGCCACCGGAGCAGCGCACCAGCTCCTTACGAGCTCAATACGTGTCTTGCACTCCTTAGCAGCAGAATAGATCTTCAACACACTGGTCGCAGTAGAATGCAGACTGTTTCACCTCTAGCAGGCGGCTCGTCTGTGATCCTTCGCAGTGATGGCTGTGAAATGCTGTGAATTTCCACCATCCGTGCCAAGGAGGAACGTAGTTTGCAGAAGGGGCGCAGACATGCACAAGATGTGCGGTTGCGAAAATGGGCCATATATGCTTTTAGGCAGCATCAAGCCTGCGAAGCTACAGTAACGGAAGCACATGGCATGCAAGCCACCACAACACATGACACATCAAAGAACCTTCACACACAGATACACAGACACACAGAGACACACTGAGAGACACAGACACACACACACACAGAGACACGCAGAGAGACACACACACACACACAGACACAGACACAGAGACACGCAGAGACACACAGAGAGCTCTTACCAGACCCGGTGCTTTGTGTGCCCGTCGTCGGAGAGTTCGTCCTCTGCTACTACCTTGAATGTCGCAACGTAGCAAACGTGCCAGAAGGCTATTTGCTGGTTCGTAACACGAGCTGCGAAACGCTTTCCGAATGTAGGCGCAGAGACGGCTTTTAAACCATTGTAGTAAGGTCAAGGATGTATGGGATGACGGAGGCGACACCGCCCGAGCCGATGTGAAATCAGAAATTTCAATCATACTTTCGAAATACCTGCAAAGCACGAAGACCACGGCTCCTCAAATAAGGATATCACGACTCGCTTAGTCGTCGAGGTGAGGTGCACGATGCAAGACATTGAGTGGGTGTCGGGCATTGGTTTCCTGTACGCTGTACCGGTACAAAACATGATCACAGGATGAGCTGCGACAGGATTGAAGTGTTCACTTCTTTAGACCACAAGGGGCCTGCGAAATCGGTTGGTGGCCCCCCCATCGGTTTGGCGTCAGCTCCTCCGACCCTGTCGACCACCAATCCTTGGCGTGCGATTGCCCCCTTCAATTTGGCCAGCGTAGCTGTCCCCGCAGGTACTTGTGACAGGAGACTCCGCAGGCGGCTTATTGAAAAGGGTTTCCCACAGGGAGGGCAGAAGTCAAGGCGACCTAATTCGTCACGCGAGCTGCGCTTGGGAAAACGTCGTTGCCTGTGAGAAGGGGTTACAAGATTCTTGGAGAAGGCAAGCATGTATCAGCATCACCGATGAAGCATTCATCACTCATCACGCCCAATTTCCAGTTCTCAGCTCGGAGTTTGTCGAGAGATCTGCGTAGGCTTCGGACAAATTTCAGGAAAGATCGGGCTGGGAAAGAAGATCATGCTGGAGCTTAAACCCTAAACCCTATACCCTGAACCTTAAACCCTAAAGCCTAACCCTATGCCCAGAACCCTGAACCCTAAACCTTAAACCCTAAGCTGCAATGTGGACGGACAGTTCAGCCAGTGGCAGAAAAAAAGAAACCCTCAACTCTAAACCTTAACGTTATCCTTGCTGTCTGGAATGTTGCTGGGCACAGCTTGTCGGGGTTTGAGCAATCCTGGTGGCTGTGAGATTATCTGTGGAGGTTTCTGCGGCTGTGGCACGGCCGCCGACTGCTGGTTTCACTGCTGTGGTTATTGCGGCCGTGGTGCAGCTTGGCTGTGGCGGGTTCTGTTCCTCCTAGTGCAGGCTGGTGCTCAGGTGATGTCTGCGGGCGTGAGATGTCGTTGCTGTGGCTGCTTTCGTTGTTTATGCCTTGCTGGGTGTTGCAGCGCCTTCTTTGGTCACAGTTGTGGCGGCTGTGGTGGAGCTTGGCTGGAGCGGGTTCTGTGCCTCCAGGGGGGGCTGGTGCTCGGGTGATTTCCATGGGCGGTGATTGTAGTGCAGTGTGGCTTCTGCTGTTCCTGCGTTCGTTATTGATGCCTTGCTGGGCGATGCAGCGGATTCTTCTTGGTCGCAGTTGTGGCTGTTGTGGAGCTTGGCTGCGACGGGTTGCGCGACTGTTCTTGGAGATGGGTCAGGGCTCGGCTACAGCATTACTAGTGGCACGATTTTCTTGTTCCCGTTAGGGGCTCAGGAGGTCGCAAGTCGGTGCTGGTGGGTAACACAACTCGCCGTCGGGGTCATTCGGCTTCACACACAATTCGGCGTCAAAGGACGATTCGGCGTCACCCTGCAGCGCAGCGCGGCGCGGTTTTGCTCGTCAACTGTGTCTTAGGTTTTCTGGTTATTGTCTTCACTGCATCCCCGCTCACTCACTCGCTCCGCTCGATTGCTCGTTGAAATGGAGTGCGCCTGTTCTTCGTCAAGCTCCCTCAGCGCCAAGACCGATCGAGATCCAGGGTTCGAAACCAAAGTTCTTCCGGCGCCTGGTGATAAAAGCCACGGACCTTTGCGCATGTCGGGTGGTCACTTCATGCGCGTAAGGGCTTTAGTCACGCCCGAGCTTGTGAGGTTGCAGGATTTGCATCTGTGGCCCAAGGCTTACGGGAGCTCAAGTCTGAGAGTGGCATGCCGAGGGCAGCAATCAGCTCAAACAGCATGTACAAGAGCTGAAAAGAAGCATGACACTGAAAGTCTTTCGATGCGGTGCTGGCAAACTCTGCTTGGCACAGCTGCAACGCATGCTCTGAGATGAGTCAGGAGTCTTGAAAAGGCAACCTGAATTCAAACACTCAGACACAACAAGCTAAACATGTGGAACCTCCCCCGTTGGGTTACACCTTCGTTTTCTCAGGTCATGGCAATGTGCGCGAGATAACACGATTGCATCTCTCACTCAACTCAGGTCCGCGAGGAGATTTCGAGATCGCCGGCCGCAACCTTGAAGGACGCAATGTGCGATTCATCTTGGGAAGTATTTGGTAGTGGGTAGCTCATAGCAATGTTGATGCAGGGGAGGGGCTAATCGCAAAGGCCGAGCAGCTGGGCTCCGTTTCTTGTGCTGAGTGGGTCCCATTTGGGGCCATTGGCGGAAGCTTTGATTGTGAGCTGCGACAGTCTGACACCATCGCGACGCTCAGCTTGCAGGCCTCTGGAAGCCCAAGCAGCGTAAGGCCGGCAGACTTTAGTGAACTTTCGTTGGGGACTTGTGATGGTTGCTGCTCCTTCTGCTTCAGAAACCGTCAGCGCCAGCTCGAACCATACTTGCGCTTTTTTGTGGCGGCTTGGTGGGCTTTTGCGGCTGTTTTGGCGGGTTTTTGCGGGTGTTTTGCTGCGCCTGGAATGTTGCGGAAGATTGCGACGGTTTGCGGCCAGAAGTGAAACGAAAACCAAAACAATCGCAAAAACTGCCCGTTGGAACTTCCAAGTATGTAGCACATGCCAGGATATGCAAGAGCGGCAGAGGCCTTTAGCAGTTCATGGAGCCTTGGTTTCTCACCACAGACGCGCCAGGAGAAGTGTGACGTTTCGCAATGGCGCTTTGTCTCGACCTTCCGTCTGACCGATTGAGGCGTGTCATTGGAGACCGAAGCGTTTCCCTCTTTTGCAAATGCTTCCTTCTCCTGGATAGCACACTCCTGCTGAATGTGCTCCAAATGGCCTGTACCATGGTTAGGATCTCTAAGGTGTTTCTTTCTTTCTCTTGCCAGTTTGGAGCGGACGCTCAAAGACGCGACGACGCAGACTGACGACCTGGCCAAGGTTGTCAAGGCTTCCAAGGTCGAAAAGTGAAGATACTTCTCCACAGCCCGGATGTCGGATACCAGCGATAAGATGAGGATGGAAAAAGCAACTCGCCTCGTTGTTTGCCTCAGAGCGAGGGGGTGGCCACTGCTGCGGCGTTCCAGATTCGTTGACAGCTTTACCTGCTGTTGAGAATGTGGCAGAACTGAGAAGAACATGTGCGCGCTCGAGGCTTGAAGGCTGGCGCATCCTTGTGTCCCGAAGCACAGAAGGCTTGCGTTTGCTGCAAGTCTGTGGCGAGGAGGCTTAACTTCCAGGTGCTTCACGTGTTTGAAGTGCCAGGCGCTGAAGCTTCTTGGGATGGATCCACGGCGGTTGCCAACTCGTGCTGAGTTGGCGTGCGCGCAGCCTACTCAGATTCTGCGGGGTAGCGACCACTGGCAGTACCCCGGGCGGCGTTGCCAGAATACCGTAATGCCAAAAGGTACCGAGCGGCGGCCAAGGAGGCGCACCCTGACCGGCAGCAAAATCACAGCTGCCAGGCCATTTCCTTGCATTTCCATTTGCAGTTCCTCGGCACACGGGCTCTATATGGCTCTATATATGTGATCTGCAGGATGCAGCGACAACGCGTTTCCGGGCCGTGAAGGAGTCCAGTGACGCTGAGGGTGACTGCCTTGCAGAGCTACAGGCCTTTGACCTCATCAGCCTCCGGCTGTGACGCGAGACTGATGCGAGAGATCGCGAGAGGCCAAAAGCCGGGCTGTCAAGCAATGCGTGAGCCACATGCCAGCTCAACCCTGTACTCTCACCCGGACAGCTGGTGTGCTTTGGTGGGCCGAAGTGGCTCAAGTTGCCCCTCGCAGAAACGGCTTCGCAAAGGTAGCTTATTGTGTCACGGCTGTAGTGCCTGCTTGCCATGAACCAGACATGGTGCGCTTTGTCCGCTTCGGTCTCCGTGTTTAAGTTCCGAATTATCGAGGACCTGCAGAAGCTGAGCAGGGCAAAGTCGTGGCCTTGGGGCCCACAAAGCCGGGCTGTTGTTGTCCTGTTGTTGTGGATGCCTGGCCAGCGAGTTTATAAGGGCGTAAGCAATATGCGACAGTTGGGCGGTTTTGCTGAGGCTCAAAAGCCTGTGCAAAGAGAAAGGCTTGAAAAGCAAAGGAAACCGGCAACAACTCGTCGCCGCCGCCCTGGTAAGGGTGTGCGCCAGCCATCAGAAGGTGACGGAAGGATGCGCGTTGGGGTTGCGAAAGTTAACTCTTTTTTGGACGAAAGTTCTTACGTAGCCCAGGTCTTGTTCTATGTTGCCAGCAGCTTCCAGGCTTTCAGTTTCCTGCTAGACTGCCCGGATAGCTCCGAAATACTCGCGTTGCCAAGGGGAAGCGGTTCTCAGGGGTGGATATTTGGCGAAAGTCCGCGGAAGTTCCGCGAAAGCCCCACGTGTAAGTCGAGGCATATAGCCATGCCAAGGACAGCGCTCGTGTGAGGTGCGTGTTGGCTGTTATTGGGAGTCATATCTCTGAAATAGTGAAACCAATCCATTGCCGAAGGAACTGCAAGGCCCTGTATGGTTCTGGACTTGAACCCTAAACCTGGAACCCTGGAGTCGAAACCCTAAACCCCAGCCCTTAACGCTCAAATTTGGCTTGTTGAAGCTGAGGGATCTAGACCTTGATCTGGGCTAATCGCATAAACCTGCACCGCGATGGGTCCGCGAAAGTTTTGCGAAAGAAGTTCTTTTTCGCGAAGACGGTTCTTTCGGGGCGAAAAAAATTCAGATCACATCTCATGTGATCTGCAGGATGCAGCGACAACGCGTTTCCGGACCGTGAAGTCCCGAACAAGAACTCACGTCTATTTCTCTTCTTGTCTTCTGATTCCTTTCTCTTCGCTCATTCTCTGGTTTAATTTTAACGCGACGCGACCCGTCTCGGCCTGGCCCAGCGCAGCCCTCGGGGGTGGGGTTGGGGGGTAGACCACTATCACGAGTACTCTTGTAGCCAAGCCCCGATCCTTGAGCCCAGCATGACCTTGTTTCCCAGCCCGACGGAGTTCAGTTTTGTTTGTCCGAAGCGTATGTGCTGGAAATGATGTGATGAGTGATGCGTGCCTCATCGTTGATGCTGATACATGCTTAGCTTCTCCAAGAATCTTGTAACACCTTGCATGTGAGAAGCTGGCAACGACGTTTTCCCAAGCGCAGCTCGCGTGACGAGACAGGTCGCCTTGACTTCTTGCCTTCCATTTGGGAAGGCCCCGCCTTCGGAGTCTCCTGTCACAAGTACCTGTGGACAGCGACTCTGGTCAAATTGAAGGGGGCAAAAGCACGCCAAGGATTGGTGGCCGACAGGCTGAGCGGAGTTACGGGATGGCCACAGTCAAAGGTCGAGGACCACTGTCGATATACGTTTTTTCCTTCAGCCGATGGCCTTTCTACTTTCTAGTTTACTGGTTTCAGTTGCCAATTGCCAATACTGTGATTGACAAGCGTCGCAGTGAATGTGTGACTTGCCGCTAGTTTTTTCCGGCTTGCAGACTGGATGTGCGGCTTAGTGCGATGAAGGAAAGAACAGCATTTGCAACCTTGCTTTTCTTGGTTTGCCCGTGCCTTGCCCAATTTAATCTGCGGATCCATCTGTTGCTCTTTCTCATTGTCTGAAGGAATGGTTTTTTGGTGCACATGCTCCTTTTTTCTAGGCCCCCTCGTAAGCCTCAGAGGCTTTAGATGCTTTGGAAGGTTTCAAGTCGGAAGGGTTTTGAAGTTTAGATGCTGTTGCTAGTTAGAATCAGCCACACCGGTCATATTTTGCATACAGGTTCCTGGCTATCATATAAAATTTTATAGGATTATGACTATACTTGTATATATACTATTAGATGTTTGTGTATGTATATTGCCTTGAGCGACAATGCTTCTTTATTGAGGTGCAGAGCTGGCTGGTGCAGACCCAAATCTGGAAGTTGCGAAGGCAACTTGCTCGAAAGGCGACAGAACCAGCTGCTTTCGGTGGAAGGGCAGCCGGCATGGCCACAAGTTGTTGACTGGGATAGAGATGGCCAGATGGAACTACTCCTGCTCGTGATGGACACAAGTTCCAAGGAGGGATGGCGGAGGTGTTCAATTCGATACTTCCGACAAGCGGAAGCGCAGCTTGTGGAGCAGTTTGGCGCCGAGAACCCCTTCCGGGAGCTTTCGTTTCTTTCCAGCAATCCACTCCATTTCACGCCGCCCTGCTTTGCCGTCACAGACTGGGATGGCGATGGTGATTGGGATCTGATCCTCCAGGACGACTGGGGCTTCTGGTTCATGGAGTTTGAGGCACCTCGAGGATTCCGCAACACCTCAGCGATCTCTTTCCTGGACGAAGTTGGAGCAGCGGTGTCCCTCGCCTATCGCGATGTGGTCTTCGTGGCAACTGACTGGGATGTGGATGGTGATGTGGACATCTTGCTGGTGCTTGCTGGTGGTTACCTCAATATGGAGTTCGCGTACTTCGAGCGGAAGAATGAGTCCTACTTGACGAAGATGGACAGCCCGCTCGCCGGCTTCATTCCTTGGAGGTTAGGTGGTGACACTGTCAGCAGCATGACTGTGGTAGACTGGGATAGGGATGGAGGTGCAGATGTCCTCTTGGCCAAACATTGCCCGGGTCCTGGCTGTGAGTCTCCCAATTTGGCCTTTCTCCACAGAACGATGGACGGACACTTCGAAGACTGGAGCCAGAAGGCCGGGAATCCCTTTGCTGGGATTGAAGGCTACAACTTCTCCAACGCGGTCATCGCCGCTGCTGACTGGGACGGCGACGGTGGCTTGGATCTTCTGGTTGCCACGCACCGAGGCCCCATCCACTTGTATTCATGGCAAGCCTCGGAGCAACTGACTGAGCGAACCGGCGAAAGCTCTGTCTTCCACATCGCGCGCAAGAAGGCGAGCCCAGCAGCTGTTGATTGGAACGGGGATGGCCGTCTAGATCTCATACTTGGCTCGAAGTATGGCCATGTAGAGGTTTTCTTGCGCAACGAGGATGGCAGTCTTGGCGAAGCGCAGCACTTGACAAAAGTGCCAATAGGATACAAAGGTGCAAGGCCCACTGCAGTTGACTGGAATGGAGACGGCCGCACAGATTTGCTAATCCCATGCTTGCTGCCGAAGGCGACCGCCAGTGTGTTGTCCATTTTTGAGCAGCAAGCCGACGGAAGCTTGAAGATGAGACTTGTAGGTTTGAAGTGTTTCGCCTTCTCGGCAACAGTTGCTGACTGGGATGGTGATGGCGATTTCGACATACTCTTGGCCTGCAGTCGTGACACTTGGAAGGCCGACGTATATTGGCTGCTTTATGAGCATCTGTCCAATGGTTCCCTGGTGGAGGGCTCGCCGCCACTAGATGACCTCGGCGATGTTGGGACCACAATCCGCCGAGTCCATTTTCAAGCGATAGACGTGGATTTGGACGGGAGAGTGGATTTGGTCATGAGAGACGCTGACAAATGGCGACTCTTCCACGCCCAAGAGGACCTGCGCTTGTTGGAAGTGAAGTCCGATGTTTTGCCGCAGCCCAAGGATAAGGTTGATGAGGAGCTCGCAATATTTCAGTTGTCCTCTTTCTACTTTGTCGATTGGGATTCAGATGGCGATTGGGACCTGATCACGGCGGAAGCTTCGAGGTTCCGGGGCCCTGTTCGCTTCTTTGAGAGAAGCCATTGTCGAGTGGTTGAAGCGTGCAACGCTCGAGGATCTTGCAGTCCATCCCTAGGCACGTGCAGTTGCTTCACAGGGCACACGTTGGCCGACTGTTCCGGTTGCAGCAAGGGTTACTTCGACGAAGCGAAGCTGAATGTTTCTGTGCCAGAAGAAAACCAAATCCGAAAGTGTGCCCCGTGTCCGGGCTTGGATGCAGATGTGTGTTCTGGCCGAGGGACTTGCAATGACGACTCCTTGGCACGGAGCCAAGTAGCTCCGTCAATGCGGGCCCTCTATCATGGAGATGGTAGCTGCGCTTGTGAGGTACCCTTCAGTGGGGAGAGGTGTCAGCTTGGCTTGTGCTTGCCAGGGCAGAAATATGTGCAAAGCTCACTTTGGCGCTGCGAGCCGTGCATGCCTGGGTCCTTCGTTGGAGATCCTGGCCTCCAAAGCTATTGCAAGCTTTGCACAGGTAACACTTACGCCTCCCAGCCAGGCAGCAGTCAATGTTTGCCTTGTCAAAGCAACTGGTGGAGGACGGAGGCTAATCCTGACCGAACCGCTTGCGTCGCATCGATGCTGAACTTGCCCACCTGCGCGGTCTTCCTCTTGCTCTCGTCTTTACTGTTTGCAGTGATGCCCCAACTGGTCAATCGCCCACTAATGGTTGAGGATGTGCAATTGCATGAAGGCGAATTATTGCTAACCACCTGTGGACGTCATTGGCTTCTGAGGCAAGCAAGGGTTGTCTTCGAAGACACCGGCCATCCCATTCTCGATTCCCAGAAGTACATAGTCAAAGGCTACAATGACCGTCAGCTCCTCGTCTGCGACATGTCCGGGGCCCCTTTAACAACACGGGTTGATGCTTCTCAGGGCACATGCCACCTACACCGCCTCGACGGCTTCTTGCGGAAGGGCGCCTTCGGTATCTCCTTTGTGCTCTGCCTTGCTTTCTTGCTCGCCGCCATGATGGCGGCACTCATCTTGGTCAGCGCCAGCTTCGACAGCAAGTCTCCGGGCCTCTCGGGTCTGGAGGCTTTGATGATTCTCCTGGGTGCCGCGGTGGCGGGTCTGCTGCATTGGTGGAAGCGCCCGCGCAAATGCCAGCTCGACCGTGACCGCGATCGTTTCGCAGCCAAGCTACGGTTCCCGTCTGTCAGCCAGAGAGGACCTGAGCGCGCCATCCGCCTGAAGCAGCTGCAAGACCTCTATGATGCTGGGCCAGCAGATAGGGTTGGTCTAAACACGAAATCACCCAAATCGATGTTCTACGCAGAAAGGCGCAGCTTTGACGTTTCCGGCTAAAACGGCTAACTGCCTCGTTTCCGTGCCAATTTGTTTTCTACTTCTTGTTTGGTAGCTTTGGTAAGTGGGCTGGTCGGCCACGCAAAAATTCTCATGTCTTTGTGGAACAGCTCATCTTTGACGATGGCATGAGGCTGATTTTAAGCCTTGACTTCGATTTATTTTAGCCGTCGAAGACCTCACTGCCAAGGACTTTTTCTGCTACTATATCGGGCGCGAAAGAAACATGTATTACCTGTGCAGCAACATCGTGAAGCCTTTGACAAGGAAAGAGAGGCTTTCATTCGCTGAGCTGGTTGGTCCCTCTTCCGTGCAATGGTTTTGTTCTCACTACTGGGGCATGCCGTTTTTGCATTTCATCGACTGCTTGAAGGGGCATGCTGCTGGCGAGATGACTTGCTACTGGGTTTGCACCTTTGCCAACAACCAGTGGAAAGTGTCCGAGGAGCTGGGAGATCAAGTGCAGGACTCTTCCTTTTACTTGGCCTTACACGGACAGACTTGCCGAGGCACTCTCTTCATTTTAGACGAGAAGGCTTTGCCTTTGACCCGGTCGTGGTGTCTCTTCGAGCTCTACCAGTCTGCACTCCTGACTGAGCAAAGGACCGGTGCCACCGGTAGCACCGGTACCGCCTTTCAAGGGATTTTGTTGGGGACGGCTTCCGGAGTCATGAACTATGGCCAGAGCAGTGCAGACTTGGCCCTAAAGATTTGCCGCACTCTCTCCACGATGAAACTCGAGGATGCGACGGCCAGCTGCGAGAAGGATAAGCGGATGATCGATGAGGCAGTGTCCGATCATCCCGGAGGCTTTCATGCCGTGACCTGGTCCAGTTTAGGACAACACTGCAACACACTTGATGCCCGGTTGAGCGTGCTGGGAAGCTGTTCGCTTGAGCATTTCACTCGAATTGTGTCATGACTGGAGGGTACACGCGCGAAAGCCGGGCAATAAGATTCAACTAACCCGGCTTCCTTATCTTAATTGTAAACGCTTGCGCGCGCCGCCTCGGCAGCCGGGCCGCAAAAAAAGGGTTGGGGGGTGTGGGAGGTGGGGGGGGGGGGGGGGGGGGGGGCGGGGGATGTCTCTGTGAGAGCCGCGGACAGGCGGCCCCTCCACGGCATCGGTTTGCAGCTCCTCCAACGAATCGGGGGGGGTCCCCACAGGGGGGGGGGGGGGGGCTGCCACAAAATTTTGCTTGGGGGGGAAGGGTTGGGTTTAGGGGGAAGGAGGCCTGATGCTTGCTCCAAGCGCTTCTCGGCAGGAAGCCGAGGCGAATCTGAGGTGAACGCATTTCTCATCGATGCGGTGAAGAATGCCCTGCAGCAGACGGAGACCCGTTTCCGGGAGGACTTTGCTCAGCTCCAGCAGGACTTGTCGGAAGCTTGGCCGGAGGAATCATTGGAGTCGCAGGACTCGTTGGTCGAAGCGCCGAGCACTACAGTGCTCGCTCGATTCCTCCGTTCTGTGTGGAAGGACGAATGAGCTGACGTTCACTGATGTAAGTGGCTCCCAGCTATGGCTCGCGAGCAACACGGCATGCGTCAGTAATTGTTTAATTGCTTTGTACAGCCCCAAATCAGAGTCTCGAAATGGAGAGATGCTGCGACTATGGATTGGCTTCCTGTCTTGATCCGCTTTGACATGCAAGCACCTTGGAACTGCGAGACAAGAACATTAGTAAATCTCCTTGGTCTATTGGCATGATGTGAACATGGCCCAGACTTGCAGCCGGGTCCAGATTGCGAGGCTCACCAATATGCATGCAGAGACATGGCCAGCCGATGCGAACCGCACTGGATTATGGGCGTTCTCTCTGTTACATCGTTTAGTTTTAGTTGCTGTTGGCGGATGATGGTTTGTTCTGAGATGATGCCGACTTCTATTGGCTTATCTTCGTCTTCACAACTCCTGTGAACCTTTCCAGGGTCTACGGCAATTTGAAGACCATCATACCATCCATCAAATCCATGTCTCTCTGCCTTGGCTTGCCTCCCAATTTTCCCCATCCAACAGTGCTGGGGACCTGGAAAGGCAAAGCCTGAAGACAAAGGTGCTGTTTTGCCTTTGCGAGGTTCTTGTTAGTCGAATGCCGCCCCGCTTTGTTTTAAGAGCCTTGCAGAAGTCATGCCATTGCCATCACAAGGAAGGTGCTTACGGCATAGAGCATAAGACCCGCCCTGACTGAAGAAGATCCGAAGGTCGAGGAGCTTGTTGTCGTGCGTAGGCTTGAGTCGGCATTCTTGCGCGTAAAGAGCGGCGTCCCGAGTTTCATGTGACACAATCATCCATTCAACGAGCCGCGCATGTAAATGTAGATGTGCTGTTCAAGAACCACGGGTTTTGCCGCACTGCTCCTTGCAAACGCAGTAAAGAGTTTTGCAGCTCCACTACAAATCCTGTAGCTGTTTGTTTTGGAGGCCCCGAAACAGAAACCACACAAAAATATCGGGGCCCATAACCCCCCCAGTAAAAATGTCGTGGCTCAGGGAGAATGGAAGCTGTCATCGCGCGAGGTTCAGGTTTGCAGGAACGCCAGCCACATGGACAAGGCTTGTCGGCAAAAATCTGGTATCACGCCTGATGACTCGAGCTGTCCGAACGCAATACATACTCATCGGCCCAGATTGCTGACGGAGGCGAGAGTTGCCCTCCCATCCAAAGTCACATTGCATGAAGAATTCCAGTCTCGGGGTGCCAAGTGTATGCAACCGCCGCAGCGTTGCCATATCATTTTGCTATAAAGTGTTACACACGCGCGCAGGGGTGCGCGCGCGAGCAAAGCAAGTGACCAAGCGAGAGCGGTTGAAGTTCTCAGTTCTCCTCAGGGTGGGCTCAAGACGGGCTCAGTTCTTTCGACGGCCGCTGCGGCGCGCCCGGGCCCGAGCCTCAGCGTCACAGTGGGGGTGTCTTTGAACGGGCTACAGACGCTCATCGAGGTCCCCTGCATTCGATCGCGTCGCTGAAAAGCCCCAAGCTTTTGCCTTCCTGCTTCCTTTCTTGCGCCTTAAACAGCGGCACCATTATTGGTTCATTGGATTCATCTGGATTCTCAACGCGATGCAATCAGTCCGGCCCGCTTTCTGCTTGTTTTCTTGAAATGTTCTTGAAATTTCTTGAGTTTTCCTCACATGCTTGTTCAAGCTCCGCTGCCCGCTGACATGCGCGATTTTCCAGAAGGTCTTGGCATGGGCAGCGGTGCAAGCAAGAAGGCGGTCACTGTGGTTGAGGCCGCCCCCTTGACGTCGCTGTTATGTACCAGAGTACCGCAGTACATACCAGAATGCCACAATGCCACAACCACACACGAACCTCTGAGGTAAAATCATCCTCCCCGGACTCAGAGTCTGCGCAAGCTGAGAAGCCCAAGGCACGTGAGTCGAGTGACATTGTCGGACAGTGTCACAGCGTGCCGTGCCGCTGCAGGGCCAAGAGTCAAAGCGGCCACCGAGACCCAAAAGCAAAGGAAAGGCGAAAGCAAAGGATGAGAAGGATCCCGAAGTCAAGGGATTTGAAGAGGCCGAAGGGTTTTGCAGATTTCGAGATATTTCGAGTTTCGAGAGCATTTGCTACAATTTAGCGATCGCTCACATGGCTCCGTGACCACCCTGCGGTGTCGTCGCCATTTGCGAGTTCTTCAGTGCTTTGCTCTCCGACGCTTGGTGCCCCCTTCTGTCACTACCGCTCAGCCGCATCAGAGCGCCCCAACCTCGCCAAGCTTTTCCAAGCTGCCCCCAACCGCCCCAACGTCTGCAAATTTTTTTCGAATCCACCGCTCCGTCGCTCTCGCTCCCCTCCCTCTCCGTCGCTTTCCAGGCACAGCAGGTTGAGCAGACAGAGACGGTGAGGCAGGCGGAGCAGGTGGAGCAAGCGGAGCAGGAGCAGGCGGGGCAGGAACATGCAGATTGCAATTCCGAGCACCGATCTGAGGGAGCAGCCTTTCCTTGTGCGACTGCTTGCTTCTGCCTTTGCCTGCTCCTTGAGGCCGGGCCGTCGCCAAGCGAGGTTCAGGTGGCCAAGGAGGCTCCTCAGGAGACCATGGAACATGGAGGGCCGCAGTTTTTGGTTTTTCAAGGGTCTTGTGATGAGTCATGTGGCATGACTCACTCATGGCTGCATATGATTGGGCAATCTTCTCGTATTCTCTTATAGTATTATAAGCTGCATCAAGGAAATCTTCGCTGGACCATTTCTGGCTCATCCAAGGGAAAGATCCACTTAGCCTGTGAAGTGAAGACCATACGCCATGCCGCCAAAGGCACGCCTCGTTCTGTCAGCCTGTGAGTGCTACCATACAACTTGATACATCTTGATACATCTTGATATCTGCTCGTTGAAAAGTGTGCTTTCAAGCCAGGCAAAGCAGCAAGTTGAGGCGGTATCCCTCGGACCCCAAGTGCGAGAGGGCGAGGTCGGGGTGCTTGCAAATGTTCCGAAGGGGAGGGGGTGCGTACGGGTAAGTGCCGGGTTCGTATGGGTACATACGGGGTGCAAACGGGTAAACCTTGCAGATTGCAATATCCGGAGCCCCAGATCGTGTTCGGCGTTGCCCACATCTACGCCTCCTTCAATGACACATTCGTGCACGTGACGGACTTGTCTGGGCGTGAAACCATCATGCGAGTCACCGGTGGCATGAAAGTAAAGGCGGGGAGTCTGCGTGCGTCTGAGTGCCGAGGATGGTGGAGTGAAGCAGCACGTGCGTCATGTGGTATCAAGATCGGGAAATCCGCGGCTTGCTGGCAGCTCTTGCGCGAGGCTGACCGTGACGAGTCGTCTCCGTACGCTGCCATGCTGGCGGCCCAGGACAGGGGTCCTGATCTGATCACAAAGAACGGAAGGAGGGAATTGCTTCACTGTACCTCACGGTCTGTCTCTGTCAACAGGCTGTTGTCCCGACACAAGACATGAAGCCAACGAAAAAGCCCGGACGGAGCTTCTTTGGGGGATTTCTGAGCTGCTTGGATGTTAAGTGCCGCTCCCCTTTTCAGGATGTAGCGGCACGGTGCAAGGAGCTCGGCCGCCCGTCTACAGTTTGTTGGGGAGAAGGTTCTCCAACAGCTTGCCCTAAGGCAACTCCTATGTCAACTTGGTGTAGCACCACAGAGTCTGAAGGTCCCACGGTCTCAGGGGGGTTCCATATTAGTACAAGGTTTCCCAAAATGGGCTTCAGGGGTTTCAGCACGGTCCTAGGCACTCCTAAAGGTCTCTCCTGCGTTTTGGCGTGGTCTCTGCGGGAAGGGGGCCCATAACCTGGAACCCTCCAAGCGGTTCGGGCAGGTCCTACAGGTGCGAAGAGGGGAGGTTGGGGCGTGCGGTATGTTTCTGGGTTGGGAAAGGGTTGGGAAGGGGGGGAAGGAGATCAGATCTGATCTGCGTGTTCTGGACGCCTCTCGGTTGGAAGCCGATGAGAGTTTACGGTGTCAAGATTCGTGGTAGGACGTTCCGAGCGAAAAATAGTTGACACAAGCTTGTGACACCCGTTGCGCCTATATAAGTAGCCATTGAGGGAGCCAACGACATTATGTTTTTGCAAAATAGACTTAGAGTTCATATGAACCCACAGGGGGACAGGTGGGGGGGGGGGCTCTGGGGGGCTCTGGGCTCTTTCTCTCTGTCTATTAAACAAGGCATCGGCGCGCTGCACATCAAGCTCAGGGCCACGGGCGGCACCAAGACCCGCACGCCGCTCTGCCAAGAAAAGAAAGAAGCAGCCCTCTCCCATCAAAGGGACCCGCTCTCTCTCTCTCTCCCTCTCTCTCTTTCCCACTCTCTTTCCGGAGTTCTCCTCTTCATAAGAGCCTAAGAGTATGGGTGTAGGTCCAATGTAAGCGCGAGTCTCCCCCCCAACCAAACAAAAACAACAAAGCAAAACAAAATAGTTTATTGCTTGGACCGAGGCCGGGCCCCGGTGCGCAGAGCGCCCTCCGCGCCCTGGCGCGCTCGGGCATGAAGATCGGCCGCATCGAGGAGCGGGGAACAAGTGACTTAGTAGGGTCAAGTGTAGGCTTTTTGGAGAAGAATGAGAGGAGGAGGCGAGGAGAAGCCTAGGAGAGTGCAGAAGGCCACTAGCGAGCAGCTGCCAGGATGTAACTCCCATCCCCACGGACTGCACCCGGCGCAAGTGCGGCCGACGCGGACGGCGTTTGTGAGTCGTGACTTTGCTCTCCGGGCTGCCAAAAGAGCCCAGAGCCGTGGCCCAAGGCTTTTGCAAGGAACCCATAGCCGTAGCCGCCGTAGCCGTAGCCGTAGCCGTAGAAGTCACAGAGCCCTTGGCAGAAGTGGGAACCGTTCGAGCAGGCAAGTGTGAGAAGAAAAAGAGAAAAGTTGCAACTCTCTGTTTTGTTGCCGTGGAGACTGTGGAGACCCGCCAATGGCAAGAGCAAGGCAGAGCAAGTTGAGCATGATCACGCTAATCGGCTAGTGGAAAATCTATAAAAAGTACAAGAGTCACTGGCCCCAAAGACAGGAGCTGAGCCCGAGCGTGGCTACCAGCGTGGCTACCAGCGTGGCCACCAGCGCAGCCAGCGTGAAGCAGCTGAAGCAGCTGGCTCCCGAGGCTCAGTGGAATCGAGGGAAGCGAGTAGGGGAAAATTCTGTAAATCTTTGCAAAAACAAATCCCCCCCGGCCCCCGAGTTTCGCTCCGATGATTCCTCTCGCATCCTCGCCAGGAGCTCCCAGCTGCTTGCCGAAGTGGGAACGAAGAGGCGGTCAAGGCCTTTCGGATGCCAACTTGGGCTTGCAGTCAACCTGCGAATCGGCGAAGCAGGAGTAGAAGGGTTCCCCTTTAAAGAGTTGGGTGGGGGGGGCTGGGGGTCGGAGAGGTGGTGAGCAAAAGGGGGGCAAAAAAAACGTCCGCGCGAAGCGTTCGTGCAGCGTTCGTGCAGCTTTCGCAAGTGGCACTGCGGTGACGCGACCTCAGCATTTGGGCATCGTTGAGGGATCATGAATCTTCAAAAGTGCCAGCAAGGGGATGGGGTGTCCTCAGGATCGCGATCCTCGCAACTGTCGGCTTTGGACTGTCGTGTGGTCATGTGTGGTCATGCCTTGCTTCGACTGGCGTCGTGGTGTCTTCGTGTCGTGTCTGCCGTGTCCTCGTGTCGCGTCTTCCTCCCATGCCGGCCTGAACACTGCGTACCCTTTTAGCTCAGTGGCCACAACGGCTCGGTGGACTTAATCGTGGTGCCAGGCGTTTTTGCAGAAAGTGGTTGGCCCCAGAGGCCTCAGCGACTGTGAAGAGGTGGGGCAGCAGCAGTGTGGCATGTGGAAACATTCAAGGACTGAGCGCTCTTGCAAGAGCACCGAACGCAGGCGCTCTTCGACGTGTACGGAGAGTCGGTCCTCCACCATGCCGTGCATGGTGGTCACATCGAGGCTTGCAGAGGGGGCAAGAGTTGTACTCAGGCAGTCAGTCGCGGCCTCTGTGTTGCTTGGAGCCTCTGAGCTGCCTGAGACGCAAGGTGGCACATTTGCTTCTTGATGTTGGCCTTGTGCAGGCTTCCTCCTCATGAACTTTTTTGTATCAAAGAAGCGCTTGCTTCACCTGCTGTGAGTTTCTCCACTCTGAAGGTCGACATTCCGAATGCGCGGAATGAGACGGCACTTGCCGTTGCATGTCGAAAAGGGGACAGCTCGATGGCTTCTTTTCTGCTGAAGGCGCGCAATCTGTCGCGCTTGGCGAGAGCACAACTTGAGAGCCGGGAGTCTAGAGAGCCAAGCAGAGGCAGACGCCAACCCAAATTGTGCTGACTCCAATGGCGCTCGACTCGGTTTTGGCGTGCCGTCTGCGATCCTCTGTGCTGCCGAGGGGGGGAGGGGGGGGGCACTTATAGCAGGATCAGCAGCGGCACCCTGTTGAGGCCTTACGCCTTTCCTGGCAGCTGTGCTTGGCGGTGCCAGCAGCGACTTCCTGGACATGCTCGTGGCGGCCAGCTGACCGAACAGCTGCTGTCGAAATCCACAAGATTCTTTGTCCCCCACCACAATCAAAAGCCCAAGCTCACAGTTACACTCAAAATTGACCCAGTTTGACTCAGAAGGCAAGCGCCCCGCCAGTGCACAGGCGAAGGCCGATGTCAGCGTCCTGGACGCCCGCGGCGTCGGGGCACTCCACTGTGCGGTGCGCTCTCCGGCCCCACGGGGGGGGGGGAAGCTGCAAGATGCGAGCTGCACCCAGCTGCACGTAAATTAGCTGCACCCTCCGATTCTTTATGTAAGGACTTCAGTGTCTTATTGGAGCTCTCGTTTTGCCCGGTGCACGTCTGCACGTCGTCCGCAAACATGCGGCTCAAAGTAACAAGAGCCTCAGTGCCCCTCAGCAGCCTCTCATCCCCCATTTCATATGATCTCAAATTCAGAATCACCCCAGCAGATTCCCCTTAAAGAAGGGGCAAACATGTAGTAATTGGAAGTGCAGCCGCGAAATGGCTGAAGCAAGGGCAGCTGCCTCGGGCAAGACAGGGGAGAGGACGAGGGACCAAGAAAAGAATAAGGGACCCTGATACTCGTACAAAAAACAACCCCATGGCCATAGCCCACAGCATGCCAATTATGAGGCCCTTTTTCCTCCGGACTGTGTCTTCCTGAGGCATCGATACAGCGCGCCCCCACCATGCGTGTGCGCCCACATCCCAGCGCTCGTATGTCTGCTGCCACGCTTTCTGTCACCTTGTTTGCTAGGTTTAGGACCCGATTCCGCAGTGCTGGACTAAGGAGCGAGATCGTGAGATCCTCAAAAACTTGAGAGCCGCAGGATATCCGCAGGTGTACACGTAGATTCTATACGCATGTCGGCTTCTGATATAAACAGGGCATGCCAGCATGCCATGCGAGCTGGTATCCTAGCTCAGCGCAGTGCGCAGAGGTCCTTTGTGGAAGCGGAGTTCTATGATGACTTCGCCGTTGGATGGAACGAGCTTTTCGAGGAGAGTCCTTTTTGCCTTTTGAAATTCCCGAATCCCGGCCTGGTGCCAAAAGCTTTCTTTCGTACTTGCACTCGACACTTGCGCTACCGAAGCCCAAAACCCCTTCGAAGCCTCATTCTTGCTCAATTTTGGAGGTTTCTTCTACCCTGAAGTTTGTTTGACCTACTCGCTCGCCGTTTTCGCATGCCCGGCACACTTTGTTGTCATTTCCTAGGCCCACCCTAAATCCTCAACCCTGCTTGTTTTGCCCTGGTTGTTTCCCTTTGTTTGGCCTCCTGTGGGTTTAACCTTTAGCTCTGGTTTTCGGACTTCCATTCATTAGCGTCCCTCCAAAGCTTAACCCATGAACATGCGTGGTTTTGCATGTCAGCTCGCACCGAAAGCGCCAGAGCACCTTCATCCCAGCAAACACGTCCTTCAATTCGCACCCAAAGCCTCAAGCGCCTTCATCCCCAACACTCCCCTTAAAATCCCACAGCTTGGGAGCTGCTTTCGCTCGCTCCATCGCTCGCTCCAAATGAATCCCAGCAGCATCCTTCCGTTGAGACGCGGATCTACTCGTGGGTCTGTCGTAGCCTGCACATCGCAGTGGTGTCGGCAGCCGAGTTTGCAGCCGAGCTTGCAGCAGAGCTGCATCCTGAACTCAACTGTCTTCAGACTCTCTCTTAACAAAGTAGGTTTATAAGGCCGTGTAAGGTGCCTTAGATACACCTGCTTTTGACCAAAGTGCCACCTGCTACCAAAACGGCACGCTTGCCGTGCCGATGTGTTTTCATGTATAGATGCAATCACAAAAATGAAGGCTGATATGCCCCATGTCTCGCCTCTTAGAAGCGTGGGTCGCGTTCCTTCTTCGAATACCTGCTGCTCCCTTCTGCTGCTCCCTTCATGCCTCTCTTGGGGGGCCCTCCTCTTCTGGGAGTAAGAAGAGAGTTTCTGCAAATTGGGAGGGGGAGAGCTTAGTTCTTCTCCCCTTTTGCCAGGAAGCGGCTCCAGGCCGGACCGTCAATTAAGCTGCACAGAGAGAGAGAGAAAAGAGAGAAAAAAGAGAAAAGAGAGAAAAGAGAGAAAAGAGAGAAAAGAGAGAAAAGAGAGAAAAGAGAGAAAAGAGAGAAAAGAGAGAAAAGAGAGAAAAGAGAGAGAAGCCGCACAGTCCCCAAGTTCCCAACTGCCGGCCTTGAAGCGGACACCACAGTTTCGATCTTCGCATCGCAGGGCGGCCTCCGAGAGAGTCTCCGAGCACTGGACCCTCCGGAGGGCTCGCAGCCGAGCAGCTTAAGCAGTTTAAGCCCCGGGCCGGATGCTGGGATGCTGTGTTGGGCGCTTGTTGAGTTGAGGCTGCCTCCAACCTTGGCTTCAAAAGCCTCCTGGCCGCCAATATGATACGTTCGACATGTTAACAGTTCATGGGTTCATGAGGGACTTGTACGACTTGTATACGTAACTGGCATCAACTTAGAGAGAACCCGAGAGGCGAGAAAGATGCCGCCCCCTCCCTACCTTCGCATGGGAGGTGGCAAGAAGTGGCCTTGATGCACGAGCTTAGCACGAGCTTCATGCGAGAGCCAGGGGGAGAGAGAGAGAGAGCCTGCATGGGACAGATGTGTGCAGCTCAGGAATGCCATTGAGCATGGCATCAAGGAGCTGATACGAAGAGGGCTCTGTATATTTTGTTTTTCAAAACTGCGTTTCGCCAGCCACCCGTCGCTTCTGGCCTTGAGCGTCCCTGTTTCAGCCGCTTCTGCTGAGAGTAGAACAGGAACTCAAATGTTTTAGGGACTTCCCCACTTTCCCAAGCCCGCGCGGCCACGCGCGCAATGCACTTGTTGGTGGCGCCGCTGCGGTCTTGTCCGTTCGTGAGGTCCGTGAGGTGGGTTGGTACGCAGACACCGATCTGGCGCGAGCGACAAGCAGCTGTTTCCAAGTTTGCGGCCGTGAGGCGAAGCATGCAGCGACCTGCATCCTTACCTTCCCCAGCAAGATGCAACTTGAGAGATCCCGGCCCTTCACTGTCTCGGGAGGAGATGAAGGAGCTGTCAGAGATGAAAGCACAGAAGGATCCTGAAGGGCTCGTTGCCGATGCCTTCCTGGCAGCAGAGCAAGGAGAGGAGTTTGATTGTGCCAGGCACGTGTGGTCTCTTAAGATTTCGCCTCGCAGTCCGGAAGTACGCAAAGCCATCGATTCACCTCAAGATGATTTGAGGACGAGCTTGCTACAGAAGGTTGCATCTAAGGGGCTGGAGCGGCCGCTCACGTACCTCTTAGAGATGGCTGCCAACGTGACCCACAAAGATGCCGAGGGTCGAACCGCATTGCACATGGCCGCTGGCCAAAACAAGGAGGAGATTGCCAGGCTGCTTCTCTCCCGGCGTGCCCACGTGAATGCGAGGGACAAGGATGGACAGACACCGCTCCACGTTGCCCTGAAGAGTCGGAACGCCGCCGTGGCCAAGGTCCTGCTTCGCTTCGGCGCCGATGCCCGGGACCTTCCCCAGCTTGAGCCCGAGCTGGCGGAGCTGCAGAAATGGATGGCAAAGCACGAGGAGCGGCAGAAGCACGTTGCCAAGAGAGCCGGCAAGATCAACTGGAACCGGCGCGTCAAGGAGTTGGGCACGTTCTTGCCGGCGCACGTCGTGGCCCCGAAGCTGGTCCTCACCCCGGTCGGGTACTGTCCCGTGGAGTCTGACGGCAAGCAGGTCCAGCTGAAGCGCGGCATCCGCTACGCCAAGAAGCGCAAGGGCCCCTCGGAGCCGCGGGGCCGGGTCAACTGGTACGCTCCCCGTGGCTGAGCTTGGGCTGAGCTGGGAGTGAGCCTTCGATTCGAAACGTGACGACAAGTGACAACTGCTTCGCCATCGCTCTCTCTCCGCTTGGCACTTGGCCATAGAGACATAGAGACCTCCTCGTTGCGTCCAAAGCTCGTGAAGCGACAGGATCCCTTCGCTGGGTCTTAAAGGGGCCCAGAGCGAAATGTCGCAGATGCCTCCCCGAAAAGCAAATCGTCTCACTCAAAAAGCTCGCGTCAGCTGTCGTAGTCCTCTGTTGCGCATACTGCTCCAGTGCTCTGCATAAAAAACGCCTGGCTCAACCCCCCTTTAAAAGGGTGCGTGGGGGGATGTGAGACCCCGAAGTGTCCTGAAGTGTCCAGGAGCGGCTCCGCTTCTGCCCCATCAACCAGATCAGGAAGCCGGCTGAGGTCGCATCTCTGAGTCTACGCGTGGGGGGTAAGCTTGGAGAGAGGGGGGAATCTTGGGAACTTGGAGAGAGGGGATGGGAGCTGAACTCGGGAGATCGTCAACTTGGAGCTCGACCAGCTTCGGAGCCATCTGGGAGAGGAACACGGACGACGACGAAAGGAGGCTCGCGTCTGGCGGCTAGCGCTGCCAAGAAAATAGAGGATGCCTCCGCTATATGGTTAGTGATGAGTTTAGTGGACGCCATCGTGTGCACGCATCTGTCCAAGTCAGCCCACGATTTGCACCAGATGCGGCAGCTGCGACGCTTGCGCCGCCGCTGCCAACTGAAACCACACGAGGACCAGTGACACTGCAGAAGCTGCAGAATGTAAGCTATTGCAAGTTGACGCGCGGCCCAGAGTTTGAGCCAGGACTTGGATGAAGTTGAGGACCGCTGGGACGCTGTCACGTGCTTTGGAGCTGTTCAAAGCTGGACACCGGCGCACACGAGCGGGCTGCCTCCGAGAAACCCTAAACCCTAAACCCTAAACCCTGAACCCTGAACCCTGAACCCTGAATCCTGGTCATACCCTCTCCCTTTCGGAGGAGCAGCTCCTGCCGGATGGCAAGCTGAAGCCTGTGGAGCTGCACTCGGCCAGGAAGCGCAGCAGCTTCAGCAAGATTCTAACAAAGCTGACTCAAAGGATATCAAAAAGGTTTTAGGGTTTATAGGGTTTATAGGGTTTAGGTTCATTTATAATACAAGTTGGGTGGATCCGTCATGCAATTTCGCCACAATTACGCGAGGACCCCTCGACGTCCAGACCGTCCCAACTTCGAATTCCTTCGAGCTTACAGGTCCTGAGTGCTCTGAGAAAATGAAGGCGGCGGCATTCCTGCGAGTCCCGTGTGCATTTCCAAAAACTTGCTGTTAACCTGAGCTTGTATAACGGGAGCAGGAGAGCAGTCGCAGAGCTCGGCCTACAACGCGCGCTGACAATACGCCGGTGCCCAACGTAAGTCGAAAGCAAGCTCTCGATATGGGAGTATGTTTCACCTCGCGTGCGAGCCTGAGAGAAGGCGGCATGGGTAAAAGAACGTTTCGTTTTTGACGCATCGTGCCTGTGCGGGCAAGGCTTTGCATCAGCAAGTTTAACTTTAAAGCCTCATGTGATGGTTTGGCCATTGGCTTGCGTCAGGCATTGAGTGGCAACTTGTCGCTGATGCAGCTCAGCGACAAATTGTCAGTCCATGAAGTGCTGTGATTGAGCTTGATTTATCCTTGATTTATCCTTGATGATCTCAGATGCCGTGAGATGGCCCCACTTCAGGAAGTGGCTGACGAGCCACAACGTCGAGATGGACTTGCAGACAGAACATGGCACTTCCGCTCTCAGTGCGCCTTGGGACAGTGTCATATGTGACTTTCTGTGCAATGATACGCCTGATGCACCTTGCCTGCGCAGTGCTGGCCTCCAAGCGGGGCCTGGCAGATGGAGTGCCCTGCACTTGGCACTCAGCACATCTCTTCTCGGAGATCCTGAAACTTAAGCCCCAAGACACGAATGCGTCTTTGCTTTTCCAGGGCCCTGCTGCTGGCTGCCAAAGCCAATCCCAATCTGTCGGACAAGGCCGCATGAGCAACGCTTTCTGCAGCATTAGCGAGCAGCATGAAAGGACCGGAAAAAACCACAAGACTTGTCTTTGACAAAGAAATCACGCGAAGAATCGCAGCGGCTCATGATGGTTCGGAAGCAATGTACGTGATGCGTTGTATGATCACACCTGAGAGCAGAAATAGCAGGTGTCATCCGCGCCGTTTGTTGGTCCCTTTGTGACCCACTCATCTTCGGATCACTCTGTTCGACCAAAACAGCCGGGGCTGCAACCCAAAACACAAGAGGAAATGGTGGATTTTCCAGATCAAACAGAGGAGGCTTTTCCCATGAAATGATAAGGGCAATAGAACCCAGTACACAGGAAATAGAGCGGTCTATGAAAATATTAAGGGGCTTTTCAAACTTGCAGAAATTAGTGATCCCCTTGACATCCCAAAGCATCGGCCAGTTTTCCTACAGTAGTAAAAGTAAAGAAAGTTAAGTATTGCAGATTTCCCCATCAGAATGTCAGAAATGAAGTTTTCCTCTAGAATATAGGATATAGAGATGTCCTATTAACAGAAAAGAGATTTCCTACTAAAATGGTCAGAAGTCTTCCTACAAAAAAGCTTCAAACAAACACGGTCGGACTGAATTGTGGAAAGGGAGGCGGAGGGTTGTGTATTAGGAGTCGATTATAGCAGCAACGAAGCTCTTAAAATTAGTTTTCATTTGAGTGCAAGCGGAATCGCCAGGCTTTAACCTAACATCCTACGTTACGACGTAGCTTCAAGCAACCTTGAGCGTCTCCTTTTCCGAGTGTCAGTTTGTGTCTGCACGCGACCCGTTTCATAGAGTGCCGCTCCAACCCCCGCCTCCCACAAAAAGGCGTGCCGTTTTAAGACAAGCGCCTCGCTAAACACGCCGGAGGTTGCTTAAACTCGGTCCCCTCCGAAACAGGCAGCACGCGTGCGCCTGTTGCGTCGCCAGACATACCAAGAACCCCACAAAGTGATTCGTGTGTGGAAAAGCAGTACAAGCTAGTGCCTGCTTGGTTCCACACGTGTTGTGTGGCATCGCGCGGTCACTTGTGAATCAGTCAGAGTCAGAGTCAGCCAGACAGTCAGGCCGGCTGCAGCGCGCTGATGCAGGCCACCGGCCGGCCCGAGGCGCCCAACGGAGTTTCACGGAGCTTCAGAGTTCCCGCCGGGCCTCCGGTGTCGGGGTTTCTTGCAGGGGTCCCCCACTTCAGTCCCCGCTCTCTCCGGACTCTCTGCTCTCTTTGCTCTCTTTTTCTCTGGACTCGTACTCATTTTTCTGCCTCTCTCTCTCTCTCGCTCTCTCTCTCGCTCTCTCTCTCGCTCTCTCTTTCTTTCTCTGTCTGAGAGCGTTTCTGGAGCTGCAGCCCATTGTGGAGGGAATGCGTTGTGTGTGTGTGTGTGACTATGCGACTGGAAGTCTCTTCTTGGCTGAGTTCTAAGGGGCGAGTTTCTCCCCTCTGCCTCGGGGGTCCTCGGCCGCAGTGCAAAAAGCGGAAATCGGAAAATCGGCCAATTGCAGGTTGCCGGGCTGCTCCTGCAGGGCGGCGCTTCCGTGCCCTGGGGGGGAGGGACGAAAACTCTGTGCAGATTCACGAGCATGTTGCAGCGGTGCATTTACGCCTGTTGACTCGGTGAGTAGGCAAAAAACTTGCATACTTGCCAATGCGTTACTTTATGTCATCAAAGCGCTGCTGGAGAGGTGGACTTGGTGGACTCGGCCGGCCGCAACGCTCTTTTCCACGCCGTCATTAGTGGCGAGGCAACGCGACGTAGCCCCCGTAGGGCTTTCTCTTCAATGCCCCATCCTTCCCATTCCTTCCCATGCCTCCTCCCCTTCTAGGCGTCCGCGGTCGAAGCAATTGTCGCACGTGGAGGCCGCAGCAGAGTGTCGTCGCTGTCGAATGCAAGAGTGGTCACGAAGAACGTTCCTAGATGCATGTGTGGTAGCAAATGGTCGCGCCTTGTTCCTTAGTGACGTAGTACAGTCGTTCTGAACAGTGCACTGCAAGGCCGCATCAACATCCTGGACGAGGATGGGCGATCCCCCCTGTACCAGGCCCTCCGCTGCAAACCTGAAAGAGCCGCTTCGGCCGCTTCGGCTCTCTGCCGCGCTCGTTACAGGCTTGCCTTATGGGCGCAGCGCCCCTAGCGAAGCTCCTCCTTGCGGCGGACGCAGGCCAGGGGACCCGAAGAGTGAGTTGCCAAAGGCACACGAAGGACAATGAAGGGGGGGGGGATCCGGAAGGAATTCAACTTCTGCCAACTTGTGCACTCTCTTGCAGATCCGAACCTTGCGGGGCGCGCGTCGCCTATGCGACCGGCCAGCGAAGAGGCCACAGCGAAAATCTGCAAGATGCGAAGCTATAGCTTACAGGCGAAGCCGTGCCATGCGAAGCTTAGAAGAGTGAAATTGGCAAGCGATTTCAGTGCGTAGTCCTGCAGCAGATGGCATTGTATGGACACCAAGTTGCAAACTCTGCCAGGAAGGCGAGGACAGTGCTGCCAGAGTCCTTCTCGAGGAGTCGCGCACCTGCCTTCAGGTGGGGGTCCGTGGCAGTCCCTGGCAGTCCCTGGCAGTCTTGGCTCACGCTGCGCCGTACAGGTCTGCGCGATGCTTGCCCACAACGAGCTGATGCAGTGCTTGTTGGAGTCCCTGGCTCAGCGTCGCGGATTCTCACAGAGCTCGAGCACCTTCGCCGCATTGTATTGAACAGGCACCGTGCGGACATCAACGCAGCGCCCGGCAGTGTCTTGGCATCGAGAACTTTTCAAAATTGAAAGCCACTTAGTTAGCTTAGTATAAAGTTTAAGATGCTTGCACAGGCCTGTGGAAAGACACTCTCGGAGAGTGAGAGTGTAGCTTAGTGGTGTAGAGGTCTGGGCTGGACGGCCTTGCACCTCTGCTCTGCGGTGAGCAACCACGAAGGCCACGACTGAGGGAGAAGAGAGGAGGAACCGAAAGAAGAGAGAAGAAGAGAGCAACCTGGAGGGTTGTGTGTTTGAGTGTTTTGAGGGTTTAAGTGTCTGTGTGTTTGTGTTTGCACTCCTCTTCTTTTGTCGCGATTGGGAAGGATATCACCACTGCGAATCAACCTCTACAATTGTTCAGTCTTCTTCGTTTTCCGAGTCGCTGGCTCACTCGCGCGTTCTAGTTTCGTGTGAAAGGGCGACGGTGGGCAAGCCGGACATTCCAGGTCAAAATAATGCAAAAAGGTACAAAAGGTACAAACTCAGGTGCGGACCACTGTAAGTATTACAAATCTGTGAGCAGTTTTGGGGTGGGTTTAGATTGGTAGATCCCGGGAGGTGCCGCGGCGCTGCTGTCGAGCGGCGCCGCCTGTCTTGAAGACGTGGAGGGCAACACGGCGAAGAGCCCGGGCCTCGTGACACTTCTGAGCTGTTATACGAGAATGTGGAGAATGTTGAGAACTGCTTAATCTTGAGCTCTTCGTGAGTTTTTGGCTTGGATTGTCTGCCCAACGTGTGGTGAAAGCGTGGCGCGAGTCACACTTTCGATATCGGTGATGCCTGCCGTCCCCCACGTTCTGCCCCGAAGCCCCTCACAAAAGCAGAGCGCCTATTCAGCCGTTCAGCCTATTTCATGTTCCAACCTGCATAAAAAAAAGAGGCCCACGCGGATCCGAAAGACGGCGGAGTCAGAAACAACTCAAAGACTTTGCGAAAAGCGCTTCAGTCGGATGTCGGATGGACAGCATGGCAACTGGGAACTGGTGGCAACTGTCGCGTTGGCAACTCTGGCCCCTCGTGCTGACATTGAGTTTCTTATCTCTACTGGGCCTGAGACCACCACCTGTTCCACCTGGTCTCGCAAAGCCGTGCTGTGCGTCCTCCAAAGTTTATCCCTAGTTGAGTTCGTCACACGGTTCTTTATGGCCATCTTCGAGCGTATCGCCATCCTCACAGCCTCAGTGGGACTGCCTTTACTCCACTGCATCACATGCGGGCGGCATTGACAACGCAGCGGCGGGACACCGTTTATGCAGCGCCCAACCTGCAGTTTCCGAGCCGCTTTTGGCAGCACAGGTTTAAATCTACATACAATGGGAAAGATGGAGTTTGCTGTGCATCTGCAGCAGCAAGAAAGGGACATGCGGCCGGTCCCTGCAAGAAAGAACAGCGCAGCAACAAGAAGCAAAGGGCACCCTGCCGTGAAAAATTCAGAACGCGCCCGGCAAGCAAGATGCTTTTTTTGCTGTAGAGATGTGCGCAGCCTGGGGCTTCAAAAATAGGATTCAATGGAGCTCATCTGAGGATTCAGCTGAGCTCTCGACATGCTTTGTATTCAAGATGTGCGCTCACATCAGGACTGGCGGAGCGTGCTGGAAACGACGCGCTCATAGAGCTGCTGGCGGATGTGCAGGAAGCGCCCGATCCAGGTACCTTGGATCGTGAGTTGCCCAAGTGTGAGACTTCGAAGTCTGCGTGAAGAACTGCGAGAACTGTCGGGACTTGAGCCTTGGTGCCTCGGTGCCAGGATGTTGCTGGCGCGTCTCTGCTCAGGTGTACCTTCCACTCCAGCCCGGCGCAAGCAGATGAAGGCCCACGCCTGGACTCCAGGGCTCCCAGTCTCCCAGTGCTCGAAGCGAATTTTTCTCAGCTTTCCGGGCCGGACAGGGGCAGCTCCCGCCTCTGACGAACAGCGCGGCAGAGACGGAGGCATTTTTCAGCCATTTCTTTCACTCTCATGCTTCCACACGTTTTGCACTCAGAATTCTGCCAGGCTCCCGAAGACCAGGAGCCCCTCGAGGCGTTGGGTGCCCAAGACGGAGAGCTCAACGCGAGTCTCAGCCTCCCTTTGTCTCTCTCTCTCTCTCTCTCTCTCTCTCTCTGCTCTCGACGAGCCTCAACCGCGAGCCTACATTCTCCAAGTTTAACAGAGAGAGGCCGGCTTTTTACTGCTCTCAATCAGCTTCGTGTCTCAGCTCTTAAGGTTCAGAGAGGAGTGGGAACCACGCGCGGGGACGGACTCGCTGCTCGACCGGGTCTTCGGCCCCATGGTCCATCTCCGAGTTCAGCCAACACGATTGCGCAACACTCTATTTTGCAACACGAGTGCACAACTGAGTGCATATGCGATAGAGAGAGAGAGAGAGAGAGATCTAGAGAGACTCTTTTTTTGCATGAAATTGTTCGCAACTCTTCACGGTGCACATGCCTCGAGGGGAAGAGCGATGGTTCCCCATGTTGATTGTTACACTTTTTATTCAGTTTAATTCATGTTGGTCATTTGCCGCAGCCCGAATTCTCTCACGGCATTGCAGAGTTTAGCACCGGATTTCGGGGGTCCTTGGCTTCGCGCTCTTCGTGCTAATCATTGGCGTCAGTGTGGTTCACGCTCATCTCGACTCTCACCTCGGTAGCGTAAACTGAGTAAATTGAGTAAACAACTGTTGGATTCCGGCCTATCTCAGTTTCCCACCTCCTTTCACCTGGGCTGTGCTGCTAAGTGCTAGTTGCAGTAGCGCAAGCGCTTTCGCGACTGGACTGGTGCCCAGGTTCATGATGCCATGCTTTGCGAACAGTGGCGCGACCGACTGGAGGCAAGAGAGCTTGCGTTTGCCCTTTCCTTTGTCATTGCCACCCCACCTGCCCGGTCTGCCTCCAGTACTGCCTCCAGTACTGCCTCCAGTACTGCCTCCAGTACTGTACTTTGAGGACTCAGAAACAACATGAGGCTCTGTCGGCTGTCGGCCTGCGGTGGGCTTGAGTCACATTGGGTGCTCTTGGTGCGCCTCCTTTGGATCGCACGCAAGACATGCCCCGGAGTTCTTTGTGTCAGCGGCTCACGGAGTGTGTCGTGTACTACTCGTAGAGGCCTCTTCTGAGTCGCAAAGCTCCGAAATCCCCCCGCAGCCAAAGTTTGAGAAAAGACACAAAGAGCCTCAAAGCGATCAAGGGCCCAGAGTTGCAACAGACTCAAAAAGCCGGAGTCTTTGGCTTCCCTGTTTCTCTCTGTCCACACTGTCTTTTGGAGATCTCATCCCGGCTCGCAGGAGGGATCTGAAGTCCCCCAAGACACAAGTGACACAAGTGCCGTCTGACACTGAGCTTGTTTGCCGAGCAGGCCCACATGCACGTCTGCCAGAAGTTCGAGCAGGCCTCGCGGGTTCTTTTGCTGCTTTCGGTTTTTGTTCAATTGACATTGCCAGGAGTCCCCCCCCCCGCCCCCCCCAAGGCAGAGTTTCGAAGCCCGTCTTAAGCCCGTGTGAGGTGAGTGCTACTGCTTCGGACTTGGTGCGGGCTGTGAGCGAGGCCTTGCCGGACCTGGACAATGAGCGGCCACGTTGTACAGAAGAGGTATCATTCGATATCTGAGACTTGCCTGACTTGTCTGGTGACTCGCAGGCCACACGCATTGCCGCCAAGGACAAGATGCCAAAGGTGAACACCTGCTGAGCCACAGGAAGCAGCGGGAACGGCACTTGCTCGTGACCAGGTCTTCCATGCTGCGCTTGGCACTTTGGAAGAGCTGCTGTCTGATGCCCGCGTCGATGATGTCAGTCAGGGACTTATCAACTTCGCCCCACAAGCCAGGAATCAGCCGGCGCAGATTCTCGTTGCATTGTTGTCAGGCACCGAGGATTTTTCGGCATTGCTGCGGTCGGAAGAGGCTCTGATCAATTGCACAGCGCCGTGTCAATGGACAGCCTTGGACAGCTCAACATGTGCCAGGACAGCGAGAATCTGATAGAGGTCTTGCTGGACAAGACCGATGTGGGCGGTGGCTCGAGCAAGGCCACATCACCTCAGCAGGTGGGAGGGCGGGGGGGAAAACCGAGGGCCAGTAAGCTTTGGTCTTCTTGGCTTCAAGCCCGTTCCAGACCGTTGAGTGCGTTGATGTTTGGGAGGCGGCGGCCACAGCCCTGTGTTCCTGCGTGCTGCATGGCCGCGTCGGGGCCCTGGAAGCGGGCAAATCCGCACCTTTGGCAACCGACTCTTCAGAGCTTGGTGCCGGGGCGGCGGCTTCTGAGATCATTCGCTTTCTGTCCACAGGGGCCTTCTTTAGCTAAGACAGCTAAGACTCTTATCGCAGAGTCTAATTGAGACCCTCTGAGACGCCCTGAGGTGCCACTGGATGAAGCCGCCCTGCCCTTGCTCTCTCGAGTTGCGGAGCGACTTCGAGCGATCCAGGGCACCAAGGACAACGGAAGAGCTTCGGAGGGCTCTTTCTGGCATTCTAGCCCCCCTTTGCAAGTAGAATGTCGAAGCTGCGGCGAGTGCCTCGGGGATAGATGCGATCTTCTCAAAAGAGTTTGGGGGGGAGGCTTGAAAAGCATGGATCTGGACATTGAGGAGCGATCTGAGCAGGCCAAGACCCCAAAGTGTTTGGCCGCTAACCTGAAGCTGCTCGGCCGCCAGGAGCAGTCTCCTTGAAGGGAGGAGGGAGGGGAGGGAGGGGGGGGAGGGGGGGAGGGATGGATCTTGTGGGATATTGTGGATGTTGTGTGGGCGTCTTAGTGGCCGTGCTTGCAGTGCTGTACTCTCTGGGAGGGCTTCCCTTCGGGCGCTTAAGCTGCGCTGTGCCAAGTTCCCTGGCCCAGGTTGCTGGGGCGCATGCTGAACACCTTTGGATTGCAACAGTCCGGTCTCTTTCGGCGCGCGATTGAACCGGCCTTAGAATGCTGGAGGGGTGTCCCGCAAGGCTGCAAGGAGCGGGAGATTTTCAGCAGAGATGACGTGCGATTAAGGTGCTGCCAATGTTGCTCCTGGCGTGCAGCTCCGAGCACTCCAAAGTACGGGCTGCTTCGGGCGACTGCCTATTGCAGCTGCTGGTGATTGCCCCAGCCGCCTCTCCTCTCTCTCGGTTTTCTAGCTCTCGATTTTCTCTTCTCTCTCTCTCTCCTCTCCCTCTCTCTCTCTTTCTCTTTGCTTTGGTTCCTTTGTTTTCTCTTTCTCAGCTTTTTCTCTTTCTTTGAGAGGCGCTCAGCGGCGGCATAGAAGAGCGGCTCTGGGGCCTCCTCCCAGCCAAGGCGCCTGGGAAGAGGGGGGTCCGCGTGCAGTGCCGCTGCCTTCTTCTGCCTTCTGCGAATTCGCTGCAGGGTTCCCTCTTTGAGCGTGAATATTCTTTCGGTTCGGGCTGTGCACACTTCGAATCTGCCAGTGCTTTCTACGAAATTAGGGCAGTGTCGGCAGAAGCACCCGGGGACGCTCGATTGTGTACCCGCATTTGATGCAATGCATCGATTCAATTTGGTTGACGACTCCTTTCGAAGAGGGTGTGCGAATTTGTGAATAATATGTGTGTCTGGAAAAGTGTGTGTGTGTGTGTGTGCGTGTGTGCGGATGTGTGTGTGTGTGTGTGCGCGGATATGTGTGTGTGTGTGTGTGCAGATGTGTGTGTGTGTGTGTGTGTGCGGATGTGTGTGTGTGTGTGTGTGCGCGGTCCTCCTGCTCGCAAGGAGGCTTTGTGGTGTTTGCCTCACCTTTAGGCTGAGTTGGAGTAGCGCGACGTATTGTTTTCCTTGTCGTCGTTTTTAATTCCGTTTAGTCGCATCTAGGCTTTGGGCAGTACCTGTTCCTTTTTCCTGCTTCTTTCTCGCCTTGCCAAAACCCCGTTTGTGTGTGTGTGGCCCTTCTGCTGCACTGGACACAGGGCCTGCAATGAAGAGCTATCGGTGTAAGTGGGAGGGGTGATGGACGCGACTGACAGACAGTTTGCAAAGAAGACACGGTGAATGTTGTAAATGTGTTGTAAAGCAAGCTGTGTATCGCTTACTCATTCCTGTTGGCTGGGGCGATGCGTGCAACACGGAGGGAGATGGAGGGAAAGCTCGTTGTTGCGCAACAGTCGAAGCAGCTACGGTTTCGCGTGGAGAATTATCTATGAATCGACGTCCTCGCGAATCAAAGCATTTGCTTTCTCAACACGAGATGCTTGTTCATTTCATTCGCATTTCCTTACTAGACCTGTTCCTTCCTTTCCGTAGCTGGAACCCTGCAGGGCTTTGCATGACATTGGAAGAATTATTTCAGCTAAAGCTGCATCTCTCCTCTTGAGGCGCGCAAGCGCATCGAGAGCCTGGCATCCGGCCACGAAGGCATCGCGCTGCTGTCGGCCGCTCGCGCCTGAGTCGCCGCAAAGATCAGAGCCACGTAGCAGCTTTGACACCAGCTCTGGGCCTGCAGCAGGGTTTAGAATGGTTTAGATGTCCAGGTGGCCTGCGATGAGGACGCCATGGGCAAGGAGGCGCGATCAGAAGCCTTTGAAAGGGGTGTGGCGCGGGTGGGTCTATAGTTCTTCGTGGGTTCTTGCGCGGACACCCTTGGCGGTGGCCGGTGGCCCGCAGCAACAACGCAACACCCTCCCAGCCTTGTCAGGACATCGTGGCTGAAGACAGCCGGGCAGGCTCGGCAAGATCCCCCGCTTCAGCATCGTGGAGCTCTTGTGCTGGGTACAAGTATGTACAAAGTGTGCTGCAGTGCTACAAGCGTGGGTGTTGAAAGTTGAAAGCCTCTGTCAGGCTCCTTCATCTGCGCATCCGAGCTGAACCAGCAGGTGCCGAGCTGCTCCACAGCTCCCAGCATCTCCCAGGATCAGAATCGAAATGGCGCAGGTTTGGGCCAGCCTTCAGGCAGGCCAGGAAGTTGCTTCGGGCCCAGTTTTCTTCTGAATTGCTACTCGCAGTACACGAGATCAGAGTATGATATGAGAGCACCTGTGTTCGCTCCCCCCTGCGGGGAGGGGGGCGGGGGGGTGGCCCACAAAAAGACTGACTCTGCTGTGTGCAAGAAGACTCCTTGCTGCTAAGCTCTGAGAGAGGCCGAGACAGCCAGGCCGCCAGACCGCGCAGCAGTGGGTCGCTAATTCTCTGTGTGGGCCGTAGCCGTGGAAAGGCGCAACAACAAAATGTTGGTAATGTCATCGCCATCATAGGTGTCATAATATGGGCACAGTCACATGTACAAAGTCTCGCGGGAGATTCTGTAGATGAGAGCTGGGAGACCAGCATGACAAACGGGCCAAAGGGGCCGAGATCGGCTTGGGGAGGCCGCCGGTGGCGCCGACGGACAGCCCCGAGGGAGCGGATGACGGAGCAGCGGAGGCCGGAGCAGAGCAGTGATCGTGAATGACCCTAGATTTGCGTGATTCCTTGTTGTGGAGGCCTTGAGCCAGGCCTTTGCCAGCAGGAACTGGCAGGCGCTGGGCCGTCGAGATGTGTTGAGTGTTGTGGGGGTGTGTTGAGGTGTGTTTACGAGATGCGTGAAATTGGCCCATTGCATCCTTCAAAGGAGCGGGCAGAAAGTATCAGCAAGTTGGCTTCGGAGCTAGCCACAGCTGGCAGCGGCGTCAAATGCCTGGCGGACAGTGATTTCTGTGCTCTGTAAGTCTCGGAAGTCTCGGAAGTCAGAAGTCACTGAAGTTCAACATGTGAAGCATCCTAGTAGGCGGTGTGATGTTAAGATGTTTTCGCAGGACGCTGAAGGAACTGGCACCACTGGTCCGCTGCTCTCGCAGTACGTCGGCTCCTCAGCTTTCTCACTGCCAGAGGCCAGCTGTGAAATTCGGTGCAAGTTGTGGTAACTTGTGGTAACTTTCTCAGGTCCTGTCGGGACTGCGAATATCAATGCTGCAGGCGCAATGCTGGGAACCCTTCGCGCTAGTTTAGTTGGATGTCGTCTGCTGCCAGAAGACTACGTCGTAAAGGGGCCGAAAGCCCTTGGACTCAGCAAGCAAAAGCGAGACAGCACAAAAATCTGCAAAAACAATGGTTAAGAACCGCAGCAGGAGATTGATGCACTTGCAAAGGGCGTTCAGTCACGGATGTGTCTATGGAGTCGGACCATCGGGTCCGAACAACAGCCTTGGGTCGGCCGCGGGCTCACAGATGCAACGGCACTCCTGGTATTCCTTCGAGCATAGAATATAGACCTCGGTTAACCGCCAACAACAGCCACCAACAACAACCACCAACGACAACCACCAACAACGACAACAACCACAACAGCCACCAACAACGACAACATCCACCAACAACAGCAACAACTACCAACAACCACCACCAATAATCACCAACCAAGAACCACAACAACGCCAACCGCAACCACAACCGGGACGACGACGACGACGACGACGACGACGACGACGACGACGACGACGACGACGACGACGACGACGACGACGACGACGACGACGACCACGACAACCACGACGACCACCACGACCACCACGACCACCACGACCACAGGACAACCACGACCACCACGACGACCGCCACGACCACGACGACGACGACGACGACGACGACGACGACGATGACAGGGACATTGACAGTGACAGAATGGCAATGACAATGGCAATGACAATGATACTGACAATGATGGTGACAACAACCGCGAGGTCCCGGGCCTCACCCTGCAACCTCACCACCTCGCACCCTCCACACCTTCACCCTCCCGTATTGCGAGGTCGCGAGGTCCCGGGCCTCACCCTGCAACCTCACCACCTCGCACCCTCTCCATGATGACACCAACCGCACCACCAACACCACAGTTGCAGTCACGAGAATTGCCGTCGCCGCACATGCCTCTTGCCGTGTTGTCGCCTGATCAAGCACTTTCACAAAGCTCAGCCATGTCAGCCTGCGAAGAGGCCCAGCTGCTTTCCTTGCTGTCGGACACCGTGACCGCCGTCTTCGTCGGCGCGGCGGACCTGCTGCGCCTGATCTGCAGCCACGCCTGGAGCCGAGCCTTCTTTCTCAGAGAGAGAGAGAGAGAGAGAGAGAGGAGAAAAAGAACGAGAGAGAGAAAGGCGCTGGAAGGAAGGAAGGAGGGAAGGAAGAGAGAGACGAAGGAAGGAAGTTGCCCCTCCCTTTCGTCCCGGGGGGCCAGGTGCCGCTGTACTTGGCCCCGCTCTTCCTGGAGCCCCTGCTGCCCCCGCTCTTCGCGCGGCTGATGGACACCAGCCAGAAGGCGCGCCCGCACGCGAAAAGAGTCCTTGTGCGTTTCGTGAGCTCTAAGGACTCTAGTCCCGCCTCAAAACATGCCTCGGCGAGCAGCTGAAGACGTTGTGTGATTTTTTGCGTGCAGCTCAGGTGAGGCACAAGGCCGTGGAGACCACGCTGGAGGCGCGACGGCGCGACCGGCTAAGAAAGCAAAGGCGGAGACTTTGCTTTGCCTCTTCTTTTTTGAGGTTGGAGCCCTGCACGGCAACGCCTTGAGCGAGATGGTCGCGCAGTGCGTTGCGAGCGGCGCCTCGGCCGAGACCATGCGGGGGCCTGCGAGCGCGCGAGACTTGAGGAGATTTGGCTTCTGACTTGGCCTGGGGTTTTCCAGCACCTGAGATAAAGGGGAAAGGCTCGAAGGCCCTTGAAGCAACTTGAAGGGCCCTCTTGAGGGCTCCAGGGCTCGTGTCAGGCTCGTGTCAGGCTCGTGTCCGCGTATGGCCCCTAATGGGCCCCTAATGAGCAAGGCAGCGCTTGGACCTGCGCTTCGCAAACCGCTGTGGACCGCAACGGCCCTCTCCTGAGTTCGTGAAGGAGCTTATGATGGCTTTTGCGGGCTTTTGATATCTTATGATGGCTTTTGCGGCCTCATTCCCCAGATTCCCCAGCTGTGGCACAGCGCCTGAAGAGTCTCAGGCAGTGACCGCAGCTCCGGTCCACGGCTGCAGCTGCTTGGGCAGATGGACCCGACCCAAGACTCGCAAAGTCGCAAAGAGAAGCATGGCGCGGGAGCAGCAAAAGTGTGCAAGTGTGTCACGTGAAGCAGTATGAAGCAGGAAGAAAGCAGACGCATCATGGGACGCATGCTGAGGTCAAGCGTGCACAGGACCGTGCCTCCGGTGCCTGGTCGCCTGAGACCTGGAGTGCCCTGGCGGAGTACTCGGTCAAGGCCGGGAGCAGCCATCGAGCAGCCGGGCTTCGGATGGGGCCGACAGATCTTCCCCTTAACGGGGCCCCTTGTAATCTTCAGCTCCCCCATAGAAAACAGGTTTCCGCGGAGTTTCGGAAGCTAGAAGGTCACGAGATGCAGCTCTGCAGTTGTCTAAGATGTGTTTTGAACCGGCAAAGGTTCTTTGCAGCTCGAACAATTTGCGAGATTGAAGACCTTTGAATTTGCCCAAAAAACTCGCATTATTTGGAAGCCCGTGTTGAAACGTCTGGAATGGTCGAATCTGTGCGTGCTGCCGTGGCAGCCGAGCCGGCCCAAGCCGCGGGACGTGCATGTCGACTGTCCAAGCGGTGCACTTCGGAGGTGCCAGTCCGCACGGTCGGGTTGCAGCTATGGAAATTGACCGCGGGTCGGAAAAGCAAGGCCTGTAAATCCGAAGCTTTGCACCAGCAGCGTAGGCATGCGTAGGCCATTTTTTTTTGGGGGGGACCAGAAAATCGGCGTGGGGGGGGGAAGGGTTGGGCAGGGGAGGGAGACCAGATCCTGGTCTGCTTGTTCTGGACGCCTCTCAGAGGCCGAGGCGAATTCAGGCTTCCGAAGACATGTTTGGGACATTCCACCTGCGGTGTTTGAGTTTAGCATGAGTATTCTCCGCTATTGTAAGCTCTTTCCTCTTCTTCGGAGCTTTAGTTCGCCATTGCGGCTTTGGCATCTTGCTCTCAGGCCTCGGAGAACAAAAGCGCCGAGGTCCGAAAGGAGGCCCCTCCGCCGTGTGGGCAGTGAGAGAACGCGCTCTTCCTTCTCTCGCAGCTCAAGTGCAAGCTTCGAGTCCCCTTGCTCTCCTCTATGCTCTCTCATTCTCATTTCTGTTCTGTGTCCCTGTCTCCGTCTCCGTCTCTGTGTGTGTATGTGTGTGTCGGAGGCTGCCAACCTACTGAACAGCATGGCTCAGATCGAAGGCGAATGATTGTTTGATTGCCCCCGTGTGTGCGTATGCCGCCTGTTGCGGAGTTGTGGGTTGTGGGTGTCCGCGCACCTCTCAGGTCAGGCTGCCGAGATTGCCGAGGCAGCACTGGCCCAGCTCAAGGCAAAAAGCACAAATGAAGGGCCAGAGAGCCCCCCCCATTCTCATCCTGAGATGCTTTTAGCTTGGCGGAGGCCATGGCCGATGAGAGAGCACGGCAGAAGATGCGTCCAGGCACTGGCGTGAGGCGCATGTCTGCCCTTCAGCCCTTCAGCCCTTCAGCCCTTTGCCACTTCAGCCTCAACGACATGATACCGCTGCACCAGCTTTGCGCGCTCAGCAATGCTCACAGACGTGACTTAACTTCAAAGATGCCACACTGCACCTTAACGAGCAATCGGCTGAGGCTATAGGTAAATGTTCTCGGACACCGGAGGTGACGGCGAAAAGCTCCTTTTGCATAGCCTTCTCTGCACACAGCGCCCCAAGGAATCGAAGAGCCCCTGAAAGAGGAATCGGGAACACATGGGTGGGCTTACAGAAGGGCATGCCCCAAGTGCCCCAAGTGCCCCCAAGCTGTTGACAGAGCCCTTCAAGACTTCAAGACTTAAACTCTCACGCTCCACACCCACCCCCCCCCCCCTCCCCCCGCTGCAACCGCTTTTTGGAGGCCTTTGACCGGGACGAGGGCTGGCACGGCCTCGGGCTCCCGCCCCAGCACAGGTGCGAGTCTCAGTGAGCGCCTCTGAAGTGGCTACCCGCGCTTACTCGCGGCCACCCGTCCTGAGCAAAACGCCTGCGCGACCCTTACGATGGGTTTGGCTGTTTTGGCTTCTTCTATAGCGGGTCTTGAGTTTTCCGCAGGTGCACAGAGCAACCTGGGGGGCACTGGCCGGCTCTCCCACATGGGCTCCACAGGAGGCGGATCCTTGTCGAGCTCTGCGCATAGCCTGCATAGCCTGGAGAACGATGCGATGGTGCGAAGCGAGAGTAGGTGCCGTGTCGAGCCCCCGCAGGTTTCACCTTGACGATGAACTCTTCAGGCTTAAGCTCCTTTTCAATGCTCGCAAGTCGCAGCTGGCAGCTCACAGCCCCGTTCAGCATGACGCCATCACCGAAGGTCGCCTCAGCACGGCCAACAGATCTCGGGGCACAGGCTCCAGGCAATGGTATGGAAGGGAGAATTCAGCAAAAGTCTTATATAACTGTATAACATGTAGAAGCATATGCCACTGTCAGGCTTTCAGTCAATTTGTAGCAGCGAGCATTGAGAGTTGCCTTGCCAGTTTTCGCCCCGGCACTGGACGGCCTGGAACTGGCATGAGCAGGCTGGGCAGCTTCCGCTGTTCGCTTTAGGGGGTGAGGGATCCCATGTGCGACTGCTGCTCGACTGCTTGTGCCTGGAGAAAGGCCTTCCCTTGCTTTGCAGTGTCGCATCACATTCGCAGGGCCATGGAAGACGAGAGTGACAACTCCGTCCACAGCGAGGCCCCTGCAGTGGAGGCCTGGGCCTCTTTGTTTTTGCAGCCAGGGAGCGAGGAAGGCACTAGACCAGATGGGCACAAAAAGGTCGCCCGATTTGGGCTGTTGGCTCCTTGCCCCTGAAGGCGGAGCCTGGCCCCGGTGGTTTCGAAGAGGAGGCGTGGCCGTGGGGTGGCTCGTGCACTGTGACTGTGCCTCTATGCATCATCCAGCTCAGCATTTGCCATGACAAAAGTTGCCCCTTCGGCCGTCTCGAGGGAGTCAAGTTTTTCGATGTGAAGAATGCATGTGGTGGAGCTGATGAGGCCTCAGCCTTAGGCTAGGTCAGCGAGGTCAGCATCCCCTGATGTGAGCTTCGGTGATGCAGCGGAGGGGTCTTCGGCCGCTCAGTTGCTAAGGTGCCGGAACTGGCTGAGGGCGAGGCAGCTCTGAAGGAGGCTCGGCATAGTCTTCGAGAACCGCCAAGCACTCTCACTTCACGTTATCAGATGTCATACAACCTACTGCGTCCTTGGGCACAGTGGCGGCAGTCAAAGAAGTTGGAACCGCAAGAAGACGAAGCCACACTATAGCATTGGACACCCTGGAGGCATTGCCCTTGGCCGAGGCACTAGATGAGGCGCTTGAAAAAGAGGGGGGCCAGAAAGAGGGTCAGACAGCGCTCAGAGACGCTGGATGTTGCCAAATGCTGTGCAGATCGCAGGTAGCTTTGGATTTTGTCGCGCCCCTGATAGCGCTTTTCGGAGAGGATTGGACAAGGTGCTGGGGTGCTGGAGTGTGCTGGATCCTGTCTTGCCATGTCTTGCCCCTGTGGCTTTTGCATCGCGCGGAAAGGTGTTTTTATAGCCGGAATTGGCAGTGCCGAGTGGCAGTCTCCACCTTGGCATAGCTTCCGGCTCTTACACAGCACTCCCCTCTGGCATCTGCCTGTCCCGGTGCCTCTTTGAACTCGCAACAAAATTTCTCTAAAGAGCTCTCAAGGCCTTGACCCATTTGGCAGCGAGCATGGCCCAACGGCTAGAGGAGCTGTCGACGTCAGAGGCAGGCCAAGCCGCCAAAAGGCGAAGCCAAGCGTGCTGAAAATGACGAATTAAATTGACTGAGGTATCACCCAATGTTCTTGCAGAACTTCTGGATGGAGCAATGCGAGCTGTCCATGAGGCTTTCGACCACGCTTCTCAGAGTCTCATGCCTTCTTTCACGTGTCAAAACACGCATTTGGCAGGGTTTGGGAGACCAAAATGTGCGAGTTTATGCGGAGGCCCGTGCCCCTATAATTGATGTCAATGTCCACAATCTCCAATGCCTGACGTTATGGTGTTGCATGTCAGTGGAGATGGTCAGAGCCAGGCATGCATGTCAGTCACGGCCATTGTGCCATCTTTCTGCGGCACGGTTGATGGACGACTGCTGGTGGCTCGATCTGAACCAGTCCTGAGTTGCTGTGCGATGCTGTGCGTAAGTTTCTCTCGCCTTGACGTGCTCACGGCACTCACCTCTTATTCGGAGCCCTCGATTTGAGATTTTGATGGTTTAACCTTTCGGGTCAGGGCCAGATGCAGGAACACGGTCAAGTCGTGCGGAGCCTTTGCGAATACGTAGCTAGGCCCTATAGGCTCAATTGGGGTAGTTGCGGCCTATTGAAGCTCTTTCCCACTTTCTCTTCACGGCTGACACAGAGCCTGTCCGGCTCTGATCTGGGAAGATGCAAAGAGAGGCCTTCAACAAACACAGCTTCTGGGGGGTTCAGGAGACTTTGAAGAGGCCTTCCATCGAAAGCGCCGCCGACCCCCTTACACGGCGTGGCATGCGGGTCTGTTGTACAAAGCAGCAAAGTCAGGGTGGTTGCTCGAGGCCTGAGTCGGCCGAGCCGCTAGGTGGTCGTGCTGGGGGCAGCAATATAGAACATGAGTCAACAAAGAAAAGCAGGGGGGGGGTGTGGAGATGTGGTGCTCGCGGTGAGGCGCAGAGGGGGGGGGTGAAAAGTAGAAGGGGTGGGATGTGGTGCTGGCGCTGCGGTGGGCGCGGGGCGGGTGGGGTGGGTTGGCGGGTGGTCGTGCTGGGGCAGCAATAGAACATGAGTCAACAAAGAAAAGCAAAAGGAAGGGGGGGGGGCAGTGTGGAGATGTGGTGCTGGCAGTGAGACGCAGAGGGGGGGGGCTAGCACGAAGAACGCGAAAAGCACGAGAAAAAGCCGAGTATTCTTTGGGCTTCCAAGGTGGCGCACCTGGCGCCCTTGCTTCGTCAGCTTTGTGCCCGCATGGGCGACTCAAAGGAGGCACGCGTTCTACGAGTCACAATACACCCAAGCTTGTTTTTTTGTGTTTTCCGTTCTTTAAGTCTTTTGGGGGCAGACGGGGGACTGTGGGCTTTTTAACGCGTCCCCGTTCCAGCGTGCCACAGGTCGTCCGCACTCAGACCACCCAGGCACCCTCTCAGCTTGTCGCGTCTATGCCAGGGCAAGTCACTTCAAAGTGTCGCGCCATTTTCCTGTATACATGCGGCTTTATTCGTGAAGAGCGCGCTTTGTCCCGAAGCCGGAGGCAATTTTCCGTCTTCTGAACCCGCCAACCGGGAACATCGTCAGTCCGGAGCTTCCCTCAGAGGACATGAAGAGGGCACATACGACACATGTCACGGTGGCACGGCTGCACATTCCAACTCGAAGCCTCGAAGCCTTAGGTGGCGATTGCAATGCTAATTCTACGGCATCTCATGCCGAACAAAGAGGAGGCGGCGGCAGAGACAAACCTTGAGAACTGCAACAACTGCGAGATTGGAGTTCTGCTCCGTGGCAAGGGCGACTCGCCGATGGCCTCCGTTGCCAAAGGTGCCACGGGCAAGGCAAAGGAGGGCCTAAGGGGGGTTCATTAGGGTTCATTCTACAAGTTTCTGCATCCAAAACTGTTCGTTTTGGAGATATAGGACAGCGCCCCCCAGCCCTATCGAAGCCACACGAGAAGCAGCGTTTCCAAGAGGGGCCCCCGAGCAGTTGGGGTTCAATGGCACAAATCCAGCCCGCTGAAGCCCCGCTCCCCTTCCCTCCCACAACTTTTGACATCAGGGAGCCGCAACGGGATGGCTATGCCGATTGGGAGCCTTGCGCGACTTGTGCAAGGCGCGAAGTTGGTAGAGAAGGGTAACTTAGGGGAAGTGTGTAGGACAGTGTAGGATTTTGGGAGAGAGTCGGTTCAGAGCTTGGGTACTCAGGGCTTTCGATTTAGGATGCTCGGAGTTTTCATGATTGCCGGTCTATAGTCGAGCGACCGAAGGACGTTTGCCAACCGACAATGTAATAACGTACTGTGCACTTCATAACACTTCGACAAATGGCGCACCGCTACAGCAGCTACTGATGAATACAGGGACAAGCCGCTTAGCTCAAATGATGCAACACGTCAGGGGTGAGAGGGGCGGATGTCCAGACGTTGACCCTTTGCCAAGTCTTGTGCTGGGTTGGCAGCTTGGGGGAGCGCGGCTTGACCTCCCCAGTCCCGCCCAGATGGTCCGAAGCATCCGCTGCCGAATCTTCACGGAAAACTCCACTGAGCTGACAGAGTTCCAGGGTATTGCCGGTGTGCTAGGGCTAGCTGCTAGGGTGGTCACACCAGCCCTTGCCTTGGCCAGCTGAGCCACTCTGACACCCAGCAACGCAAACGCGTCTACCCTGTGACACAACGGTATGCAAAGCTGGACAGCGAACAGCGGCAAACGTAAGGAAGGGCGTCTCTGCATGTCTCTGCATTTTTCACAATTGTGAGAGCCGGCCCTTTCTTAAGTAATAGACTCAGACCCTTTAACGCTTCACAGCTTTGCCCCGGAGTCGGCTCTTTCTGAAAGGACTTGAAGTCTTGAAGTGTCAATCCCTGTCAGACACTGTCATGGATTCTGTCTCTTCTGTCAGGAGCATTGCAAGTCCATTGTGCAGAACCCAGGCAGCAAAAGCCCAGGCGAATGGGCAAGGCAGGTTGAGTGTCTGCTCCGTCCCGAATGCGCCATCCGCGAACTCGTGGGAATGTGAATATGTGAATGAGTCAAATGAGTGAATGTGCTCGAGGCTGTCTGATGGCCTGAAGCATTCTGACCCCACGGCTGCGACCCTAAAGAGAATCGAGAGAGAGAGAGAGAGAGAGAGAGAGAAGAGATCTCTGTGACGTGACAGACCTTCCCCATGTGTTCTCGGCATGTTTCGGGGGCCTTGGGTTTCTCTTGCTTAAAAGGTGCGACATGAGTCCGTCCGCCTCTTCGCCCTCGTCTGCAAGATGTGGGGGGACGCAGCACAAAAGCCAGACAAGCCACAAGAAGGCCTCGCCTGTGAAGAGAAGTTGTGGTGCGCCTCTCAGGCACCTAAAGTCCTTGGGCGACGAGGACGCGCAGCGACCAGGACGAGAGGCCTCGCCCCATCCCCGTACCCTCTTGTTTTGGATTTGTTCGCTGCGCTGCGCTTTTCTCAGCAGAGGCCTGGGTCGCAGCCCTGCCGAGGGACGTACCCTCCAAGTCAGTGGCGCAGGCACGGCTGCCGGGGAGGGGAGGGGCGCCCACTTCTTCTTAGGATTTTTTTTGCATATCTGCCAAGGTGCGGCGCTACTTGAAACTTCCTGAGGAGGCCGATCCCTTGCTCCGTGCAGTCGTTTAAGCATTCCGAAGCATTCCAAAGCCCTTGTGCACCGTCTGAGCTGCGACTCCTCCCCGCACGGCCCGCACGGCCCGCACGTCGCAGCATGGCTCAGATCTGCTTAGAAGCTTGAGACCAGCTGAGAGCCGTGTTGGAGCCCTTGTAAGTTGAGCCCTTGTTGAGCCGAGAGCCAAATCGAGGCAAATGGTGTTGGGGGTTCGTGTCCATGGTCCAAAGGTAGAAGATGTGGAGGTGAAGGTTGATGAAACCTTCCGCTCCGTCCCAGTCCCAGAGAAGCTTGGGGTCGTGATCTTGTACAAGATTCAGTCGGGAACCGGCGGCGACGACTCCGAGATCCGGTCGAACGCGATCGTCCGCTTCATGGCGGATACGTCCGATGGCTTGGCGCCAGAGGAGTGGCAGTATGGAGGTACACGGGGCCCCGCTCCGCCGGTGGTCTTGGCCCGGAAGGATCAAGTCCCTTTCTCCAGCCACGACTTTGAGATGATCTGTGACTACATGAGTCACTGGATGGAGCAGGCTGGGGAGAGCGAGGACCACTTCACTGAGGTGACGAACCGGATTTTGGAGCCGGGCGCCTTCCAGCAGTATGTGCGGGAGAACATTGAAGACTACCCTTTGGCCTTCTTGAGCCTTCAGTTTCCGCGAGACAGCGTCGTGGAAGCGAGTGGCTTGAGCAAAGAGGAGCTGAACGGCTTGCAAGGGAAGGTATGCCGCTACAGCAGAGATCGGGTCGGTGTGCAGTTTCCCGATAGAGATGTGACGGCCATTCGCCCACAGAAGCTGCGGCTGATCCACGATGCGCCGCTTGATGAGCCCTCGTCCAAGCGGCACATGGGAGTGCATTCCACGAAAGAGAGAAAAGAAGAGTTGGAAAGGCAGGAAGCGCTTCAAATCTGCAAGCGCTTCACCGAGTGCCTTCACGAGGACACCTTCCCGGAAATGGGAGACCTGCATCTTTTTGGCTTGGGTGGCGATTATAGGGAGAGGGCCACCGAGGTTCTGGCAGTCTGGCAAGGCCTGGCAAAGCACATGAACTTCACAGCCGAAATAGTCGCAGAAGCACTTCTGCAAGGTAACATGAAAGATCGCTTCGTTGAGTGGACGAAAGAGTTGGCAAGCTCCTCCACGCCCAACTCCACCTATGCTAAGAAGCTCATGGAGGCCAACTTCGCAGCTACAGAGTGGGACGAGCTTTGACCGCTTGGCTGTGAAAAAACCAAGCCAACGCTCAGCTCGTATCAGCTCGTTCCCATGCAAAAGCTCCCCCCAAGTATACAGAAGAGCTGTGCCATGTATCCGACCGAGTGACCGTGAGTGTCCTCTCATGTACGTGCCGCTGCGCAGGTTGAGGAGAGCTCAGCGCTGAGCCGCTCGCAGAAAGTCGAGACGATCACTGCGAATTCTTGGGAGGCCTTGGGCCCTGCATGGGGGGGAGCAAGAAGTAAAAGTTTGCACGATGTATAGGCAGCGTAGATTTTTGTCAGCAGCTTATTCTAGCGGCAAAGACACAGAGGCAGACGAACAAGAGTATCTTCGAAGCAGTAGTGCTATCATGCAGGCCTTCGCTTGGAAAGGCAAACACAAAGCAGATGGAACAAGGAAGACGAGTGCAGATAACTTCCCGGAAATCGGTTCTGAGGCGAGAGCCCGCGAAACGCGCGGACATTGGGCTGAACGTGAGAATCGCTTGCTAGCCAGAACGCTACAGGCTGTATAGACCCTGGGCAGGCGAGGACAAGCAGGGTCGCATGCGGCTGGAATCTAACGCTTTGAGGCCCAAGAAAAGAGACCTCCAAATTGGCGCCCTCCCCCCAATTCTTCCCCTGGGTGAAGGGGGTCAACATGGCTGAGCATGTTCGTGAATGTCATTCCCAATTCGGGCGCTCAGCTCCCCCGCGCAATGATTGCCAACATCCGCCCAAGTCACTGCCCAAGCCCGAGCGCGCCGCGGCAACAGAGATCTTAAAAATGCATTGCGCCAAAGACACCCCCCCGCACACCCTCTGCTCCCACGCCCTCCTGTCCATGTCCCGTCCTTCTGCTAAGCTTTATATGCCGCATCGATCTCCATGCAGATCATTTATACGATTTATGCAGAGAGGTTTTTCTTCCCCACGCTTGCGAGGTGCCCTCGAGTTTGGCTTCCTGGTGCTCTTGCGAGCTGGAGGTGCCCCCACGATACATAGAAAAAGAAGAGAATGTTGCCAAGCGCGGCGTTTTCTTAGCTCGTCGCGTAGTTCTAGAGGCGATTTGCTCTTCCCATTGCGCTCGATGCGAACGTCGATCCATGAGCACGAAGAAGCCTTAATACTTAAGGTGCTGAACGCTCTCGCAGCGCCGCAGAAGGGCGAGGAGAAGGCCCCGGTCTCCTCGCACTGCATTCCCCATAAGATCTTACTTATACAAGAGCAGTTCGGAAGTTCGGAAAGTTGGGGGAGCGGACTGGCGTCACAAGCTGCCCGGTGCCTCTGCGACAATGGTCTGGGATGCGCCCAGTGAGGCGGTCATTGCGGCGCTCAAGGTGCTGGGCAAGGCCGTGTCGAGTGTAGAGAGCGAGCGAAGGGAGGCCACGCGCGATTGCTTATCCCAGGCCTGCAAAGTCGAGAGAGAGAAAGCAAAAGCTGCCCAGACTGCGGAGGCCAGCTGTGCCAAGACGCAATGCGAGACAGAATGCAATAAACTAAGTGCTGCTGCGCAGCAGAGAGCATTCGCTGAAAACCTGCTTTCCGTGGCATTGCCTACCCTGAAGTCCCTAATCGAACCATGGAACCCAAGTCCATGTCTTGGCTTTCTCAGCTTTCGCTGCTGTAAGAGACATCATTGGTTGTTTTCTCCTTGCAATGCGAGGCCTTTGCGGGCATCTGCCGCGCAATACAGCAAGCCCTCGGCTTTCCCGTTGGCGCGGACCGGCTCGTCTTCCTCTGTGCCGCGCGAGACTGAGCTTAAAAGCTACCGGTACAGCACGGTAAACTCCAGTAAGCTCGAGTAAGAGTATACATCCCAGTATACATCCCAAGCCCCTCGTACCCTCTAGCCGTCGTTTCAGTTCTTTGTCTCATAGCGGCTGATTCACAGATTCCGCAAGAGGGGCCTGGCAGATCTTGAGGGGAGCAAAATGGAGCAAACTGCTCTCCGATTCAGCTTGGAACCCGCGCGTTGCCACGGTGCATCTCAGGTGGAGCTTTGCCAGCTTTCTGTGCAGCAGCTGGCCGCGAATCTTTCTGGCCTCGGCCGCGCCGGCGAAGTTGAAGTCTGTTGAAGTCCAATCTCTCCCTGAGTTCTCTTGTTGAAACTTAGTCTTGTTGAGAAGGGAGGGGGCATGTTTTGAATCCACTGCCTTGCCTTGAGTGGTGTTGCCTGCTGTGCTCTGCTGAGACCTGAACATGGCCCTGGCCAAAATCTTTCCGACGCTGATGGAGCGAACAGCGCTCTCCGGCCTCGCGGGAGACGTCAAGGCTCCCGGATCCCGAATATAGAAAGCAGGATCTGAAGCAGAAGGTCTCCCCCCGCGCCCCCCGGCCCCCCCCCCCCCCAACGAGTTAAGACTCAAGATTGCAGAGGTGGGCGTGGCATCAGACAAACTGGTGCAGCAGCTGGCCAAGCACCCGAAGGCCATTGGGGCCATTGGCCCCACGAAGTCACGCGAAGTCACACGGAGTCCGGTGAAGTGTCTCCTTTCAGGTGGGTTGCGAGGCAGTTACGAAGATGGCTGGGAGCCGAGCATCTTTCCGGCCCCAACCTTTCCGGACCTCTGGCGGGAAGCTCGTTCGCCCGAAAGCACAGGGTGTGGCGGAAGTCTTTAGGGAGGTTTCTGGAAAGTTCAGGGTTGTTTTGCGCATAGAGCCCTTTAGCCTTTAATGTAGACTCACAGCGTCATGGAGGAGCGGAGTTCCATTGTGATTTCTTCTGAAGGCCAGGTCAGCGGGGGCTTTGAGGGCTCGAGCCCGCTTCCCTGAAAACATCATCCCTGACCAAGACTGACCAACTGAACCTCAGCTCCATGAGACGCTCGTTCCTGAACCACAGCTATTTGCAGCTATTTTTTAAAGCAGGCGCCTGGCTACGCGGGTGTGTAACCAGGCATTGAATGCCTAGTTTCCTAGACAACTATGAACATCGCCAAGCTCCTTGCCTGCCAAACTAAGTACATACAGCTCTAAGCCCTACTAAATTACTAAAGCCTCGTAAGCTTATGACTAGAGGTGATCGCCTGCGTGGCGCGTTCCGAGCGGCCTGTTCGACCGTTGGTTCTGCTACGTCCCCCGGCTGGATGTCTTCAGCGATACAACGTAAAACTAATCTGTTCTCACTGTGCCTGTGCGGGCGAGTGTATGTTTTGATGCAAGTCTCTGTGCAGAAAGAATCTGAGAGCTTCTGGACATCTGCAGTGCAACAGAGGTACGCTGCTGAGTGACTTCGGCCTACGGTGGGGGAGCTGCGGGGGAAGTTGGGGAAGGGGTGGAAAGGGGAGAGCTTTGCAAACTGAGAGCCATGTGTGAGCTCATCTCCATCTCACATCAGCCAGGCTCTGCGCCCAGAAGGACGTGGTGATGCTGCTCTTGAACGCCGTTGCCGGCCACCTGGAGCGGCTCGAAGGCTGGAGGGGGGGGGGCCCCTCGTCTCGCAAGTCGTGTTTGATAAGCGCTCTTCGCGCGGCCCGCCTCGGCAGCAGAAGCAGTTTGTGGGGTGGCTTGCTTGGAGCTCCCAGGGCCTTATTCTGGGCCGTCGCAGAATGTCGAGCGGGTCCCGGGACTGCCCGCTTGGACCCCCAAGCATCCCCGAAGGACCCCGAAGGGACCCCTGAGCTGAGGAGCCCCATGCACCCTTGAAACCGAGGGGACCGGTGGTTCGGAGATGTTCGGAGGGGATGTTTCGGGGTCCCATGTCCTCATCCACGCGGGTCCGGTACCGCGGCCCAAAGAACATGCGAGTTGCGGTAGCTTGAACAACGTTTTCTACACTATCACTATCACTATCTTGATGTCCTCCTTAGGCCCGGAGGCGACTTAGGTACACACTGCAAATCATGCCCACTTGGCCCACTTCAGCCATGGCGTTCACAGGCCGGGCAGCAAGTGCCGGTGAGGCAGAAGCTGCCTGCTTTTGCTGTCAGACTCAGTGCCTGACATTGCCGGTCCTGCTCGGCTTCGAGTTTTGCTGGCATATGGTGTTCTCGCAGCCGATGTTGCTCCATCATGTCGGCTACAGAACAGAGCACATGACTCCAACCGCTGCATCGAAAAACAGATGTGTCACATTGTTTCACTGCAGCTCACCTTTCCCCAGTCGGGGCTTGCAAGTGTTACAGGGCACGGAGCACCAATGAGTAGAGGCAGCCATGGGTGCTTCTTACCAGAAGGCGCGCACAGCGCGCACAGACAGCGGATTTGGCAGTGAGACTTCGGACGAGCCAGCACAGCCAGCACACAGAGCGCAAATGGAGCCAGACTCGGGCTCCCCAAGAAGTGACCGAAGTGACCCCTTAAACCTTAGCATCGTGAATTTGGACACCGGCGAAGTCGAGGACCTCGGTCGTGAAGAGTTTGGGCGTTTCACCACCTGGGAACAGATCTGTTCTTCCCCTTCCTTCGCACCTTGGGAGTCTTGGTGGAAGTTGCGTAGGAGGAGAATGGAGTCTTTGTTTGAGGCAGCTGCAACTGGAGATGCGGTACGGGTACGAGCTCTTTGTGAGCCCCCTTCTGCAAGTCTCTCTGAAGCCCCTGCTCTCTTAGAAGACCAGCCGTGTGAGATGTCACTGGACACTATGAATGGAGATGTAGGCCAGATCCATCCTGACACTCGGGGGCTGTATGGGCGCACAGCTTTACATGTAGCTGCTCATTCAGGCCACGTGGGCTGTGTATCGTCCCTGCTTGAGCTGGGAGCCAGCGTCGATGCGCAGACGGATGCCGGTTTCACCGCCCTACACCTCTGCTGCCAGCGTGGGCACCTTTCCGTGCTACAGGCCCTGCTGCTTGCGGCCGCGGATCTCACGACACAAGCAGACCAGGGTGAGACGCCGCTGCACCTGGCTGCTGCACATGGCCAGGCGCATGTCGTGGCCTTCCTTCTCAAGAACCCTCGAATGACTCGAAGTGAAGGCCCTGAAAAAAGCCCTGGCGTTTCTCTCCAGAGCATCCGGAACCACTTTGGCCAGCGGCCCTCAGAGGTTGCCAGAGATGCCGCCACCTTTCGGTGCTTTGAGGGAGAGACTGGCGTGGAGGGCGAGGGATGCGGCGGCACCTACGACACGCACGACACCTACGCCGGCCGCACCATGCTGCAGCTCCGGCCGCGGCTCGGTGAGCTTCGGCTGGGCCAGCTGAACTCCACAAGCGAGCTGGAGGAAGAGGGGGAGCTGGTGGAGCAATACTTGCCGGAGGATTGGCTCGAGTCAGATACGGAGGAGCCACAAGAGCAACCCGCGCATGCCGATGCCGACGATGCGGCGCCTGCGGTGCTGCTCCGGAACTCGCGCTGCGACGCGGTCCATCGGTTGCTGGCGGCCTCTGAGGTCGAGGAGTTTCCATCAGCTCCTCCGCCCAGGACGCGCAGCGCACGGCCCCAATCCTTCCTGAGGCTACAGGAGAAGGAGCCTTCCGAGGCCGTCGGACCGGACTCCTTCAGCCTGCTGTCTCTTCTAGGCCGGGGTCTGAGTTGCTGACTCTGTTCGATCCTCTGCTGCTGTGCCGCTTACATATGTTCTTGATGTCTTGAAGTCTGCTGTGACACGTGCGTGTACGCTACCCGTTACTATAACCCTCTGCTGCAATGCAAACGAGCCAGACAAGTGCGACCAGAGAGGCAAGGGCTCCTTCGGGGAGGTCTTCAAGGTCGCGGACCGACAAACGGGCCAGGCAGGGCCTCAAGGGCCAGGGCCTGGCCGGGCCTGGGATTTGTATTTTCACAAGTGGCTTTGGATCAACGGAGCGCCAAAGTTTATGGCATCAGCATGTCTTGTCGGAGCCTCACAGGTCTTTGCAATGAAGGTGCTGCGAAAGCGATCGCCCGGCTTGTGTTGCGCATGTTGCGCGTTGTTGCGCCATCCGAGCCTTCCAGGTTCCTCGAGTGAGTCTTTTTCTCGTCCTTATGCCTTGTATGCTTTGGCTTGACAGGAAAGATCTTAAGTCGGAACCTGATGCGCTACGTCCTGACCGAGAGGAATCTCCTCTCCTATATCAGGTGCCCAAGACCGGAAGTTAGGAAGCGAGTGGCTCATAACACGATCTTTTTCCAGACGTGTCTCTGGCTTTCCAGGCATCCTTTCATCGTGAGGCGCGTGCTTGCCTTGTCAAGTGTCACAGCTTGAAAGCAAAGTTGTCGCAAGTCAGACTGAGCCTGGCCGAGACAGGTTGTATCATGCCTTCCAAACACCAAGCTGCTTAGTGACCAAGGGCATGCACATTCCAGTTAAATGTCTCCTGCGAAGACTCTGCAAAATGGAGAGCCCTCTGGCTCAGATGGCAGAGGTACTCGTGCTCCAGTACTGCCCCGGTGGCAACTTGTCGATGCTGCTGCAGCGGGAGGGCGCCCTGCCCGAGGCGCCTCCCGCAGTTGCGCCTTTCAGCCGAAAGGTCCCTCGCGCACCAAAACATCGAAACGCATCCTTCGCACCTCATCAAAATATAATTGGGGACAGTTAACGAGGTTTAATTTCCGGACATTGCGGCGGAGGGATGAGTTTTTTAGAATTTCGTTACTTTGGGGTCGGCTCAAGACCTGCAGGCCGTGGCACAGCTGTATGTATCGGAGGCGCCAAAGCGTGTGCTGAGTGTGCTGCGTTGCCACTGTTGCACTGTGCTCTGTGCACCTCACCACATGAGCCACGACATGTCGAGGCGGCCGAGAGGAGGAACACAGAGAGTGCAATCACATACCCCAGTCACAGAGTGCGCATGCAATCGATCAGGTCCTCCTTGCTTTGGAGCATCTGCACGAGCGGCGAGTTGTCTACCGCGACCTGAAACCAGAGAACGTAGCCAAGTCGCTCAGTCACGTGCCATGTCGATGTCGGAGTGTCGTTGAGAACCCATATCGTGGGTATCGTGGGTGTGTTGCCGCATCTTGGCAGGTTTTGGACGAAGAAGCTCACGCAGTACTCACGGAGCGGCCTGTGTCACAGTTGTCAGTTAACTGTAACATCTTTAACACTACGTTAGCAACCCCCCCCCCCCCCAAAACCCAAAGGGAAGCGCATGGTAGACGTATAAGCCGCCAACTTATCCTCACAGTCCTCGCGTGTGCTTGCCGCCAATCGTTGGCATCCGCGTGACTGCTGTTGGGGCCTGATGCACTGCTGAGTCACAGGGATCGGCTGGGTACGAAGGCGCCCACGCGGCGAAAACAGAAACGAAAAGGTTGAGGCTGGGCCACAACCTGTTTTCTTTTTCAAGCCCTGAAAGTGGTTGGTTGGCCTGTTTATGCTGGGCGAACTTGATCCCGTGAAAGGGGATCCGGCCCATCCGGCGTGGAATCTAGCGAGAAGTTCCGGCCTAAACGCGGATGCTGTGTGAGCCCATCGTGAGCCCATCCTGAAGCCTCCCTGGAAACCTTTCTTTTGCAAACCTCCGTAGTTGGCAAATACCCACTGGGCTCTTCAACGCCTTTCCCATGAGCAAATGTTGACCGTCACCTTTCGCCCTTTCTCCTTCTCCGCTCACAGCCTCATGCGGGAGGGCTTTCCAGCAGTTATTGGCAGTTGTAAGGGATACAATTGCTGATAGTTGCCTCAGCAGTTATTGCAGTTATATAACAACTGCTAATTGTTACTTGGGGTTCTCATTGTTTTAGAAGCATTTCGGGACTAAAAGTAGTTCTTTCCAGTTATTTCCAGTTGTTTTTAAACGGTTTCGGCCATTTTATTGGCGACCATTGGTTTCGTGCAGCCTTTGAAATGTGAATTTTGATTTAGACATCCGAATGGACGACCGGATTATCTAACGATTTTCTCTTATGTGTTTTTTTAAATTAATGTGTTTGAAATTTATACCGATTATATAATGCCATTTCAGCCCCAGAGTCTCCCTGGAGTGCCCAGCCCCCAGAGTATCTCTACCAAGAGAGGGTGGGGATGTTCGACGTAAAATAGTTCTTGGTATGTTTTGGGTTATTTTCAAAAATAACAACAACTATTTACTTTTAACTACTTTTCAGTGCTAATCATAGCTTGCTATATCTGCTATAGCAACTACTGGTGCTTGCTGGAAGACCCTCCCCGTAGTAGGCCTTGGTCGCATGTGTGGATGCTTGCGGCTTGCTGGCGCGCATTTGTTGGGGAGCGAGCCGCCTGTACCTGCACGCTTCATTTCCTGGCGCGCGCAGGACTTTGGCCTTTCAAAGGAGGGGGTGGACAAGTTCGGTGGCACCAAGTCCTTCTGCGGCTCCGTGGCGTGCTCCACAGCAGGAATGGAGACTTCCGCCTGAGTAACCCTGAGATTCAAGAGAGATTTTTTTTTGCCCTGCCTCCCCCGTAAACCTTAAACCTATAAGCCCTAAACCCTAAACACCCCCTGGTAAAGATGAGCAGGTACCTGGCTCCAGAGATCCTGACGCGCTCGGGGCACGGGCGGAACGTCGACCTCTACGGTCTCGGTGCCGAGACCTCAGTCATGGAACTCAGCACATATGGTATTCTTAGAGCCAACTGCAGAATAATACGATTATAGATAGTATCACAGATAGTATTTTCGATAGTATTCTAACTATAGGAATGTTTCAGAGTTCTATAGCATTATCGTATGTAGTAGTACATGGTATTATCGTACTATAAAGATTCGTGACGTGCAGAGAGACCATCAAGTCGCGAAACCTGGGGTGCAGAGGTGTTGCTCTTTGAGATGATGGAAGGCGCTGGTTGTCCAGTACATGGCGAGTCTAGCCGGCCCTAGCTTTAAAAAGAAGCGAATTAAAGGACCGGATAACCCCACATGCAAAGTTTTCCATTCATAAAGAGTAGAGAAGTGATAGAGGATAAGAGAGTGAGAGAGCGAGCGAGTGAGTGTGTGGCCGTGAGTGAGTGCGTGGGTGTGAGTGCATGAGTGTGAGTGTGTGCGGCAGTGTGAGTGCGGAACTGCGTGAATGTAAAGAGTGACGCGCCAACAATGATTGCACAAGTAACATGTGTGTCAGTCGTACATTGGTCAGACGCGACCCCAGGCCGCAGTCCAGGGCCCCTAAGTACCGCGCCTGCCAGCACGAACGACGCCTGTGTCGCGCCTGCCAGCGTTTCGCGAGCCCCCGCGGCACCGGTCCAGGGCCCCTAAGTAACGCGCCTCGCCCCGAGGCGAGCGCGGCACCGGTCCAGGGCCCTTAAGTACCGCGCCTGCCAGCACAAACGACGCCTGTGTTGCGCCTGCCAACGTTTCGCGCGCCCCGCCTCGCGCCGAGGCGCGCGCGGCACCGGTCCAGGGCCCATAAATACCGCGCCTGCCAGCACAAACGACGCCTGTGTCGCGCCCGCCACCGTTTCGCGCTCCCCGAGGCGCGCGCGGCACGGTCCAGGGCCCCTAAGGACCGCCTCGGCCCGAGGCGCGCGCGCGGCACCGGTCTAGGGCCCCTAAGTAGCGCGCCTGCCAGCACAAACGACGCCTGTGTCGCGCCTGCCACGTTTCGCGCGCCCCGAGGCGCGCGCGGCACCGGTCCAGGGCCCCTAAGTACCGCGCCTGCCAGCACGAACGACGCCTGTGTCGCCTGTGTCGCGCCTGCCGCCGGCCCCTAAGTGCCGCGCCTGCCAGCACAAACGATGATGTGGTGCGTGTGTCGCGGCACGGGTGATGTGGCGCGTGATGTGGTGTGCGTGATGTGGTGCGTGATGTTGTTTGGTGGATGATGTGGTGCATGATGTGCGTGATGTGTGCGTGATGTGGTGCACGGAGGAAGGAGGAAGGAGGAAGGAGGAAGGAGGAAGGAGGAAGGAGGAAGGAGGGAAGGAGGAAGGAGGGAAGGAGGGAAGGAGGGAAGGAGGGAAGGAGGGAAGGAGGGAAGGAGGGAAGGAGGGAAGGAGGGAAGGAGGGAAGGAGGGAAGGAGGGAAGGAGGGAAGGAGGGAAGGAGGGAAGGAGGGAAGGAGGGAAAGAGGGAAGGAGGGAAGGAGGGAAGGAGGGAAGGAGGGAAGGAGGGAAGGAGGGAAGGAGGGAAGGAGGGAAGGAGGGAAGGAGGGAAGGAGGGAAGGAGGGCAGGAGGGAAGGAGGGAAGGAGGGAAGGAGGGAAGGAGGGAAGGAGGGAAGGAGGGAAGGAGGGAAGGAGGGAAGGAGGGAAGGAGGGAAGGAGGGAAGGAGGGAAGGAGGGAAGGAGGGAAGGAGGGGAGGAGGGAAGGAGGGAAGGAGGGAAGGAGGGAAGGAGGGAAGGAGGGAAGGAGGGAAGGAGGGAAGGAGGGAAGGAGGGAAGGAGGGAAGGAGGGAAGGAGGAAAGGAGGGAAGGAGGGAAGG